CCCCGCTTTGGACCGCTCTGCCTTCGATCAGGCATGTGATCGCGCTCGCGTGACCTGTCCGCTGTCACGTGCCGCGGCCCGGACTGCCACGCCAAGCGCTTCTCTCTGACGGGCACATGGTCAGGTGTCCCATTGTTCCCACTGTCTCGGTTTCCTATTGTTCTGTCATGGCCATTGTACTTATTGTTCCCATTGTCCTTTGTTTGTCGCCGCGCGGTCTATTGTTCTTGTACCATATAAATAGTGGCGCCTGGCAAGGAGAATCCCCAACACGGTTTCTCTTTGGATTCTCCCTTGCCAGGTATGCCAGTCTTGTACCTAGCTACCACTATTAATCACCTTTGGATTCTCCCTTGCCAGGACTCTGACACCGGGCCTCGAGGTTGCCCTTACAGCAGAAACCGTGTTCCTAGGGATAACCGGACAAGATTGCAAGGTTCGACGCTGACGCCAGTGGAGAAGAGTCGACGAGCGACCAAGACCACCACTCCCTCACCTCCTATCTTGCCCCCTCCTCCCCTCCACAAGCAGACCCGATGAGCATGGAAGACCACGACCAGCAGCGGCTGTCCACTCTGGAGACCAGCATAACAAATATCGAAGCTGTGCTCACCCGGCTCATCACCCAACAACAACAACCGCCCCCTGCCCCTGCCCCTGCTCCAGCTCCGGCAGCGGGTCCAGGTGTTTCTGCTGGCGCTAACTCTGCACGCCCTCTCATCCGTCCAAACCCCCCTTTCGTCTTTGATGGGGATCGCACCCTGGGCAAGAGCTTCTTGCACTCCGTGAAGCAGTACTGGCGGCTGCTTCCCAAAGCGTTCTTTGAGAGCGGGGTAGTCTCGGAGGAAAAGGTAGTCCGTTTTGCCCTGTGCTACATGTCCAAGGACTCTGCGGCTTCCTGGTCCAAGCGCATGTCCGAGCGCACCCCGTTCCCCTTCCCCACTTGGACTCTCTTTGTCACCGAGTTCAAGCTCCGATTCGTCGAGGAGAACGAGCAAGACCACGCCCTGGCGCAACTGGAGACCCATCTATATTATATGGGCTCGCGAGATGTGTTCAAGTACACGGACGAGTATGACGACCTCCTTGACCTTGCCGGTTATACCGACAACCTGGTCAAGGTGACCAAATATAGGACAGGGCTGGATCCGAAGATCAACCAGGCCATCACCACCTCTGGCAACCCTCCCAGCCTCACCGACTACGCCGAATGGCGTGTCCGTGCTTTCCGGCAATACAATGTGGAAATTGCTGCCAAGGCATCTCGGGGGCATGCTGCCCCTCCCCCTCGGGCACCTCCCATTGCCCAACGTCCTCGTGCCCCGGTGCTCCCTGCTGTAGCACCGGCTGTTGCCGCCCGCCCGGCGCCGGCCCCTGTTGCCCACCCTGTTCCCATGGAGGTCGACCGAGCCCGGCTCCGCGGTGATGTCCGCCGTACCTGCTTCCGCTGCGGCAGTCCGGGACATCTTGCCCGTGACTGCCCCACCCCAGCTGACATCCGTCATGCTGATGTCCTTGACGAGGTCATCAATCAGCTGGGAAGTGAGTTGCTCTCCGAGTTGGTCGCTCGGGTAGCAACTACTGCAGCTGTCGCAGAACACGCAGCCGATGTCACGGCTGAGGTGGAGCAGGGTTTTCTCCCCAGCGACGAGTGAGTAGTACGCCCTCGTTTGCTTCACGTAATCGTTTCTCCTGTTTGTATGATGAATCCAATTCCCTCCACTCTGCAACAGTTGAAGCGATAGACGTACACCCTGCTCCCCCTCTAACCCCACGAGTCCGTAAGGAGAAGTGGGAACGCAAGCTCCCTTCCTGCTATGTCGCTGCTGCCTCTCCCGGGGCCAATTCTCTCCACCTCCCCCTCGAGATCGAGTCCACTGACAACGCAGTGAAGTTATCTCTCAAAGGCCTGGTCGATTGCGGTGCCACATCCGACTTTATCGACTCGGCCTACGTCCTCGAAAATCACCTCCCCGTTCGTCGCCTCACCCAGCCTATCCCCGTTCACAATGTGGACGGCACGCCGAACGAGGCCGGTTCCATTCGCGAAGTTGCTGATGTGGTTCTCCGTTACCAGGGCCACAGCAAACGTGTGCAGCTTGCTGTCACCCGTTTAGGCAAGCAGCAGCTCATTCTAGGGTACTCCTGGCTCCGGAAGCACAACCCGGAGATCGACTGGGATACCCAGGAGGTAAAGATGAGCCGTTGCCCTTCCGGTTGCTCCACCTGCCGGGAGGAACTTCGCGAAGAACGTCGATCTGCCAGAACCGCGGCCCGGGTGCTTCGCACCATCCGACAAGGTCCGGTTCCATCTATCTGCGCTGTCAACGTTGAGGACCACGAGGACGAAGAGATGCCGGAGCTTTCGCCAGATTCGGACGATTATGACCCTGAAGATGTCGAAGAAGATGACGACTCCTTGGAAGCCGGTGACCGTATCTTTTACACCCGCTTCAACCCTTCTGAAAACATCTGAGCCACCAGCACCGTTTCTCAGCGACTCGCCGAGGCGTTTGCTAAGAACTCTGCACCTCCTCGGGACTCCATCCCCTAGTGGGCCCGCGAGTTCGAAGATGTTTTCAGCAAGGAGTCTTTCGACAACCTGCCAGAGCGACGCCCCTGGGATCACGCCATCGAACTGGTTCCCGACGCAAAGCCGACCAACTGTAAGGTCTACCCCATCTCCCCTCTCGAACAGAAGCAGCTCGACAGCTTCATTGAGGAGGGCATGACTACTGGCAGGATTCGGCCGTCCAAATCGCCCATGGCATCTCCAGTCTTCTTCGTGAAGAAGAAAGATGGCAGCTTACGGTTTGTCCAAGATTACCGAGCACTAAACGCGATGACAGTGAAGAACCGCTACCCGCTCCCCCTGATCAATGATCTCATCAACAAGCTCAAGGGAGCTCGGTTCTTCACCAAACTCGACGTTCGCTGGGGCTTCAACAACGTGCGCATTCGTCAAGGCGACGAGTGGAAGGCAGCGTTTCGGACAAACCGCGGGCTCTTTGTGCCGTTGGTGATGTATTTCGGCCTGACCAATTCCCCCGCAACGTTCCAGACGATGATGAATGACATACTTCAGGACCTCATCCTCTCTGGCAACGTTATGGTGTACCTCGACGACATTCTCATCGCACATTCCGATATCCACCGTCACCGGGAAATCGTGAACGAAGTCCTCCGACGTCTCCGCGAGAACAAGCTCTACCTTCATGCGGAGAAATGTGAGTTCGAGATGCCGTCGATCGAATACCTTGGGGTGATCATTTCCCACAACCATGTGGAGATGGACCCGGTCAAGGTCGCAGGTGTGGCGGAGTGGCCAGCTCCGGCTAACAAGAAGGAAGTGCAGCAGTTCCTCGGCTTCACTAACTTCTACCGGAGGTTCATCTGGGATTTTTCGCACGTTGCCCGTCCTCTCTTTGACCTCACCAAGAAGGACGTGGCATGGACTTGGGGGGCCAACGAGGCAGCTGCGTTTCTTGCGCTGAAGAACGCTGTTACCTCTACCCCAGTCCTGCAGCTCCCAGATGCTTCCAGGTCTTACCGCCTCGAAGCAGACAGTTCGGACTTCGCGACCGGTGCCGTCATCTCGCAGCAGTCCCCCGTGGATGACAAGTGGCATCCGGTTGCCTTCTTCTCGAAGAGTCTTAACGAGGTCCAGCGGAACTACGAAATCCACGACAAGGAGATGCTCGCCATCGTCCACGCCTTGGAGGAGTGGCGACACTTCCTCGAGGGCGCCGAGCACCCTGTTGAGATCTGGACCGACCACAAAAATCTGGAGTACTTCCGGAAAGCCCAGAATCTCAGCCGTCGTCAAGCCCGCTGGTCCCTCTATCTGTCTCGCTTCGACTTCACCCTGCACCACCAACCTGGCCGCCTCATGGGCCGCCCGGATGCTCTCTCGCGCCGCCCCAACCACGGAGTCGCTTTGGACAACGCAGACGTCACGCTGCTGCGCCCGGAGCTGTTCCACGTCCGGGCCTTAGAGGGTTTCACTGTCTCCGGACCCGAAGCCCCCCTCCTGCGCGACATCCGGGAGGCCCTCGCCGGTACCCCCGACATGGAGGAGCCCATTGTGTTGGCAGCACGTGAGCTCCTCAAGGAACGCGGAGTTCGCTCTGCTCGGGCTGCGGAGTGGCGAAAAGAAGGCGGCCTGCTCTACTTCCGTGGCAAGCTGGTGGTTCCACGCAACAACGACCTCCGTCGACGCATCCTCGAGCAGCACCACAACACCCGCGTCGCAGGGCATGCCGGCCGCTTCAAGACGTTAGAGCTGATCTCTCGGAACTACTGGTGGCCCCAGTTGTCTCGACACGTCGGCCAGTATGTGGCCACCTGCGACCTGTGCTGCCGAACCAAGGCGCTCCGCCAACTCCCAATCGGGGAACTCCATCCCACGGAGGTCCCTTCGGAGCGCTGGGAAGCGGTGTCGGTCGACTTCATTGTGCATCTGCCAGACGCTCACGGGTATGATGCCATCATGGTCGTTGTTGACATGCTTGGGAAGTGCAGCCACTTCATAGAATGCCACACCCGGCTCTCTGGTGAAGGTGCCGCCAGGCTTTTCTACAAGAACGTCTGGCGCCACCATGGGCTGCCGTCTAAGTATGTCTCTGACCGTGGCTCCCAGTTCATAGCAGAGTTCACGCAGGAGCTGTGGAAACTGGTCGGGGTCTCATCGGCAATGTCTACGGCTTGGCATCCACAGACGACGGCCAGACCGAGCGTGTGAACCAGGAGCTCGAGCAGTTCCTCCGGATCTTCACCAGCTACAACCAGGACGAGCTGCTTCCCGCTGCAGAGTTTGCTTACAACAATCATGTTCACTCATCCACGCAGCAGGTCCCGTTCATGACCGACACCGGTCGACTCCCTCGCATGGGCTTCGAGCCGAATGGACCACGCTCAACTGTGAACGAGTCGGCAAACGACTTCCGCTGGGCCAAGGAGCTGGCGAGGAGTGGGAAGTCGAAGAGGTTCTGGATGCCAAGATGCGCTATCGGAGCATTTGGTACTTTGTGCGGTGGAAGGGCTACGATTCGTCGCACGACCAATGGGTTAAGCACTCTGATATCTTCGCAGAGGACGCTATAGCGGCATTCTACCGCAAGCACCCCAACAAGCCACGCATCATTGCTGCCGCCATCTTTGACTCCCTTCCGTTCCAGCACCCCTCTGCCACCATCCGCACGCTGCGTCGAGGCGCCGCAATCCAAGGGGGGGGGGTGATGTCAGGGGAACCCCCGCTTCGGACCGCTCTGCCTTCGATCAGGCATGTGATCGCGCTCGCGTGACCTGTCCGCTGTCACGTGCCGCGGCCCGGACTGCCACGCCAAGCGCTTCTCTCTGACGGGCACATGGTCAGGTGTCCCATTGTTCCCACTGTCTCGGTTTCCTATTGTTCTGTCATGGCCATTGTACTTATTGTTCCCATTGTCCTTTGTTTGTCGCCGCGCGGTCTATTGTTCTTGTACCATATAAATAGTGGCGCCTGGCAAGGAGAATCCCCAACACGGTTTCTCTTTGGATTCTCCCTTGCCAGGTATGCCAGTCTTGTACCTAGCTACCACTATTAATCACCTTTGGATTCTCCCTTGCCAGGACTCTGACACCGGGCCTCGAGGTTGCCCTTACACTTTACACATTCATACATGTCTTGCAATTCAAGGGCCAAGACTTTAAGACACAGCATTCAATGTTTTGAGCTCAAAAAAGTCTCTTAGATCAAAAATATTTTTGATTTTGGTCAATGAGCAGGTTGAGCTCAGTACTACCATAGGAAACTGTGTTCAGGTCATGGCACTTTTCTGCATGACAAAAATATTTTCCTCAGTGAGCTGAATGGAGTTTATATTTGAGATGGGGCATATCTAAATAGCATCTGAACAAATTCTGAGCAGGATCGCAGCATCATAGCTTTCTTCAGTGCAAGTTTGAATGATCTGCAGACCTAGCAATCTTGCTGGATAACCTTCCGCATCAACTCCCAGAAGCCTTACCTAGTGCACCAGCAAACAAGCTGCTCAACTTTGCCTTGGACTTGGAGTGGGTAGATGATGTCGGCGAAGAGGCAGCCGCAAACCGAGAGCTGGAGATTTCGCTGGGACCACGCAATCATCAGGGAATCTTTGCTATAGAATCATGAGGACCCGGAATCCAGTGCCTCTCCTCCGTTCTTGTGTCATGGATCCAGAGACATCCAAAGAACGTGATCTTCCAGAAATGGCTGCAAGACGCGATTGCCTCAGCACAAGATGTCTTCAGCAGATTCGGAGTCGAAGTAAGCTTCTGTGATATGTGTAAGCGACGTGCTGATGGAACATAAGATCCCGGGAGAAGCACCCAAAGTCGTGGGATCTCCAGCAACGGCTGTTGATGGGAAGCTAGGGCTCACGAGTGTCAGGCAGACGACTCTGTCCTTTGGGAAGATATCCTCTAATACACGGGGGACAAAGAGAGACAAGAAACAAAAGATTCTTGATCATGATCAGCTCAAAGCGTCTTCTGCGGCTACCAAGCACCGACCTGACAGCAAGATTGTGACTAGTTTGGATGATCCGAATCGAGTGGATGCACCAGAGGATGACGACAATCATTTGGGTGGTCGTACAATAGAGCCCGTACTGCTCGAAGTCTCAAAGCCATTCTGGGTGGATGAAAGCTCAAAGAAGAAGGGTGTCCGTTGTGCAGCCAGCGCGTCATGCGGAACAATTTGGGCTAGTTGGCCTCAAAACAAGCCACGCGTTCTGAAACATGCGTCAGCGTGTGGCTTGTTAGCAACTTACAACGGCAGAGAGCTGGTGACGAAGGTGTTACACATCCATGCGCAGTCCAACCCCGAACTTTTGGAGCAGCTGAGAACAACAATGGGAATCGAGCCCAGGAGCACCACATCAAGCTCACAAACTGAAGCACGCAACAATCTCGTGGAGCCTCAGAAGCCTCTGCCGCTGAAACGACAACAGACTGTGGTAATGACAGCTGCACCAGCACAGCCAAGCAGCACACCGTCTGCCATCGATATTGACAGCAAAGTCCTCCTGGAGTTGGAGGAGAAACGGCGGTACCAGACTGAGGGGCAAAAGGATCTTGCACGTAAAGCAAATGACGCGCTCATTGCACTGGTTGTGTGTTGCGGAGTCCCCCCCCATGTGACAGGGACAGAGGAGTTTCGTGCCTACAGCAATGTACTGAACGCCAGATATCAAGTTCCAAGCCGTACTCATCTTGAGGATACGCTGATCCCGGTCTACGCTTCAAATGTCCGCATGGCAGTGGCGGATTATCTTTCTCAATGCTTCTTCCTCACCATCAGCTGTGACGGAGGTAAACTCGTCAAACGCAAGTTTACTTCTGTGCATATCACAACGCCCCATCACCAGTCTTTCTGTATGGAGCTTGACGATGCAGGTGGTCTGTCACAGACCAGAGAGAACATGTCAGCGCTGATGACAAAGTGGATTTCGGCGATTGGGCCGGAGCGTTTCTGTGTGATTGTTTCGGATGACGCTGCCTATGCACGAAAAGGACAGGAACTCACAATCAAGAAATATCCTTGAATGCTCAACTTTGCAGATGCATGCCATAACCTACACAATACCTGCGAGGACATCTGCAAGCTGGATTGTTTCCAGGAGGTGCGTAGGAATGACTTGACTTCTATAGAGACTATCTGACCTGTTTCCCAGGTTATTGCCGATCTTTGTGGCATTCTGAGCTATGCTTGTCATTGGTTTGATAAAGCACGAGACGAGCTCAAGATCGGACGTGGACTGATGAGCCTCACAGACACCTCAGTTACCACCGCCATCACCCGGTTGCACCCCTGCGGGGGGGGGTTGGTCCATTTGGGGCAGGGGCATATGCGGGGGTCAGCAGGGGGAGTGCAGGGGGGGGTCTGTACATATCATGTGATTTGTAAGGGCAACCTCGAGACCCGATCTCAGAGTTCTGGCAAGGGAGAATCCAAAGAGAAACCGTGTTGGGGATTCTCCTTGCCAGACGCCACTATTTATATGATACAAGAACAATAGAGCGCGCAGCGACAAACAAAGAACAATGGGAAAGTACAACAGCCATGACAGAACAATGGGATGCGGAGACAATAGGAACAATGGGCAGCTGACCATGTGCCCATCAGAGAGAAGCGCTGGGCACGGCAGTCCGGGCCGCGATACGTGACAGCTGACAGGTTACGCGAGCGCGATCACATGCCCGATCAAAGGCAGAGCGGTCCGAAGCGGGGGTTCCCCGGACATGATTTATCATTGGGAGCGGGCAGGTGGGCGCAAAAAAAAATGAATCACATGACACATCCAATGGGCGGGATGGCGGCTGATGGCGGGGTCAAAAAATCACGTGATGCACTGCATGAAAATTATCAAAAATGGCTAGCAGGGGTTGGCGGGGGTTGGCGGGGGCGCTACTGGCCCCCCGCACACCATGGCGGGCAGTGGGCGCATTATCACGTGACTTTTGGGGCACCTTTTGTGCACCATTTGGCATGATTTCGGAGGTGTTGCTTGATCCATTGCATGCTGTGGCAGACAATGGGCGCATAATCACGTGATTTTCCGCCCAAAAAAATGGAAGCCTTCCCCAAATCATCCTGGTATCATTTCTATCGGTAAATACACTAGTTAAGCATGAATTTGAGCTTAGAAAGCCCAAAATGCACCCTGCACAATGGGACTGGTGATGCACTTGATCCCATCATTTGGCGGGGTCTGCTGCGGGGGGTGCCACGGGGGGTGCTGCGGGGGGTGCTGCGGGGGGTGCCGCAGGGGGTGCCACAAGGGGTGCCTCAGGGGGTGCCGCAGGGCCTGCTGTGGGGTCAACCACAGGAGCAGGGGTAGGGGTGCATTGCATCATATTTTGATCTGTCTATTCTTGCTGTGATCTTAGCATGCAGCATAATTATCCTTCATTTTGCCAGGAGTTGGAGGCTGTGTCTGGGGATGGTCTGCAGCTACAGCCGTGTGACTCCGAGCGTCTTGGCGCTGTTCTAATGCCGTTTGCGTGTGCCATCCAGTGTCTTGAGTCACAGCAATTAACAGCTGCTGACGTGTATTGCTACTGGCTGGCTGTAACAGCGCAATTGCATGATCTCTTTGTTCAGGACAAGAGGGCGGTGCGGGCAAGATACACAAAAGTTGTTGAAGTTGGGGTCGGTCCGAACAAAGTGCACAAGATTCAGAATTCTATCAAGGAGCTTATCCGGTGCATTGCCAACTTTCGGTTCACACAGCTTATCGAAAACAAAAGGGCTTCAAATGTGTATCTTGCCGCATTTACTTTGGACCCCGGTAGCCAGAAGTGTTTTATGACTACCTTGAAGTAAGCTGAATGTCTCCCAGATACTCGAGGTGTCTGTCCTACAGCACCCCAACCCCTTGATCCTTGAGCCCGTGGTCATTAATCTGCGCAATGGTCAACCCTCTGTGACACGTTGCTCCCCGTTCATTTCCCGGATCGGTGAGGTGCTCGGAAAACTGCTCGAGATCGAGTATGGGAATGAATATCGGCCGGGCCGTACCATCAAGGAAGCAAAAGAATTGATGAGGGAGATCAACCCATACCTCGCGGAATTGACACTGGTTCAGGCTCTGGCCACGCTCAAAGTACAAATACAGTGGTATCTTGATGGTGATGAGCCGTTCAATTGCAAGAAGGAACGTTCCAACATGGTGCGAGATTGGTGGATGCCATTGCTCACTTGTAAGGATGCCCGAGTTCTCGCGGTGTGTACCAAGCATCAGCACTGTTCTGCGTGCTCTGTTCTGCATAGCACTGAGATCTTACAGTTTCTGGCCATGAAAATCTTCTCTGCAAACCCGACTTCAATGCCCAATGAGCGTGCCATGTCCACTGTGACATGGCTAAACTCGAAGTTCCGTAATTGGCAAAAGGTGGGAACCTTGTCAAATCATCTTGTTGTCCGCAGCTTCCATCGAATGGGTGTCGAGGTAGGTGGTATTTTCTAAGCGCAGACTTCGCTGACCTTCTATGTCACTTCAAGAAGCGGAGCAAAAAGCCGGTCACCATCAACTGGCAAGATATCTGTGCCACGGCTCACATGAAACAAGCCAATGACTCATTGGATGAAGAGCCAAATGCCGGACCCAACTTGGACTTGACCTCAGAGACCATGGATGGCACTGTTGAGGCCGAACATCCAGATGATCCACTTTTGTGGCTCAATGATGGCTTGCCCGACCTGCGCACCAGTGCTGTCAATTACTTTGAATTACAGGATGATTTGAACTTGAATTGGTCGTACATCTCCAGCTTGTTAAGCCATACCCCTCAAAAATCATGGAGGCTCTTTGTCTTCCCTTGCCTTGGAACTCACATTCTCAGTGTGAAACCCCATAGAAGTCCATTTCAACATTGTGAAGAGCTTGGGACTCACTTACACAGTTCCTCTTACATTGCTATTGTAAAATCAGTTGCACCTGAATAAAATAGATAGAGCAGGATTTTTAGAGCAATGAGGTCTCTAAAATTGCCAAATAGCTTACTGTAATGGAGTAGTACATTGCTTAGGGTGACTGAAGCAAGGATATCTGCATTACAAGAGTGACTTTCATTTCCACCTGTTACCCTTGCTTTCACTGCTTTTTCTGTTCCTTTGATGGCTGGTTCTAATATGTGATATAAGACAACAGCACATTGCTAGAGAAGCATACAGTGTTGGAAAGGAAGAGGGATATGCCTAGAGAAACATGTGCTGTCATTGAAAGCTATGTAGGATATCAATAAACAAATTAGAGCATGGAGGCATTGTACAACAGTGCAGTGGCTTGGAAGAGCACAAATGTAAGTGATTGCATGGAAGAATATCCCCTAAATGGCTAAGAGAAAACCAACAACATGAGCATAAATTGAGTCAGCAGATGATGTCAATCAGGGTCTGACAGTTAAGATGAGATTAGGATTTACTGTAACTTTATGATCAGTTTGCCACCCTTGTTACAAGTGACATCTGACACTAATTTGTCAATCTGTCAGCTAGATCTGTGATCTGTGACAAGACAAAAGAATTGTCAGGTGGTAAAATCCGGCCTCAAAAATCCGGAAACACCCAATATTAATGACCAGACATGATGCAGACCCAATCTGAGGAAAAATGAAATTGTCACCTTGGCTTGTGACCTGTGACAAATCATTGTATTTCTTCCCTGTCAGGGCTCTTGTGACATGTGACTGGTGAACTGATTATAAACTCATATTACATCATTAGCATTATCAAAAATTGATGTGCAATCACAAGCTGTGCTATTCCACATGGCAGTGAAGTACATAACTGATGCTGGTATAGAAAGTGATGGGAAATCAACATTCTTCTTCTGGACAATACCCTATGCTGATTTTCAATTCTGGCCAAGTGCCCCAGAATGTGCCAAAAATAGACAATTCTGAGTGTACTTCTGTACAAGCTCAAACCATACAAGCAGCACACAAAGTAATTGGAGCATTCACAATTTTTTCCTTTCCCGGCCTACGGCCGGCTGTGGGTTCAAATACAGCATCTGTCTATGGGATACACTGAATACATCCTCAATGTTCTTGCACACAAGCTGGAACATCCATACAGGCAGCCTGCAAGGGTAAACGGAGCATTCACAAATGCATGAGGACAGGATGGTCCTGACCACATCCAGTCCCTGTAGTGGTTGCAACCACTCACTCAAGCCAGCAAAGGGTGATTTTCTTTTCCGGCCTATGGCTGGCTGTGGGGCCAGATACAGCACCCTCCACTCAGTATGATCTTGATGTGCCCCCAGTGTGCTTGTCTACAAGCTGAACAGCCTATACAAGCAGCCCGCAAGGCTGATTGGAGCATTTGAGAAAAAAAAATTCCCCGGCCTACGGCCGGCCCTGGGGCTGGATACAGCATCCCCCTCTTGGGATGGGCTGAGTACACCCCCATGGTACTCATCTACAAGCTGAACAGCCCATACAAGCAGCCTACAAGGCTAATTGGAGCAATCACAAATGCATGATCACGGTGGTTGCAACCATATGCAGTGAGGACCATCAATTGACCTGAGGTGGCTGCAACCAAAGGCCAACAAATGGTCAAGACCACCCTTTTCAACACTCAAAATAGGGGGTGCTACTGATTTGGGATAGGTGGTTGTGCCCAAAGAGGTGGATGGTCTGAGACCACTGAGTGGTCTTGGACCCTCTTAAGGCTAAAAAATGACCACTTTTGGTACCCTATTAGGGTCTCAGACCATCTGACTATAGTGGCGACACGCCATCACGAAACAACTTACTCGAACAAAGAAAATATCCTTGCCAACGCTGAGGATGCCCTCTGAACCACCTAGACCCAGCTTGTTCATTGCCGCGAGAGAAGGCTTAGCCTTCTTCCACGACGTGACAAGTGATGCGAAGTCTTGGGGGAGAGGAAACGCGGACATAGCGAGGCCTGGATAGAGAGAAAGAATAGGAACGAAACAAGGACTGAGAATGGGACTGGACATGACCTGTTGAGCCCACCCAGACTTTATATCGTCGACTCTGGAAAAACTTTTCTGGTCGCGCATCAGATAAGCCGAGGACGGCTTAGATCTGTGTTCCTGGGAGAGGGCAGATCTTACGAAAGATCAGCCACAGAGTCCGCAGAAGTACACACATTGGAAATTGAGGTGCGCAACAACAGCGCACCCCTTGGACCCATGTGCTGGAAAGTGGAAAATCCAATGACGCTACTGAGGACGGGGTCTGGGACTTTTTCAAAATGTTTCATGAAAGTTCTACCAAGAACTTTGAAAATTTCGACTCAAAGGTTCACGCGACGACGACTCAGGCAGTAAGATGTGGTTCGGATTATTCTACAACGACAATACGATGTGTGCAATGTAATAAATAGAAATTCGGGGCCGCAACGTTCACGGACGGTGGAACGAGCTGGACTACTGCTCATCCACCTCCATGGCAGTCTCCTCCACGGCGTCGGAGCCCTCGTCGTCGACGTTCTCGTCGATGACATTCTCATCGTTGACGTTCTCGTCGTCAGCGGACTCGTCTTCTTCACCCTCCACGTCTTCACCCGAATCGGCCTTGGTTGACTTGGCCAAGGTCTCCTCGTAGTTGTCAGAAAAGTCCAAGACCTGGACGACGGCTTGGGACGACGATGCAATGGGAGGCAGCAACGGCGAAGGCAGGGACGGCGAGAAGGGCGCACGAGTACGACTGCTCGCCAAGTGCGCGACGTCAATCTCGTGGTCCTTGCCGGGTTGGAAGGCTTGATCCTGGACGGTCGCGGGGTCCGACTTGTCGAATTCCTGGGCCTTCTCAATCTCCTTCTGGAACTGCTTCTCCATCTTCTCCATCTCGCGATAGAAAAATGGGTCGAAGAAAGCAGGGGGCGCCGCAAACCGCTCGTTCGCTTCGCCATCCAACAAGTCCCCGTGAGCCAGGATCATCCGGACACCCTTGCGGATGTCAGCCAACTCGGCGGCGTCGATCTCGGTCGCGGTGTGGACGAACATCGCCTTGATGCGTTCGTCGCAGCCGTCGTCGAAGTGCTCCTTCAACTGACCCACGAAATCGCGGAACTGGCCAATGGCCAGGACGCGGATCTCGTTGGCCGTGCGAAGAAGCCCGCCGTACGCGTCCAAAGTGTCGGCAAGACGATTGGTGGACTTGTTGAGATCTGAAAAAGTTGTCAGAAACAATCATAAACAAAAATAAAAGAATAGAGCGGATTCATACCATCCGCGCTCATCTGCATGATGTACCCGAAGCGTTGCCCCATATAGAGCTGCTCCGCGGGCTTGTAGCCGTTGGTGCAGGTCTGTTTGTACAGCACGCAGGGGGCACACTGATTGCCGTGGCGGCCGTCGACGCTCTTGAAACAGACGCGTTGCCGCGTCACACACATCGCGCAAGGCCTTGGAGCGACCTCCTATGAAAGAGAGTCAGTCATCAAGGCACGGCAGAAAGAGATAAAAAGAGACGTACGAAGTCGGTTGGCACCTCGATGCTGGCCCTCTCCAACTTCCCCACAAACCCTTGACGTGCCATCGAAAGGAGCGCCTCGGTGTCGTAGGCGGCGGGAGTAAAGGGAGCTCGGGGCATGGGGGCCGTCGCCCTCGCAGGTGTCTACAAACATTCAAGTCAGTAAAAGTCGACGACAAGAAGAAGCCGCGACTGACCGAGTCAGACTTCTTCTTGGCCGCCGCAACGGACTTGTCTGTCTTCTGAGCCTTGAGCTCGGCCTTGGCCGCTGCAGCGTTCCGCTTGCGACCAAGGGTCGCGGCCACCCTGCCCAACTCGCTGCGTGGAGTCTTGGTAGCGGTGGGGGCCGCCGGGGCAACCTAGAAAAGAAAGAAAAACGATTAGTCGACGTCTGGAACACAAGACTTGTGTCTCACCTTAGGCGCTGGAGTTGGGGTAGTCGTCGGTCGCGGGCCACATGCCTTGTGACTGGCCTCCACCTTCGGCACCGGTTGGCGAGACGCAGGCTTGGTTGACTTGGACGATCCATCCGCGACCTTCTTGATTGGCTAAAAAGTCGGATTAAAGGGCGTGGTCTGGGAAAAAGGGGAGGCGGCTCACCTTAGGCTTGACGCGGGTCTCGATGGCCTGCTTCTTGGCCATGACGAAGTCGCCGTTCTCCTCTCCACTCTCGGAGGTGTCGTCCATAACAATGACGGACGGGGCTACAAAAGTACAATCAGACGGAGAGAAGGGGGCAAGAGGGAAAACGCACTCATAACCGATCGCGTTTTGCCCTTGGACTTGGACCCCTGTCAAAAGCAAACCAACCATGAGACGAAAGAGTCGCGATCAATGAACTGGCACACTTACCTGAAGGGCCAGCTCGTCGGCCGAAGACGCGTCTCCCTCCTGAACCTCCTCGTTGTTGACCTCCATTGCGGTGCTGGCGACGGCGGCGGCTTCCTCCTCACTAGAGGACTCAGTCGGCAGGGATAGCACCTGGATCCGGGCTGGGAGGGTCAAAGTGGTTAGTCTAACAATCAACAAAATAAGACATAAGGCGGACACACCTGCGCGGTGCGCTTTCTTGAAGCGGCGCGTGGAAGGTGACCCCTGAGAAACAGGGACCGAGGTAGCGGCTACAACAAATCAGTACCCGCGACTTCGGGGAATCAAAAGAAAAGCCACTTACGGGTAGGCGCATGGGACGACGCCTTGGGCTCCTTGTGGGGAGCCGCCTTGGGTCGCTTCTTGTGCGACTTCTCGTTCGACTTCTGGGCGACGGCGACCTTGCTGCCCGCAATGGCGGTAGAGGCCTGCGACTTGGAGCCGTCACCCTTCCCCTTCTGCTTGGCAGGCCGGGACGACGAAGGGGCAACAACTTGCTCAGTTGGAGCCGCCTGGAAGTCGATCAGAACATGGTTAAACAAACAGCACAGAGTACACGTACGGGCTCAACGACTCGCTTGCGTTTCTTGGGCGGTGACGACTCCTCGACTGGAGCGTTGGTGGTCGAAGGCGTGGGCGCCGGCTAGCCCTTACATTAGTAAAAAGAAGGAAAGGCCAAAGCAAACAAACGCGGCAATCATTGATCGCTGTGACTATTCGCTCCAGCGGGCTTAGAACGGGGCTCACCTGCTGAATCTGGCGGACGTTGACGGCCATCTGCCGCAACATCTGGTTGTAGGCCTCGGGGCTAGGCAGGTGGTGAGACAAGTCGACAAGCCATGAGAGAGACATTGACTGACGGCATGAACTGCCGCCAGTCGATGGCAGGCAGGTTTGCTCCCGGGACAACTGATTCGGTGACGGCTGATGGATGGTTAGCGTGGTTGAAAAGTCGCGGTAACCGTCTTGGGCGTCACTCACGGTTGTTGTCTTGGGGGCGGGGGCTCTGGTCGGGCGCGGACATGGTGGTCAAAAGGAAAGAGTGTCTCGTACTAGGGAGACTCTCGACCCTGAAAATTAAGGGAATTTATATGGTGAACATGCCAGAAGAAGTTTGATCGCAGCAAATCACGGAGGGAACCGAACAGCCAAATGAATAAGACGTGGGAACATAAGTCTATGTCTCCGCGGCTTTAATAATAAATGAACGAGACGTCGACTGTTGGACTCAGACCTGACGCAGTGAGACTGTCGCGGGATTGACCAGGAGGTCAAAATTAGTGTTCCTGGGAGATGATAGGCTTGCTACCAGATGCGCCCTGCACCGGCTCTGTAAGGGCATATTTTTGCGCTTTTTACAGAGTTTACTCTCGAACCACTCGGTGTATTGTGTCGCGGTTGACAGTGTTGCGCTCAGCAGGGCTTAAGGGTCTACTGCCCAGTCAACGACTGTGGATAGTGTCGACGACAGCAAGGCAATCAGATCACTACTGTGGAATTGGTCTTATGAGTCTATACCAGGCTCAGGGCTATCAGTGACGAACGCTTGGGCCGTGACAATTCCCCAAAAGGGATCTCTTATTGTGGCAACTTCTCAAAAAGGGTCATTCTCTGCAGATGGGAACTTGGGTTGAAGGACTGAGCAATGCGCGACATTCTCAATAATACAGCTACCACTGGACAGGACTTGGCGTTACGAGATTGAACCAATCTTGTCGCGGCAACTCCTGGTTTTGGGTTGGACGTTTCCCCAGATCATGCCACGGCGACGATTTGTCACATGTCAGGATCCACTTGATCACGGGACATTGTGGATGCGTCGCGGTGACACTTCCAAGTGTCACGGCAAGTCGCGCCCATACCCAAACACACTAAAATCGACATGGCTAGATCCGTGAACTGAACCATGTGAGGAACGACTGGCGTGCCTAGGGCCATACGGCTTCTTGGGGCACCCACGTTGGACTCACCCACCAAGACATACCCGTTGGCCAATCCAGCACGTCGTATTCCAAAAGTATGATGCGGTGAGTTGACCCACATCAAAAGTACCATATGGACTATGGGGCGGGGTCCTGATCACTCAGGACCTGTCCGATCGTTCAACTTTTCATTACTCTAAAAGGCAACTGATCTTAGATAGCGCAGCTACTATGCAGTTGTACATGACTTTACTAAGCATCGTCGTAGACAGTATAAGTAGCACGTCGTTTCTTTGTATTAGAAAGCTTTCCCCCGGACTGTGAATCACTCTCATTTCAGATTGTTTTGTACAATTTACGTGCCGCGTGATTCCACCCTAAGAAGTTCTGCTACCCCTGCCCGGTCGCGACGAGTTGCTCCCTGAGCACTTGTAGCTACTGTGATTTGAGTTTGAGTTGAGACATCAGAAAGTCGGATTCGCCGCATCTGGTTTAGTCGCGGCATTTAGTGTCGTCGCCTTCAGGCTTTGTTGAGATCGTTCCACACCTCTAGCTTGGCAGTGCGTCGACTAGTTGTGCTCGGGTTGTTTTGGTCAGTTGGCAGTGCGTCGACTTGGGAACTTTGGTTCCACAGTTTTTGCTTGGCAGTGCGTCAACAAGTTGTGCTCGGGTTTTGGACATTGGATATTGGCTGTTAGTTGGCAGTGCATCGACGCGGCATTTTGGTTCACTAGTTGGCAGTGCATCGACACGGCATTTTGGTTCACTAGTTGGCAGTGCGTCGACTCAGTACTTTTGGTTGTATCAGTTGGCAGTGCATCGACTTGATATTTGGGCTTTGCATCGCCATCTGGACACTGTCGCTACAAGGGATCTCAATACTTGGTATTAAGCTCTGACTTGTCATATTGTTGGTTGTGGTTGGATTAGTGTTGGTTGTGTTTGTATAGAAGATCTTGGTTGAGACACCACTGTTTGCTATATATAAATTCTTGTCGTCGACTTCGTCTTCCACGACTATTGATCTGCGTCTATTGAGAGTTGTGATACTGGTGTTCTGTCCACCCCGAAGCCCTCGCATCTTTCACACACTGAGAAGCTGATTACGAGGAGTGTGAACGTGTTTATATTTGGGTTTACTTTCACAGTAGATTCACCTGTGAGTGCGCCCTCAGCATTTCAGCGAGAAGGGTTTTTGAAGCGCTCCACTTCTCTAGCCAAGGAGGTGGAGCGTCCGGACTATGGACAATTTTCTTTACTTGTTTCGATTAAAGACATGAACGATTCTGCACATACATATACAATCTCGGACTCACTACGTACCAATATTCACGATTTTCTCATTGCCGATATGGAAAAGGAACGCCAAAGAAAAATAGCGCTAAATAGAGAGTATTTACAGAGTGAAAAGGATCAGAAGGCTGCAGATAAATTAATTTTGGACTCCTACGTATTTATGGCTCGTGGAGCAGAAACCACGTCAACAAAGACCGAAAAGGGGAGCATCGCTCCGGAGGCCCGATCCTTGAAACAGGAGGAAGCACCTAAAGAATCTGCCAAAATCGAGGTTCCAGAAGCACCCAAACAAACCAGGGTGCCTGATGCCATCCAGAAGAAATTGGAGGCCGAGAAACAGAAGAGCCCCCAGCCCAGCAGATTGGCGCAGGAATTGCGCAGTTACCAGGCCAAAAGAAAGAGGCATTCGATGGACATATATGTCCAGATCACGGTCTGGACTCAGGGAAAACGCGCGGAGTCAAGGCTCTACTTGATAGTGGTTGTGGTACCTGTTGCATTGATACCGACTATGCACGGGCAGAAAAACTGGATATCCAACAACTCCCCCAACCCATAGTGGCTCGTAACGCCAACAACACTTAGAACATCAGTGGTCGGATCACGCATTACATCACCCTAAGGATGAGATTCGGCTCTCATGTGGAGACACGCACGTTCCTTTGATGTGTTTGGGAAAAGCTCGGATCTTCATCGGTCTTGATTGGCTGACGGAACACAACCCCGAGGTGGATTGGCAGGAGCAGACAATGAGATTCAGCCAATGCCCAGAGTGGTGTCACATGAGGGGTCACAAGGAGCATCAAGCAATGATCAACATGGATGCAATCAACCTGGACACAGGCGCACCAGATCTGGAAGAGGGGGAATTGATCCTGTTGGTCGACTTTGGGAAGGAAGTGGATCTATGGCTGAAGGAAACGCCGGCACAGAAGTTTGCAGAAGAAGCGGAAAAGGAAAAGGAGAGGATGACCGAGGAAAAGATTCCGGATCAATATTGGGAATTCGTCAAAGTATTTGCCAAGGAATTGTTTGACTTGCTACTGGACCAACGGGCATGGGATCATGCAATTGAGCTCAAACCCGGTTCTAAAGCAGTGGACTGCAAGGTATACCCGTTATCACAAAACAAACAGTCAAACTCGATGAGTTCTTACAAGAGAACCTGGCCAGCGGACGGATCAGGCCATCAAAATCACCCATGGCATCAGCATTTTTCTTTGTCAAGAAGAAGGATGGCTTGCTACCCCCCGTCCAAGATTATCGGAAGCTGAATGAGATGACAATCCAAGATTGATACCTGCTGCCGCTGATCTCCAAACTGGTCCATAATCTATGCAGCGCCAAGTTCTTCACCAAGCTGGACATCCGGTGGGGATGCAACAATGTACGGATCAAAGAGGGCAATGAGTGGAAGGCTGTGTTCCGCACGAACCGCGGACTGTACGAGCCCTTGGTCATGGTCTTTGGTCTCACGAATTCCCCGGCAACCTTTCAAAACATGATGAATGACATACTCCGAGAGCTAATCAACGAGGGCCACATGGTAGTTTATCTTGACAATATCTTGATCTTCACAGAGAACTTGGACAAACATTGGCGGATCACAAAACGAGTACTCAAATTGCTCCAAAAACACAAGCTGTACCTGAAGCCGAAAAAGTGCGAGTTCGAACGCACAGAGATCGAATATCTGGAGGTAATTATTGGACACAATTCGATGCGGATGGACCCAGTCAAGATCAAGGGCGTGATGGAATGGCCAGAACCAAAAAGCGTCAAACAAGTTCAAGCTTTCCTAGGGTTCACAAACTTCTATCGGCGCTTTGTCCGGGGATACGCGGAGGTTGCCAAGCCGTTGACACGGCTGACAGGGAAGGCAGGATGGCCATGGGGTACGGGCAAGCGTGCAGCATTTGATGGGTTGAAGAAGAGAATTGCGGAGGATGCGGTCTTAGCACTGCCAAATGACGCCGGCCAATATTGTCTGGAAGCCGATGCTTCGGAAGGGGCAACAGGCTCTGTTCTGAGCCAAAACCAAGACGGAATTTGGCGCCCAATTGCATTTATTTCGCACACATTGACCGAAACTGAGCGAAATTACAAGATCTACAACAAGGAAATGCTCGTGATCATGCTATCATTGGATGAATGGAGGCAGTTACTACTAGGAGCCACAGAAACGTTTGAGATCTTCACCGATCATCAAAATCTCAAGTACTTCCGAAAACCACAGAAGCTCAATCGACGGCAAGCACAATGGATCACGGAGTTGGCGGAGTTTGATTTCACCTTACAACACCGGCCCGGCGCACTCAACCGCAAGGCAGACCTCTTGTCTCAATGAGCGGATCACAATCAGGGCAAGAACGACAACAAGGATGTCACATTACTAAAGCCCGAGGTTCTTCCGATCACAAGGAGTCACATTTGAGGGACAGGATCAGCAGCTAATCAATGAGATCAAGACCACTCGATCAATTGATGGAAGCGTCAAGGCAGCCTTGGAGAAGTCACTCGCTGGATGGAAAAAGGAAGATGGGCTCATCACGTACCATGGGAAGCTCTATGTACCGAGGGACGAGGAACTGCGAGACAAGATCATCGGGCTACACCATGACACACCTTTGGTCGGACACGCTGGAATCAACCGAACGCAGGAGATGGTGGAAAGGAACTACTGGTGGCCAAGGATGGGAAACCAAATCCGGAAATACATCCAGACGTGCGAGGCGTGCAAACGGACCAAGACCAGGAGAGCAAGGACGGGGACTCTGCACCCACATGCAGTCCCAAATGTGCCGTGGGAAATCATCTCAATGGATCAAATCGGACCCTTGCCGGTCAGTAATGGGTATGACGCAATTCATGTGTGGTGTGACACCTTCACCAAAATGATCCATGTTGAACCAATTAGTACTGACATCAGCAGTGAAGAAGTTGCACAATTAACTAGGGACCGAGTCTTCCGCTATCACGGGATCCCCCGCAAGATCATCACTGACAGGGATTCGCGCTACATCAAGGGCTTCATGAAGGAGACAAATTGGATGTTGGGTGTGGAAATGAATCCGGGGACCGCATATCACCCAATCACGGATGGACAAACGGAACGCATGAATCAAGAGATCGAGCACTATCTCCACATCTACGTCAATTACCATCAGATAGACTGGTCGGAGTGGCTGGGAATGGCGGAGTTCGCATATAACGACAAGATGAACACGTCGACCAAAATATCACCGTTCTACGCCAATCACAGATATCACCCATGGAAGGGAGTGGAGCAGCGGATGGAATTGAGAAACAAATCAGCAGAGGAATTTGTAAAAAGAATCAAAGAAATACAAGACGAAGCAAAAGCAGCATTGGAAAAAGCAAATGAAAAAATGAAAAAATACTACAATAAACAAAGAAAAGAAGTTCCAGAGTTAAAGGTTGGGATGAAGGTGTACATAGAAGGGGAAAATATCGAGACAGATAGACCATCAAAGAAAATGAGCGACAAAAGATTGGGGCCATACGAGATACTGGAGAAGGTTGGAGCGGCTGCATGGAAGCTGGATTTGCTGGACACGGACCGAAGGCATCTGGTGTTCAACAAGTCACTGTTGACACCCTATCACGAACCACCCCCCCATCGCCGAGAAAAGAGGCCCGCAGCCAAGATGATCGGAGGAGCAGAGGAGTGGGAAGTTGAAGAGATCGTGAAAGAGCAAAACATCGGCCAAGGAAAACAGTACTTGGTCAAATGGAAGGGATGGCCGCATAGCGAGAACACCTGGGAACCATCACGTCACCTTACCCATGCAAAAAAGGTCCTGAGAGATTGGCAGAGGAAACAATCCAACCCAGACACACACATTCGCCTCCTGCTAACGCTCGAAGCTGGACATTGGGATTATCTCATCCATTGCTACAAACCCAGGGACGAACGCCTTCCATACCCCCAGCGACAACACTTCGACCCTTACGAGAACATCTTCACGCCCATTGGCCTAGTCGATGAGGACATCGACCCTAGAGAGGGGGTAATGTCATAATTCAACGCTTTTTCATCTTATCATCGACCATCTTATCATAAATACTGTAGCTACTTGGTTGTATTCTCCAGTCTTCAAATTAACTTCTCTTTTCGATCATTGTTTTTGGTTGATTGTCACAGCAGGCACGTCACCACAACAAAGATCCCTTTTTGGGGAATTGTTGCGGCCCAAGTGTTTGTCACTAATAGCCCTGAGCCTGGTGTAGACTCATAAGACCAATTCCACAGTAGTGGTCTGACTGCCTTGCTATCGTCAACACTATCCACAGACGTCAACTGGGCAGTAGACCCTTAAGTCCTACTGAGCGCAACACTGTCAACTGCGACACAATACACCGAATGGTTCGAGAGTAAACTCTGTAAAAGCGCAAAAATACGCCCTTACAGAGCTGGTGCAGAACGCGTCTGGTAGCCAGCCTATCACCGGAGAGAAATTCAAGAAGTTTGTTCACAATGGCGAAGCAGTTCCTGCCCTTGCACCCCAAGATCCCAATTTCTACATTGCTGAATTCCTTTGTTTTACTCAGCACTTCCAGTACGCCAAGTTGGGAGGGCTGGTGATTCTTTCGGATTGCCAAGGTGCGTTGCAGGCAGATTTATATCTATCTATCTCTGAACGAGCTCTTAGGATCATTGACCCTCTTGACGGATGCACAGATCATGACCTCCTCGTAAGTGTGACTTGATTAAATCCGCTTGTCATCCCCCTTACACATCCTCAAAGCACGCTGACGGACAAAGAGGTGTTTGGTGGGGGAAACATCCCCACTATCTTTGACAGATTCGAAGTCAAGCACTGATGCAATGTGTACTGTCGTGCATTTGGAATGTTGCCCTTCAAGGTATCTGATGAGGAGGGCGCAAAATTTTGATATACATTCTGTACTCGGTCTATTTCATAACAATGACTGCTGAATTAACAGTAGATGAGTCCGAGAATCATTGCGACACACGACGACGGTACGCGGAACAGCGTCCAAATGTCTTTGGGGTCCCACCGAATATGTCAGATCATCAATCAATCATAAGGACATGACGTCTGACACTCGGTTAAAAAGCGCGATGCTCCGAGCCTCCATACTTATCAGTGATGTCATCAATATATCAATCACAGGCAGTCACGGAATACACTTATTTTGACACATTTTCCGCAGCAGTATAGATTTCATATCTTTTTGAACGTGCACTCACGGCTGCTCATGATCAATATGATTGCATCAACGACTGCTCCGTTTGTGGGATGAGGCGATGCGCACCATGCGACGAGAAGCCTGGCTACGGTGGCATGAGATTTTGCTAATAGAGGGATTTCCAGATCTCCTTCCTATTTGTGAATTGTCAAATCCCTTGCCGGGTTGAATTTTTCAGATTCTCGGTTGTGGAAACATCACGCGTTGATACATTAGGGGATAATGAAGAAGTGAAATAAAAAAAATGCGAAACAAATCGGACCATTCGAATCCATTTTGCTCTCGCGCGCATTTACATCGATGGTCACCCATGCAGTCATGCGTTCGAGCAAGGCATCATTGCTCAGTTCCAATCTGTCTTCTCTCACCGGGCTATCTCGACTTGAAGGCGTTGTGCAGTCGTGTGTAGATGGTGAATCAGTAGGTTGATGATTTTAAGTTCATGGTTAGCCTGGCCTTGAACACGAGTCTTAGCAACCTAAACTTAGCATGAAATTAGCACATACCGCACACGTGAACAACGCATGTAGTTGTTCTATCATGTCCGGCCCCGTCGCAATGAGCGCCACATGGGCTACACCTGATAACCACTGACACACGGAATGTATCGAATCTTCTGCCAAGGAGCTGAGGTTTTCATATCTGGCACCACTGTTCTCTCGCGTCGTATCTGTTCCCAAACCTTGATCTTTGGCCGAGGTAACTGCACAGGGAAGATCTCCGGGTCCGTCCGACCCTCCAGCCATCGATCCAAAGCGCCCAGATGAGCACTAGGCGCTCTGAGACGACACCGCAAAGCGTTGATAGATCGCAGTCCCTGTAACGACAAAGTTAACGCCAGCCACAGCACGAGGAAGTGTGCGACTGAACGACCGCCTGACTCGAAAATGGACCGGCTATGCATACAGTTTATGATGACCCACTTACATGGGGCTCTTCGTGGACGCTCTAGTTTGGGCTCGGCACTCTCGGGAGCTCAGTTTTAGTCACAAATAATTTAATCACAGACAAGCTCGTTACGAAGGGCATTCGTTTAGGTGATTGTGCATGCGTGTGGACGCTAGAACCTGGCACAGATCCAGGGGGACATTGCCTCGGGAATGTTTGGCGGTGTGCCCAATATGAACCAAGCTGTCGCCAGGCGTGCTGTGGAGTTACGCAACGCCTTTTAATGGACTTCACGGCGCGTTTGCGGCTTCTTTAACTCGAAGCGGTGTTCGGGATATATAGCAAATGTTGCCTGGTGAGTACGTACCCCCATCCTTTTCAGTAAATCGACCATCTCTACCCGGAACTTGATTCAGGACACAGGATTTGGATCGGCATCTGATAGATAAAGAGCCTGGAGCACCATGAACGTCCCCCCTCCGAGACGGACAGCAAGATCATCATCCCCTGGCCATCCACACCCTACGTTCAAAATACTGGACAGCACTCAAGTGATGCCTGCGAGAGACATACATCTAGACTGTGAGTCCTCAGAGAATCGATAGACCTAAGGACTGATGTATTTTACTCAGGGAAACCCCCGACCGTGGTAAAAGAGCAGAGCGAGGCATTCAGATCGACTGCACAAACCTCCACGATGGTGGTGTGTACCCTAGTCTCTCTGTGACCGCGTGCTGATGAGATGTAGTCCGCATTCTTTACGCTCCTGTCAGGCGTGCTCTTCGCCGCCGCAACATGTAGCGGCCGAGTGCCCACCACCGAATCCTCCCGCGTCCTCTTGTGGTTTCGGATCACCTCGTACGCCGCAATGATGCTCAATGTGTTCGGCTCCGTCGCCTCGCTATGCATCGTTGATTTAATTGGTGATCTCACCCTCAGTTCTTCCCGTCGACAGCCCCCGACGCTGGGGATTCTCCCAGCCTCAACTCGCCCACTTCAATTGCTTAGGAGGTATGGTGCTCCCCAAAACTTTCCGGTCGTCTTCGCTCAATGTGAGAGCTGGCTGCTGTGATTGTGCTGTCATTGACTCGAGTCGTATGCAGGGGTGATCTACCTCCTACTCGGCATCGGGTTCATGCTTGCGCAGCTTATACTCCTTGTGTGGATTATCGAGGGGCTGACGGCGGTTTCCATTGTACTCACTTGCATTTGTTCCACAGCAGGGCTATCCCTCTTTCTCTCAAATGTCATCGGGGGGAAATCGGACTGATACATGGCGATCCTTCCAAATGAAATCGATAGTTGCTGTTCAACCACATTTCCGACCATTCCCTTCGCTTCGTGTCCACGATACTCGTAGAGCGTGTTTCAACTTGATCTTTCATCTCAAATATAAATAAGGACGCTTATTTGTGGAAGCACGAATATCCCATGGAGATCCTTTCGTTCATAGCTCATATTCAGTTCCCATTGAGCGTGGGAATTGACGCAGGGGCTGCGTTATGATCATGTGCTTGGCTCGAAACGATACGGCTGATTACGCCCTCGTCACGTCACGGAGTCGAATGCCCTATCAGCGCCCACCCCGTCCTTTTTAACCACGGAATCCATCCCTCTCGCACAGCAGGGACAGACTTCGGCGGCTCTCCGGATGGAATCTCCTCAACCAGGGTAGGAGTGGATACGGTGTGCATGGAGGTGGCAGGTGACTCGACTGATAACCAGTACTGGCCACTGTCTTCCTGATCCTGCTTGGACCATATATTCAAGAGCTCATGCATAGTTTCGGGACCTTCGCACGGGGCCGCTCGTCCTGCTTTGCCTTCCCTTCCAAGCCAATGGTCTGGATGGTAAGCTGTTTGCCCTCGTACTTGGTAATCAAACCACGCGCATCAAGGATTGTTCCAGAGAAATCTGATTGTCTTTCAGCCACATTTTCACTAGCAGGGCACGATTGCATACCTTTCAAGAGATAAGTGCCATGTTTTGCGCAGATGTTCCCGAAGCACCTCTGATCCGAGACAGCGTCGTTTGTCGTTGGGCTGCTTTCTCTGATCACCCAAGATTTATCCAACAGTACAATCAATTCCTTGGATTTCACCAGGTGGTCCAATTTTGCGAGCGGTGGGAGCGCCACGGATACGCGGGGATCGAGATTATCAAAGTCTGCAAGGCCGTAACAGTATGGTCTTCTGCGATAAAACTCCTTTGCAACCTTCGGCCAAAATCGTTCGCATTGCCGTTTTGTCAGCCAGAGGATCTCCTCCACGGTGCGGCACATCCCTGAAATCACTGAGGATATCTTCAGAACATCGATTTGAGGGCGTACAGTCGCTATCCAACACCACCATCTGCTGATCCTTATCACTCCAATTGATTCGGATCGTGGACAGCCTCAGAGGGTAGTAGCCAGGGTGTTCTGTCTTTTTACTTGTCGATTTGTTCGTGCGTTTCGAAATCCTTTTCATTTCAGCATTCAAAGCCTTGTCATTCTCCTGGCTCCTCTTCCATTTTGTTACAAACTGGATGCACTGGATCGGAGATTTCAAACGTGAGTCCTATTTACCTACCTGCTCGGAGTGTCACACACCTGATCATTTGTCGGGTCCTCCTCTGTGATGGCCATGAACAGTGGCAAGCTTGGCGGAGAAATATCATCCGGGACACCGATTTCTTCCAGTCGATCCATTGTCTGGAAAAATGCATCCCTACCTGTGCGTCAAATGATTTCTCATTGATTTGTTTTTGCTACGCACCAAAGATGCTCGGACATATTGACATCTAAAGAATCGAAAAACTGGATCACTTCACTAGCACGGTGCAACCCCTGTTCCTTCTTCTTGGTTTGATTTGTCAATTTCTGCCATAGACCCTTGAATTCCTCCGCGGTCGCCTCCTTAATGGGCATGCCAACTGAAACTGGGTCGGATACTCAATAGACAGCAACAGATGAGGCGAGCGAGAAAGTCGTGTGGAAGACAACGTAGATATTCAAAAACCGGGCAACGTTTTGTAAGGCATGCAAATTTGTCGGAAGTTCCCACTGTCTAGCACGGGCGGTTAACTAGGGCCTCGTTCAGAGCAGTTCGTTCACATGACGAACCCCGACCCAAGTCACGTCTTTGCCGGCCGAAGAGACAACGTGCGAGGTATGATCCACGTTGTTCGTGAGAGCGCACGGATCTTGTTACATGCACCGCCAGTCTATCGATTGCACACCACCATCCTGAAGTGAGCGAGATGGGATCTGAGATCGGGCATGCTTGTTGGACCGGTCATCTCATGGATTGAACGTGTTCAGCCTAGAGGCTATGCCCCTTAGCCAGGATTCTGGTTGGTGATGGATATATTCTGGGTCGTCCAGGGATCTTATCTGACTCAACCTACGGCGTGAAAGACTGGCAGCCAGAGTCCCTGGTCTGTATCATCTTACGGGAAAAGTTCCGGCCCTTATTTAACAGATGTCTCGGCAGGTCTCGGCGGGCGATTTCATTTCCGCCGAGGCGAGAGTGATGCCCGAGCCAGGTGCATGATATCATCACTCCGTGATGTGACACATGGTGGTTGATGGCTGTTTACTATCGTCTTTCTTGAGCGAAAACATCCCGACCTCGGGAGAAGCTCAACCCCTCTTGCCGCTGTTTAAGAGCAATCGATTTTTACGAGTGTTATCAGGGGATGGACTTGGGCGCTTGCTGTGTATCCAAGGATCTTAGTTTGGCCCTGGTAACCTGGCTCTTCAACTCAGATGGCGCGTCCAATCCTTGAACCATCACGAAGAACCTATCTCCCTGCAGGCTATTGACTTTCTGGCACACTTTGACTGGTCGGCTTTCGACTCACTCAACATCAGGTTTACGTTGTGCGCCTATCCGGTGGCATGCACCTGGCAGTTTACCAATTCGCCGTTCCCATACATCAATCGATGATCGGACACATTCATAAGTCCCCTAGTGGACATTCCATCCGGGTAAAAATCACATTGCACTCACTCATAGACTCGACCGTTTCACCCACCCAGAAACCGGCAAGAGCTCTGACCCTGTTCGAGGAATTTTCGAGATCGATGCATCCGGAGCAATACGCTGTGACCAATCCTCTGGAGAAACTGATTCAAGTCATTGCTCAGGATGCGTCGCTGATGTCGCGGAATATTCACTCAGCGTACACTGCCATCGCAATCGCTCGTCTGGGCCTCGATGAGATCAAAGCCCTGATCAAGAACGTAGGCAATGAGGATCCCAGCGCAGCAACTTGGGAGAATTTCCAGCGGTACGCAACACTTATCCCGATCGTTGAGAAGTAGGCGTTCCAGTCGCTCTTTTCTCTCTTTATGCTTATCGTACTGCTCAGGTTCTGTCTCTCGCTGCAAAGGATTTCTCACACCGAGTCACATGCGACGCTCTCCTCTCACCCACTCGATGTATATTTCGAGCAATGGGAAGCGAGTCGCGAGCGTCTTCGAACACTAGTCGAACAAATCTCGAAGGACCTTTGGGAATTCAAGGTTCGTTCTGTGAACCCATGCCCACACGGTTACTCATGACAAGCAGATACTGCCGGTATTCGACGACTGGGTGTATATCCAGAGATATGATGACTGTCAAGTCTTTATTACGATCGTGATAGCCTCGAATTTTGAGCCGATACCCGTCGGAAACAGTGCGACCAAGGTTATCATGGAAAAGATCGTCGCGAACGTGAAAGGGCTTCGACTGTCTCTGTTCCGTGCGGCTCAAGCTGTGTTTTCCGTGAGTCGCTCACAGCATGCAAGCCTATTTCTAGCTGATCATGTCACAGACAGTGATGATGTGCTCAATCAAAGTCGCGTTGACTGTTCAAACGCTTTTGAATGCACTAAAAGCCAACCAAAAAAAGATCAAAGCAGGCGATACTAAAGAAATCAATGGATATGTTTCAATGACGTCATTAACTGTGATTCTCCGGTATGCCGGTATAGTTTTCCGTGATGGCTCAGAAGCTTACTCGGTTCAGGTTGACCATATTGATCGATGAGGCCTGTCATGCTCCTAGGAAAGAAGATATCCCCACGGAACTCGACGAGATCAAAACGATATGGGAGAAGATTGTTAGTTCTAACCTCTTCCTCTTTGTGAACAGCTCCTGAACGCCGTTGATTCCCAGATGAAAAAAGCGCCCTCCAACTTTCCTGAGGGCTATAAAAAACTTTTCGAGAGTTTCGCAGACGTCCAGAGACCGTATTATCACGAAATGCTGGCCATGATCACCGAATGTTATAGTCTCGCTCAACACTGGGAGCGGCTGCACACCAAGTTCGGTAGCTCGGAGGCATTGAGCAAGTGAGTTCACCGCACGGAGCTCCAAAAACGTCGTGACATGGCATTTCCAGGGTGATTCAAAGCACAAACACTGCATTGCAAGCTGCAGCAGAGTCGGACTTTACACCCGGAATGGTGTTTGATTACTCGGTTGACTCCACCAAGATGATCCAGACATCTATCAATGCGGCAGTGGAACGCATTCAAGAATTCCACGCGCTAGACAAGGTCGACACTATTCTTGCCGATCTGCGTAACATTCATTCTCGAGCTCAAATGTTTAGATCATTGAGGACTCTTCAAAGTTCAATAAGCTCTTTGGCGTAGCTAGAGCTAAGGATCAAGCACTTCTTAGCGACCTGAAGAACAATTGCATCCGAAGCGAGCTAGCGTCCAAAAAAAGTACAAGGGAGGGTGGCAGATATTACAAAGCGCGTACGGACTCGTCCCATTTCACGTCTTTCAATCCGAATACACGCCCTCTCCATAGCTATGCCCAGCACATTGCGCGCGCACGACCTCGAACGGGATCCACTCTCCGCAGTCACGACAGTACTTGACTTCAGCGGACAGAACAATCCGTTCAATGTCGCTCTGACGCGGGGTCTCGTTGCCCGCACGCTTGCGGCTCAGGATCGTGACGCGATAGGCAACAGGAATTTGTTTGCCACCGAAAGGTTTCGTGCGCTTGTCCTTCGGCGGCGGGACTGAAACAATGAGGTGGTAGATGCAACCCTGGGTGACGGAAAGGACCAGTGCGTCACGGATGAGCGCGGGAGTCAGATGGGTGTCGCGCAAAGACGCGTCGGTGAGGATGGAGGTCGGAATTTCAAATGACCCGATGAGATATTGTTCAAAGGGGCGGGTTCTCGCGGCTGGGTAATTAAACAGGTGAGCAACCATGATTACCGCTGGGCAGAATGCTGAATAGAGCACTCACTCCATTGAAAGGAAATATCGAGGGAGTAAGCTGTCTGGTCGAGTCGCATGCCACCTTCCAAGAAGAACTGGAGCAGCCGGCCGCGATTGTCCTCCAGCACTGTGCGGGAGGATGTGGCAACGCGAAATTTGGCTTGCGCACAGAACTCTTCCAGGTCGCTCAGAAGTGGCACGCTCTGGAGATACGCCACGCAAGCCGCCTTCGCGCTAGTCTCGTCTGCAGAGGATGCCACCGACGAGATGGACTGCACCAGGCGGGGAGAAGTGTCGAAGATATCTGAGAGCATGGTGGCTGAGGACGGGAAGGAAGAAGGTGAGCTCGAACAATACCCGTCGAGCATTCAAATACTCCTCAGCTGGGGACCGCTTTGCATGAGAAGCCAGACGCGCGGTGCAAAGCCATCGAGCGAGCCATAATGGAAAAGGAACGCGTGGAACGGTCACTCGATTTCGTCACGGTCCAGTCATGCAAATGACAGGAAGAAGCAGGTGTTTTTCCTGGCAGCGCTGGACAAAGGCCTGTTATCCATTGTCGCAGACACCGCTGAGTAGCAGAACCTTGATGGATGACGAGATAGAGATGAGGCTGGATTACGTGCTGCGCGGCTGGCGGTGTGAGAATTTGGAATCCCAGTAGACAGAAAGCGGTGCGGTGAGAAATACACGCTTTATGATTTCCCATGGGTTTTCGCGTTCTTACGTTCACGCTGGCTGGGCTGGGAACGGACGCCAGAAGCTCAGTATTGAGATAGACACAAGCCCTTTCACACCGCAAGAAAAGCCACTCCACGGGGTGCGAGAGGTGCGCACAAAGCCAAAGCGTCGGACTCAGTAAATGGACCCTTGACAGGGCGCATGTGCTCCCAGGATGAGTTTTGAGCACGAGGAGATAACGGGAGGTGTATTGCCTCATTGGGTCATGGCGGGGGATCAGGCTGCGCGTTGGGCAGGGTGGGGAGCATTTAGAAAATCCGCGGAAAATGGTGGTTTCAAGTAGACGGCGAAAAATGTCAAAAGGCTTCAGCGGTCGTGAAAACGGCGGTAAATTTATCACGAGGACCAAATTCAGGATGCGTGGCATGTCCAAATTTGGTCATGGTTGATCCGACGGTGATGTGATGGCATCAGCTGCCATCTCATTCGACCCCCGTGCTGGCGCTCTGACAGGACACTATCCCACACCTCCTCAAAGAATGACGAACGCCTGCCAACTCGGTCTTGGGTGCGTCGGAAAGCAGTTGGCTCGAGCTCTCCTTGCGCAACTCAGAACATACTCCAACCTATCCCATGGATCCTTGTAGGTCCTTGTTTACTTCCAACTCCTCCGGGTCGTCAAGTCGACGCCAAAGCGCTGGTGCAAAAGTGCTCTTGTTCTCGATACGACTACACGGCGCAGCCCGCTGGCTACATACAGTTACAATTGCTCTCTCGTTGTCCGCCATCCACCCCTCCCCGCTACAAATGCCTCCCACACAAGGCTCGACTCGGATGTACGCTATACGGCACAAACGACCGACACCCAGCGCGCTCACAAGGGCGCATCAGCCGTGACGTAATGGACTTCACCGAAACTATCTTGGCCGGCCCTGCCCCTACGCTCCCCTGCGCTGGCCGGTAGCGGTACAGGACGACCGACTGCTCGCAGCACGACTCCCAGGCACCCGGAGGCATGAACAGGCTCTGTGTTTGCACTGGGCCAAGGCAGTAATCGAGGAAGAAGAGCGCGGAGCTGCGCAGAGAGCGGATAAGGGCCTCGAGGACGAGGTCGGTGCTGATGGTCACCGCGCGGTGAACGTCCTTGGAGATGGAGTGGAGCACGCGGAAGGAGGCGACCGGGACCGCGGTGGCACCACGCTCGTCTAGAGAGCAGCAGCAGTCAATCATCATGATACGTGGGTCCGTTGCCGCGCCTGTGCTTACCCCATTGAACGCTGAGCGTCCACCCTGTGCAGCGGTCTTGCGTGTACTCGCCCCGCGCGATCTCGATCACGAAGGACATCCCTTGGGTAAAAATGCGGTCCCGGAAAACTGCTGTGGTTTCCGGAAAGGCGTGTGGTAGGCGGCTAGAGACACCTCCGGAGGCGGGGCTGATGAATACATTGATTTCGAACTCGGTGCGCCTGAGTTCGGTCATGTAAGTCACGAGGATCTCATTGGCACCACTCGCGTCGGCGAACGACGTGGTGCGGGGCTCTGGAAAGCGTTGGACGAGGACAGACATCTGGGGGAGCAGAGGAAGCTGGTAGCCCTTCATGGCCGCCAGGCGGGGGTATATAACTGGGCGTTCCTGCGCTATGGCCCTCGAGATGACGAGCCCAATTAGGAAAGTCCAGACACCTGTCAAGTTCTAGTAAAGCGCAATTGAAAGAAAATGAGAAGGTTGATGAGCGGAGCGCACGAGGATTTGCTGCAAACCTCCTACGAGAGGAACTCGTCGCAGACACCTGTGCAGTGGTTTTCCCGTGAGTACCAGCACGTCGGCCACCGCCTGAGTGTCGACGGCGGGGCCGACAAGAGATCAGCCCTGCCTACCACAAACGAGAAGCATGACGTGACTATCTGAGAGGGCTGACACATTACGGCATTTGCTCATGGCCTCCGACCGATGCCCATGATTCTATCATGTCGAAAATGAGCGATGCGAATCAGGAAGAAGCTAGGGAGGGCTACTGGGGTCGACCGTCGACGCCGACATTCCAGACACGGTACATCACTGAATATCTTGCTAGTAAAGAAAGACTAATGCTGCCAGCGAGTACCAGCAACTACGTGAAGTGGATGAGTGAAGTGCACATCCAAGAATTAAATGACGTCGTGGATCATTGTCTCACGTGAGACTGAGTCCCCGGGGCTTCATCTGATCAGTCATTCACTTGCTCAGGATCAGTCTACCTCCCGAACGGCCTCGAGTCAGTCTCAGGGGGAAATCGGTTTCAATGATTACAAACCTGGGCGCATCCCTCTTTCGCGCCCTGGCTTTACTGGAACCCATCGAGCTCAGCGACATTGCAAAGGAAACTTGTCGACAGCACCATTGCCTACTTTCACGTCCTGGACTTTCTCGTGTCTGAACCTTTCTCGACCGGATGCTGTTTTACAATTTGCGTCTTTGAGGGTGGTTTCTTGCGGTGCTCAGACTCGTTCGAACGCTTGGCTTGAACAGAAGGGGGATTGACTACAGAAGCTACTTTTGCTCATCTGCTCGGAGGCGAATGACGTGACGTTCGGATGGTGGGAAACCGCACTGATCCCTCATTCCGTACGCTGATCCACCACCAATCTCGAGAACAATGAAGCCCCCGCTACAACTACCCGGTTTACCAAGCTACTCCCTCTCCCATGTACTTCCAACTCATCGCTTTGCTTTGTGCAATGTGGTAATCCTAACGGCACATTGTTTATTTCTTCGCGCTTTGGCTGATTTTGACAGGTTAGTACGTGAGCGGATAGCCCATTTCCCAATCTGGCGGGCAGTCTCGAGGGCCATAGCGCACCAGTTTCTGTTTTATATCCCGCGCTCGCAGCGATGCAGAACAGCCCACACCGAGCCTCCCATCCTCCAGCCACCCTTCCGATCCATCCCAGATGACTCTCCTCGTCAGCCGCTTCCCGCGTCCCAATGGCACGTTCGTCGACTCCATCAGCACCGTCGAGCAGCTGCTCGTCCGGTACATGACTGCCTTGCGCCGCAGAGAGCAGGAGGTCCAGTCGGGCATGACTTCGAGTCAACTTCCACCCGACTTTCCTGTCACGCAGAGCAAGTTTCTTGCACGCATCGACAATTCGCCCGGCTATTCGTTCTTCGCCAGCATCAAGTACCGTGTGTATAACCGCGAGCAATGTTCCGGGTGGACGCTTTACGTCCAGTGGGGTCAGTGAAATATTCATCAGCGAGCTGAATGCACTCAACAGCTGACAATTCCTCCAGAAGAGCGAAACGCCGAGCGGCCTACCGCCGTCGCGTCATTCCGCATTCCCAACACCATCGCCGGGGATATATATCGCTCCGTGCAGATCACCACCGACCTCGTGCTCGAGGCGCTCATCGCCTCGCTGTACAATGCGGCACCCGTCGCCCTTGTCGTGACCACCGGTCCGGTGTACCAAGAACCAGGGAACTCTGGCTGGCTGGCGCGCTATGTCGAGTCGGTAGTCCTCCAGGTCGATGCCAACGGCAATCCCAATGGCGCGCACGCGGTCCGTACTGTGGACCAGCGGGTCATGTGCCCGTGTCTCGGAGCTGTGCAAGGATGTCGGGCATGGGTGCCGGCGAGCGCACAGCCTGCTTTGTGCAAAGACCACCTCGGAATGCGATAAGCGTAAATGTGGAGAAGAAAGCATTCGGACCCTTGTACTTGTATTCACTGCATGTAAGACGTAGTCATTTGAGAACAAGAACACTTGAAACAGGCAGGATGATCCCCGAAAAAACAAGGACTTTGATTGATCTACATCACCGCTCCGCGGTGAAAGGACGGAACCTATGCGGATCAGATTCTTCATCAAACGATGCTCCGCTTTGTTCCGCCATACTTCATCTAACATCCTGTTTCTGCGTCGCACGATGGACGTGCGCACGCATTCAACCACCCAAAAATGTGCGGCTAAGAAACCAATGCGCCTTGAGGCAAGCGCGGGCAATGTTTCATGCAACAGGAATATTGCGTGTTTATTTGGGGTTGCAAGAATGTCCTGAAATGGACAAAACTCACGCCTTGGATGTGATCATGTTCTGAACACTCACGTGACGTACACACAAGTTCAGATCTCACGTGGCCGGTCGATGAGTTACCGAGGGCCGACGACACGTGACTGTGTTGACGAAAGTCAGGTTGCTTTTCACCAGTAGATTATATATTTCTATACCGTAGACAACACAGGCACACTTCATGCATGCCGAGGATTTCCCAGTGTTTCAAGTACATATAAGGAGTTGGGTTCGCCCTGGTTCGCCTGAAATCTGCCCCGGAACCATGCATTAAATAGCAATAAATAAATAGTAAAATATTAACTGATTAGTACATAGTCTCGGAGCCCTCGTTGTTTGACCTCTTCCTTGCTGCCCGGAATGTGCTAAGCTCAGTAGCATTCGATCCCAGCGCTTGCCACGGCGTTGCTTCAAATGTGTGCACGCCCCATGAAATCACCGTCTGCGACTGGCTTGCCTTCTTCAGATTCAATGTGATGCGGGTTATCATCACCGACGAAACACTGCACATATCAAGTCAGTCCAAGGGCATAGCTGGACTTGAATAGATATCTCACAGCATGGCCGGCTGGTTGTGAAGGAACTTGAGGGCTGGCTGCATCATTTGCGGTCGATCAGCAGACAAGGATAGCTTAAGACCGTCGCACATACCGGAGCGTATTGAATTAGCAGCACCCAGAGCAGGTTCGAGCTGAAGAGGATGAGGAAGTACATGATCCCATCCCGCTGAATGACTTGGATGATGGGCAAGAGCTTGTACGAGCGCTGGCGGCGCAGTGTGACACCGAAGATCACGAGGAAGGCGATGGTATCGTACGCCAAGGCCAGGCCCAGGAAGGCTTTCACGTACGGTGTCACAGTGAGTGTCGAGATGAAAATGCAGACTGGATTTCAGATATGAGAAATGGGTGCGGGAAATGCTGTCTATACGATCGACTCACTATGATATGGATCGATCGTTGGCAAAACGGGCAAAGCGGGTATCGTTGCCGCCACCGAGGAATCGATGTCACGGCGGACTGGGAGCAGAAGAGCCACTTGGTCAGTTCCCAGACTCGATTGCGACATGGCATATATCGCGATTCCCCACTGTGCAAGGAGGACCAGGATCGTGAAGGCGGGGAATAATTTATGTTTCGCGGTGATAGCGTACACTCTAGCTCTAGTCAGCAAGCAGAGAAGTCGGGAGCAGCAAACACTTTACCGGAGGGCGATGAATAGCTGGGCAGTGGTCGTGAGTGTGACGGTCTCAAACGTCTCCATGAATCCGTATCGACTGCAAACACCCAGCGTCCATTGTGGAGAAAAGTAGGCAAAGAGCGTGATCACAATGTAGCAGGGAGCGAGATAGCGATTCTTTGAGGGACATTAGCAGCATTCGAAATGACCCAATCGGGGGAGCTCGCCAAGATAAATAGCCAGAAAACCGGCGTCTTTCTGCCCTTCCAAGCATAATTAACCTGACCAGTGGATGAGCAGTCATGCAGAGAACACAGTGATAACTGACCTCGTCATCAAAGGTGAGGAAATACTCGTAAAACCACCAAGCGGAGGCGGCGACCCAGTACAGCTTGATGGAAAATCTACCAAGAAAATCAGAATCTCACACATGGGGCTTGATCAGAGGACCGACAATTGGAATCCGAGTTCGATTATCTTCTCTTGCAGGTCAGACATGTCGGAATGCGACGGGGCACAACATCACTGAGGGCCGGGTTATATTCGAAATCTGATCAATCTCCAAGCACCCAGATCTCGCCACCGTTTCATCCGAATGCGCGCTAATTCCGCACGGGGAATAGAGGACATCAGGCGACCGCTCGAAACTTGACGTATTCGACGCAAGCGGATCAGGGAATGCATTCGTCACCGGGGCGTGTGTGCCGTCGGCCTGTTTCCGGGCACAGCACGCGGTCTGTTCCTTTGCATGTCGCGCCGCAATATGATCAGGGATGGTGGCCGTTTGGTCTGGAGAGATGGCGTCTCAGCTCGCGTAGGAGTGTCAGTATCGTCGTCGAAACAAGTCTAGATGTTCGCTATCAATCCCGGTATCTTGTCTATTCTGCACAGATACAAGGTGGGAGACATTGTAAAATCAGCGCCCAAGTTTACCGAGCACTCAAAAACGCGGTTCGGTGGAAGAATGGGGAGCTCCGATCCTCTTGAACAGATCTTGATGTTCCCGCCCGGAATCTCGGAGTTCGCGCCCGTTTAGAAGCACCTTGAGTGATGCCGGAAATGAGGCGTGCACAGCATACTCTGATCTCAGTCGGCGGATTCTTCTCACGACCTGTCATCGTTCCTTTTTCAGTCGCGAGCGTGTCCCTCAGCTCGGCAGACTCGAAACACATGGGTCGCAAGATCAAAGTAAGCGGGTACCTGGTGTTAGATGATTGGTCCCCAGCTCCTTCCTTTGATCAGATCTTACTCTTGTGCTGTTGAAGGACCGACTCAAGATGATCGATATCCTGTCCCCGAAAAGGCTCACAAATGCCGTGGGCGATTGCAAAACCAGTATACATCTGCGGCGAGTATCCCAAAAGGACTGATATTCCTTGGCCGTAAACAAATCGCAATGGTTGAGTCTCGCAACGACGAAACCTCTCCCCTCCTCGCCACGGCTCCCAGCGAAACAGACAAGACTCCACCTGGTCTAATGAATGTGCCGACCTGGACCGAGCTTCAAGGTTTTTGGGAGCTCTGTAGGCTCCACAACAACATCGGCTTCTGGGTCGTCTGGCTTCCGACTGGTGCGTGTATCATTCAAGCCTACTTTGGCCGCGCTGAATCACGCTCCAGCCTGGTCAATATCCATGGCCTACCGTGCCAACACGAGCATTTCCGCCTTGCAGGCGCTTTTGCGCGCAGCCGAATACATCCCCTTGTGCTTCGGAATCAAGTCCCTCGTACGTTATCGTGGCTGACTTGGTTGGATCTCCTATTTACCCCAGGCGCAGATCATGACTATCGATGACATCCTCGACGAAGACGTGGATGCGTTGGTTGAGCGGACCCGCCTTCGCCCGATTCCGCGTGGTGCTGTTTCGCTGAAACGGGCTTGGCTGTTCTTTTCAGTTCAAGCTCTCGTCGGCGTGTTCTGCGCATTCAGTTTCTTGAGCAAACCTGCGTAAGCGTTTGCCGAGACAAGTCGACCTGTATTTCTCACCCGTATTCCGGGCAGCCTCTACGTTTCCATCCCCGTCTGGCCTCTCTACATTATCTACCCGACTTGCAAGGTCGGTCGCAAACCTCAGGTTCTGAGCTTTCCACTAGACTTATACAAACATCTCAGCGTTGGACCAACCTTGCTCCTGTCCCACTGGTCAGTTGAAATCCTCTATTCATTGCATGTGGTCGAATCATAGCGTGATCCAGGGAATCATGTTCAAGATCGGGGTATTCATGGGCTGGGCTGATATGGTAGGAACAATCAACTGGCACGTCCTCGTCCCTGTCTACATCGGGGCTTGCTGTTGGACTTTGACGTACGAAACGGTCTATCAGCACCAAGTGCGTATTCTCTCCCAGCGGGTCGGAATCACGGCTGAATCCGATTCGCAGGATAAACTCGACGACGTGAAAATTGGTCTCCATTCGCCTGCTCTCTTCGTTGGAGCGCACACGTTGTTTGTCTGCACCATTACGGCCCTCCTCTTTCTTTCGCTCGTCTCTTACGGGGCATTCCTGAACGGACACAGCTGGGCTTTCTTCTCGGCCATGAGCATCGCGGCGTTCCTGCTTCTGAATCGGCTCTGGAAAACCGACATCGACGTACCCGCTGATTGCAAACGTCTGTTCCTCGACACCACACTCATTGGAAATATCATTCTGCTCGGATTTGTAGTCGACTCTCTCTTCTATCGTGTATCGCAAGGTCTGGAAATCTGAGGGCTCGGTAGCACTACAGTCTAAATCGCATTTTCACTTGTCCCGGATAGGCAATGCATAATATTCAGTGATATCTAATGCCAACGATGACATCAAGCCGCTCCAGATCCAATCCTCACATGTATAAATACGAGCATGCTCCCAAAAGCAAAAAAGAGATCATCAACCTCACCCTTCGCACTCTCATTGACGACATCGAACAGCCTGACATGCACAAAATCTTTGATGGAAGAACCGCGAAGTGCCGCCTCCGTGTCGTGATTATCGGCGCTGGCGTTTCTGGCTTGTCTGCAGCGTTTTGTCTGGGGCAAGCCGGGCACGAGATTATCGTGCTGGAAAGCTCTGCCGAAATCCGGGAGACCGGTGCAGGAATCCAACTGGGACCGAGTGAGTTGTCGCTCTGTTTCGGATCCATCGTGAATCAACCGCGGGTGCTGATACGCCGGCTGCGAGATATGTCGAGATTGCTCATGCGATGGGGGCTCGCCGACCGTCTAGCCCAGCTCGCTGTCAAACCACTCTCAGTTTCATTCCGCCGATGTAAGAAGGAAGAGTCTGGGCTTGCATTCGCCGATGATCATTTGATACTTCTAGATGAAACGGGCGAGCGGATTGGATTTGCTGAGTTTGGAGATAGTATGGCGTTCACGCATGGGGCCCCGTACCTCCACATACATGTGAGCTTCCATCGCTCTAGTGCCCCGGATCATTCTCAACCTTGTTGATATGAACAGAGGGCAGATCTTATAGCGATGCTTGCAAGCCTCTCTGCTCCTTTTGCGGATATCCGACTCTCATCTCGGGTCAAGGCGGTGAATCCAGCCGATGGCACCGTCGCGCTCGACAACGGAGAAATAATCACGGCGGATCTGATTCTAGGAGCAGACGGCGTCCGGGTGGATCCATATGCTCGACTATCGCACACCCAAACAGCTTACCATATATTCTCCCACAGAGTGTCACGCGGCGGGCCATATTTCCGGATGCGGAGGAACGCGCCATCGCCACAGGTGATGCGGTTTTTCGGGTCGTCATTCCGACCGCGCCCTTGTTGGCAGATCCGGACTTGCGAGCGCTCGTTCTCATTCCTGAGGCGACCTGCTGGATGGGGCCCGGCCGACATGTGGTCGGATACTGTATCGTAAGCGATCGCGCCGAGTCATTTGTCATTGCATTCAGCTGATATCGGATTTCCATCACACAGAGCGGAGCGACAGAGTACAACCTCGTCTTTCTGTGCCCTGACACCTCATCTGGAAAATTCCATGACTCGTGGACTGCGGACGGGGACGTCGAAGAAATGCGTCGCATCTTCGCCAACTTTGAACCACAGTGAGTGGTTTTGAACATGTTATGTCAAATTGGAACCATACTTGGACAGAGTGCAGAAACTGCTTAAACTGACAAGCACCGCGAAGGCCGGAAAATTGATGTTGCACCGCCCCCTCGCTACATGGCTGTCGGAAAACCGACGTGTTGCTCTCATTGGCGATGCATGTCACTCCATGCTGGTGAGGCGTATGGTACCAATCCAGAACCTTGGCAAGAACTGACTTGTTACCCTTTATCCTGCCTAGCCGTATCGGGCCCAAGGCTCTGCCATGGCTGTGAGTCGTCGAACTTGCTACTGTCATCTCCTCTGAATGATACTTTCTTCTTGATAGATTGAGGACGCTGCGGTTCTGGGGAACCTTCTATCGCGTATCACTCACAAGTCGCAACTCACTCATCTTTTGGAGGCGTATCAAACACTCCGCATTGGACGCGCGACTGCGACACAGAATGCAGCGGCGGCGAATCAGCTGACCTTCCATCTGCCTGATGGCCCGGAGCAGCAAGAACGGGACGCTTCCATGCGCCGCGCGATGGAAACCCGGCAGGACCCAAATGCAGGCAGTGCGAATATGTGGGCGGATCGGGAGAGAAGCATCGAGCAATTTAGCTACGACGCAGATGAGGCCGTCGACCGCTGGTGGAGGCAGAACTCTCACCTTGTCGCAGAGCAAGCCAAACTGTAGATTGAATGCGACGTCAACTCGGTCGGCAATCGCCATGTTACCTAAACGCTTAACTACCTTCCAGTCTCATGCTAGGCATGAGTCGGTTAGACTATGAGTTTGGGTTGAACAGCTCTCAGATTCTGTGCTGTTAGAGGTATCTATTCTGGTCCATGTGCGGCAATACCGCACATCTCGGTCGAGTCACGTTATTATGAGTCCTGATGGATATGTGGACCCTGAGAACAAAGCCGCCCAAGAAGCGCGGTGAGACGACGTAGTCTATTCTGATTTGCTGCAGCTGCGTAAGGCACCCGAGTCTAGACCTGAGACCGCGCCCAAATACTCTCACGCTTGTCTCCGCCATCTCCCTTTTCGCTTCAGTGGCAACGGTTCACGATCTTGGACCTGGAACTTGATGTCTTCTGGTTCTCCCGCATCTGAGAGATGAGTTCTGAAGTTCCAGATCTCTGCACGCAGAAATCAGTTGTGCAAATGGCTCGGGCCCGTCAATCCGTTTGTGAAACATGATCACCAGGAAGCTCGCGGACGGACGGCATCTGTATTGAGCGAGATCTGCTCGCGGTCCAATACGAATTGTCAATCAGGGAACGTGACCCGTGCTAGTCACAGTCATTTACCCTGCTTATATGCGCCCACTATGAGCTGTGTCTGCATCTCGACCACGCTCTACCATGACTTCTGCCATTCGCCAGCTTCTCGACATAATCACCAAGAACGTCGAAGTTCTCGAGCAGGCGGGGCTCACGATTCCCGACCTGGCCGAGCCTTTCGCGCCGCCCTCTGAGGCGTTCCGCATGGATCCCGCCGGGGGCCCTGCCGCAGCTGCGATCAGCGCCGCAGCGCTCCAGCTCGAGGCGATCCTCACTCCTCCCCACATCTCCTTGTACCGGATCGTCAGCGGTGTGCGTCTCTCCGTATTTCCGCCCTCGTAACACCTCTTGATCGATTTGAACAGCACTTCAAGTCTGCTGCGCTTCGCGTGTGCCTTGAGTCCAGCGTGACTGAGATTCTGCGGGAAGCTGGCCCCCAGGTTTGTGCCTTACCCTATCTTCTCAACCGTGCACCTTGGATGTTGACGCACGTTGGCTTCAGGGTCTCCATGTCAAGGACATTGCTGATAAGAATGGTCAAGATCCCGAAAAACTCGGTGGGTGCCTCCACCACGGATTGTGTCTCAAAGCCCGAATCTCATGTTCTTTTTCAACAGCCCGCTTCCTGCGCTATCTTGCTACCCACCACGTGTACCGCGAGGTGGCGCCCAATGTGTTTGCGAACAACCGCATTTCCAGCATGCTCGATACCCTGAAGCCTGCAGCGGATGTCATCGCGCAGTGCGTTTCTTTCAATTTGGTTGCTGCCCGGATACTCACTCGAACTCCAACCCAGCCCGGAGACGAAGCACGTCGGCACAATGGGACTCGCCGCCCTCGCGGGCCACCACTTGGATGAAGCCTTCAAGGCGTCGGCATACGCCTGGGAGACGCTCGAGGACCCGAAGACCGTCCGGTCCGGTGATCCGACCGCGTCTCCCTTCGCCCGTGCGATGGGCCGTGCCGAGACTCTGTGGCAGTATTACGAGCGCCCGGAGCAGAAGTGGCGGCAGGATCGTTTCGGGATCGGAATGCAGGGGATCCAGGCGCTTCAGCCGCCCGATGCTGTTGTTCAGGGTCCGTTCCATGTTTTTTCTGTTCTCCTCGCGATAAAGCAAGCTGATGTGATCGCGGATAGCGTACAAGTGGGAAGAAGTCTCTCCCGGATCGCTGATCGTTGATGTCGGTGGAGGTGTTGGAACGTCGACCTTGACGCTAGCGAAGAAGTTCCCCGATCTTAAGTTCGTCGTGCAGGATCTCGAAGCTGTAATTGGTCAGGCTAAGGATGTGCGTTTCCTTTGTGGCGGGTGTTGTTCTGGCTGAGTGCTCACCGTGTGTCCAGATCTGGGCCACAGAGCATCCTGAGGCCATTTCGTCCGGCCAGGTCACGCTTCAAGGTAAGCTCTTCGTCCTTTGCTCTCATTCCTCGAGGACTGGATTTATTCCATCTGTAGTCCAGGATTTCTTCGTACCCCAGCCCCAAAACAACGCATCCATTTACTTGTTGAAGCAAATCATGCACGACTGGTCCGATGAATATTGCGTCAAGATTCTCACCCAACTCTCCAAAGCCGCGAAGCCCGGTGCGACTCTTCTCCTGCTCGATAGCGTGATGCCGCTGGCCTGCCGAGACCCGAGCGCCGACGGACCCGGCGGCATCCCCGGTGCGGCACCTGTCGAGGCGCCCGCGCCGTTGCTTGCCAACTACGGTGGCTACAACGATATGGGATACAATGCTGATTTCGACGTGCGTCACCGGTTCATTCTCCCTCCATACACCTACCGAACTCACGATTTGCACAGATGTTCTTGCTATTCAACTCGCAGGAACGCACCGTCATCCACTTCACGGAGTTGCTCGCCAAGACGGGCTGGACCGTCGTCGCGGTCCACCGCCAAGCGGGGGACAGCACCTTCCTCCAGAGCATCGAGGCGAAGAAGGTGGCGTGAAGACTCATCCCCTGGCTCGAGCTAGAAAGCGCTCAATATGCTATGCGTTTCTTTCCAGACGGCCAGAAAAGCGAGTTTATGACGGTTAATGAAACGTGCCGGGGGCCCGATTGCGTACCTGCGGTGCTTGTGAACTCCACTTCTTGAGGTGCTCTTTTGCCCTCTGTACGATTACCGTCTGTTATCTATTTTTGCATGGGAATGGAATCTTTATCAGATACTAAGCTAAACCGTTCCTCGCGGAAAAATATGTTTTGCTGCATGGGTAGATGTTGGTTGGATTGTCGCAGTTGAGACGGTGCCCTTGATCGGATCAGATGCCGGGTCAAATATCCCATAGACATTTTGCTTCACGGCACGTATGCACTTCTTTTCTTTTTTCAATCTTGAATACCCCACCCGGTCTTTTTTACGATTCATCGTTCTCTGTTTCGAGCTTGTTCTGCTAAGGCCGGCGACAAGTTGCGACGAAATCCATGGCGAAGCTCACGAAGAACCATTGAGCCACACGGCAGCTTGACCAGACCAAGACGTGATCCTGAGACTCTTGTTGGCTGACTGCTTGCCATCATCACATCGAGGTGTCGCTGAATGTCATGCATTTGCTGTCCACCTCGTCTCTGTTTCCTCCATTGCCCATGTCCCTCATATTCTCGTTGAGGTGAAACCGTTTCCAGCCCTCACCAAATGGCGGCTATGACTCGACCAGGCAATGTGAGCATTGGACTAAGGGCATCAGCCTGCATCAGCGCGGCCAACTCTCGATTCGATTCGAATACAAACAAGACTTCGTTGACAGCTGCCACCCGCGGAACGCCCCTAAGAAGGAAGAATGCATTCACGATCCGTCCACTTCATTTCATTCCGGGGTTCCTCGCGAGCGCTTCGATCGCCGCTTAAAAAGCGGAAGGCTGCACTGCGCACTTCCGCCCTCGCTCTCTGTCCCCGCCAGCCATGTCGTCGTCGTCGTCATCGCACTACGGCACATTCACCGAGCCTCCGCCGCCAAGCTACGACGAGGAGAAGCAGATCGCTCGAGCCGCAGCCGCGCCCGTGACCTGGATAGACTGGCTCATCGCCCTGCTCGTCGACTTCACCACCTGCGTCTTCGCCTCGACGGCTCTCCTGATCGTCCTGCTTCTCGTCACCGGAATCGAGCCTGAGCACATCTCGGTCCCGCTCGCATTCGAGATCACGTTCTTCTTCACGGGAGTTGTTATCGGCATGTTCGAGCTGGGGCGCTGGTGCATAGATCGCTCGGGGAGTGGTCATTGTACCATTGAGAGGGGCTCTGGAGAGAGCAGAGGGCTGCGGGATGGCTCAGACACTCGGCAGCAGATGGTCTAGCACTTCCCAGGTGTGTCCCTCCTGCTTCGCGCTCATCAAGTGCAACGCATCTGACCGGGATCCTCCCAGCACACATTCAGATGCGCCGTTCCTTGTTCGTTGTATCACCACTCTCGCTTGTATCTCTCTTTTTCATGGAATTGGGAATCGTAATGCGCCTTGTTTCAAATCTGAATCGTGGGGTGGGCTCTCTCCTATCGTAGTGTCGTGGCCCTCTAGCAGAGGAGCTAGAACATGACGAGCGGTGAGAGGGATGTGGACCGAGATCAATGAGTGAGTGGATGTGGATCGTGAAAACAGGCGAGGGATACGTTTCTATGGTAGGAAGAGAGGGCACCCAGGGATGGCCATTGTGGGTTTTGGGGAGAGTAAAAAGGTCTCACTCTGAGAGATGTCCGCGGGGTGGATCGAACACCCGGCTCTTCGGATTGTGTCTATACCACAACGAAGTGATTTAGCCACTAATCGACGCAGACCGGAATCGACGCTTCGAACTGTGGCTCAGAGTCGTCTCAGTCACAAGGATCCAATCTAACTATCAATGTTGGCAAACGCATCGTTCAGTGGCACTGGCAGTTGTTTCAGTGCGTAGAATCCACGCCGCTCACTGCGGACTCGGTGAGGTTTCTGAATCAAAATAGCTGCTGGACCGTGTGTGATACTGGAGCCTGTCACCGTGACAGCCAATCATTGTCTCTCTGCACTACCCATCCAGTCCGTCGACGCATATCACGCAAGTCGGTCATGTCGTCCTCGTCTCTGTAACATCTTCCTCCTCGAGCATCGACCCCGCGCCGCCCAACCTGATCTCGCACTGCTCCTCCTCCTGTGGCATCCTGTGACTCGGCACCCTCAAGTCCAGCGCGGCATCGCGGAGCGCAAGCAGACGCATATGCGCGATGGCTGCAGCGCCCCCGCGCCGGGCATGCGTCGTCTCGAGTATCCGGTCCCAGTCCGGATACCGCCGTTCCCGCAGACGGTCCCAGATCCAGCGCGAGCCCGGTCCAATAAGATGAGCGAGGTCCGGAAGCCACAGGTTGTCGCAGATGCGGATCCACTTCATCGTGCGACTCTGTGAGGGCATGCGGGTGTTAGTCGAGATCAGGGGTTGGAGAATACGAGACACTCACGGGGGAGAGTGCATTCAAGCAGGGATGGGCAGGATTCGCCCCAGGATGTGACAGATTCAAAGGCCCCGTCCATGTTTGGCTCAATTGGTAGCGCGTCATCTGCGTCCATCACATTGACGCAGCTGACGGCCAGCCGCTGCAGGCACGAAAACCGAGTCAAGAGCCGGCGTATCGCGTCCAGCTGTTCAAGCGGTCAACTCCAGATCGGTGAGCGGCTGCGCTTTCCCACTGACTGGAGACGTTTCAGCTGACACCCTACTCACAGGCACGAAGAACAGGTTCGTCAGACTGAGCGCATAGATGTGCGGAAGATGCCATGAGATCTGCTCGAGCAGGTCGAGATTCCAGCTGTGTCTCCGGCACGCCAGGACGTTCAGCGTGTCCGTGCTGCGTCGCTCGAGGGCGGCAAACACGTCCTGGTTGTCCCGGGCCTCGTCTGCGTCGTCCCACGTGATGAATGCGGCGCGTAACGACGCGTGTCGGGCCACGGGCGCCAGGCACGTACTGTTGCCGACGAAGTACTCGAGTCCGGGTAACCGGATTTCGCCCCCCAGGCTCGTGGGCTCTAGGCTGTCGAGCTGGAGGTAGCTGATCCTGGGGTGCCGACTCAAAAACGCCGACATCCGCTCGTCGAGCGAGAAACAGCTCTCGAGATGCGTCAGCCACGGAAACGAGCACTGCTGGAGCGCGGATACGAAGCTGCTTGTCGTCTGCTCTGGGGCGAAGATGACGAGCCGGGTCACATTTGTCAGGCGGACGAGGCAGTGTTGCACCAGGGCGGAGAACGATGCAAGGGATATCAATTCGCGTCTGTGCGTAAGCGGTGAGCAACAACGAGTGATCTCGCATACCAAGTAACTCACCTGCAGTTCACCTCAATGCTTCGCACCGCCAGCGGATTCGGCGTCGCCACAATGGCCCGGAAGCACTGCACTAGAGCCGACGGGGAGCGGAGAACGATGTGCCCATAGATGAATCGTATGCAGAGGGAATGGAATGCGTGCGAGACGCGGGAGAGCGCCAGATACGACTTCGGGATGGGAGGAAGGAACGCGATGATCTCCTCGACTATCTCTGGTGCAAGAGCAGCTAAGGAATGTGCTGACGGTGACGACGGCAACGACGAGGACGAGCGAGAAGAGGATGCCATAGCCAGGTTGTTCGGGAGGTCTCCGTCCTCAATTTATGACGCTGCTGCCGCACGCGAAACACGAGGCGGTAACCACGGGTGCAGTTCGACCAGCAACAGAGCCACAGGACAAGACAGATGCAGCGTGACCACGACTGGTGGTAGCAGCAAATAGAAGGACAGCAGCCCTTCTACTTCTCAGGCTGGACCGGCGTTCAAAAGGGCACCGAGCGGCCCCGGCTACGTGTGAGGAGAGAGAATTAGAAGCGGGAAACGTGAGCTTGCCGGTACCCGAATCTTCCACGCGGGTTGACATCTCTGGTACCTCCCGGCAACTGTCTAAACCTGTCTACGCTCTATTTCAGGTCGTGCAGCAGCCTGTGATTTAGTCATTGATGATGTGTGTTATACCGGACTCTGCCATCAATGCGTACACGTTTTGGGTATGAATGAACCTCATTCAAGTTTCCAGTGGTCATTGACGCAGCGTCATCCCGCTCCCGCTTGAAGTGCTCGCGGCTAAGGGCGAGGTCAACCACGCCGTCGTAACCTCCGGTGCTGTTACTTATCTCCGACTTGGTTTTCTCTGCGAGTTACCTCGCTCCCTGGACCCGGCTATTTTTGCCGTCCACTGCTTTTACCGCGCTAAAACCCGCTTGAACCCTCGCTACTGTGTGGCCTCCCCGGGGCCCCGAGGATACTTATGTCAAGGGGGGGGCGAATATTTCTTCAGTGTCTGGCAAGCATAAAAGAATCCTCATGCTTATTGTAAAAGCGGGGGAACCCGAAGCCAGAGGAACAGAGCGGACAATGACAAAGTGGAATGGGTACCGCGACTAACAGGCCCGACTTGTATCAAAATGGACGCACAGGGATTTGAACCCTGGACAGCTCGCAAACACAAGAATGCAAAGCGAGCATGATACCACTACATCATACGCCCGTGAGCTGCCCCGACCGGCTCAAGAAGATGATCTGACTTTGTCTTCTCTCGTGAAACACTTGAGCGCCAACATTGATCTATTACGGACGTGCACCAAGCACATGCAGATGATAGAGCAATTTACATGCGTGTTTTCCTTTCAAAGTAAAAAAGGGATCGCCTATGCGTTCAAGTGAGTTATCATCTGTTAATCAAAGTGTAACCGTCCTATGCGCAGCGCAAGTCCAATAGACAGGCTGACGATCCCAAGTCGTGCTCAGCGATACACCGTTTGAGGAGGTACATTGCGAGAAAGAGAAAAATGGCATCTTCAGCCGATTTCAGAGTCACCACCAGCCTTTGCAGTTGCTTCGCTGGCCGCAAGATACGGGCCAGGGCGGATGCGAGCTGGGACAAGACGGTCAGTGGGCGGCAGCACAGACATGTGGAGGAATACAGACTCGTTTCAAATGCTCGGTTGCGATAACGTCGACTGAAATCGACAGTTCCAACACGGTCAGGGCTGGGAGCCACTCGCATATATGCACGCAATTCGACAACTCTGCGACCGTGATCGAGCACCAAAGGGCCCGGAGTGACGACAAGTCAAGCTTCGCCAAGGTCGCCCATGACATGCAGTCCGAGTTGACTGTGAGCCTTGCAACACAAGAGGGCGCGAGGGCCGCAGCACCAGAGAGTAGAAACGGAAGGCAGTCCTCCGGGGTGATGAGCTTTCTGAGCCTCGGGAACAACCGCTCGCCCCTGTCTCCCACATCCGCAACCCACGTTGCGACGTCCAGCTTGAGGCGCTCTACGTTCGGAAACACGCGCGCCAGGATCAGGACCTGCGAGGCGCCGAGTCGGAAGCAGCTCACGCTGAGCGATGTCACGGCGGGGAACTCCAGCGCGGCGAGCCGTGAGCCGATGACAAGGCAACCCCGGAAGTGGAGGGTCACAGTGCGCAAGCGGGAAGGGTCCACGAGCTCCATGAGGCACAGATGGGAGGTGAGCGAATCGCGGCTGCGCTGGCGCGAGGCATGGAGGACTAGCCGGTCCACACGCAGCAAAGATACGGATTTCGTCGTCTCCATTGCTGGTACTATAACTCCGCCATCAATCACCAGTTCCTCCAGCCCTGCATGTATCTTCTCCAGGCCAAGTTTCCCTACATGCACCGCCGAGTCGTACCCAAATACGAGCTCGAGCCGGCGCAGGCTCTTGAAAGTCGGGAGAGTCTTCAGCAGAGCCACGACGAGCTCGTTATCGCTCGCACGCGACACGCTGCCGACCTGCGCGCCGTCATTATTCGCGGTCCGCGCAAGACATGGCCGCAGGCTGCAGTCGATTGCAAGGTTCCGGACGCAGAGCCTGGTTTCCCTGCTCCTCAGGGCATCGAGGCGCGCCAGAAACGCCAAGTCTTTCGTGTTCGGGCCCAGGTGAATACGAACCTTGCGGAAGAGGAGGGGATGGGCGATGTCGTGGAAGTTCCACGATAGGAGGTGGATGGCACAGAGGTCGGCGGGGCCGATGTTCTCGAGCACGAGCGACCACAGTTCTGGTGGGAGGTGCATGGAGGGCAGAGCCAAGAGTGCTTGGATAGTGACGCCTCCGCTCACGAGTGACGGTCGCTAATGAACAGGAGATATCATACGTGCGCGTGAGGAATGCAGCCCTCAGTTACGGACCGTGCCTGATGCAGATCTCTGTGAGTGAGAAGCTGCGACAGGAAGACACTGGGCACACCTGGCCCCAGATGCCACCACAAGAACGATTGCAAGTTGGTCCTCTCGTTTCCATTTGGTCGGCCAAGCTAATAGTTCTTCTATCGGCAAACGTGCGGCGATACGCTCGCTGCATGGTGCCGCATCGGTGCAGGATTGACGCTCCCGCCACGGGCCGGCCTAGGTAAAAGTGGGAGGAAAGTTATTTCTGTGTGATGAGTCAGCATTTATTCGGGACCCGTGACCCCTCATCCTGACGCACACATGCCTCACAGTCTGCATTCGCACTCTGGACAGTTCTGCAGTCACGCGGTCGGGTCTCTAGAACATGTCGTGCTGGCTGCGATCGAGAAGGGGTTCCAGATCTACGGACTCAGCGAGCATGTACCGCGCTATCGAGAAGACGATTTGTACCCCGAGGAGGTGTGTGCAATATATATTCCCCAAGCTAGACTGCCGGTCACGACGATCAGCGAGAACTCACGCTTCAAGACCTCTCTGAGCGATTCGGCCGATACCTCGATGAGGCGCATAGCCTGAAAATCAAGTACGCCAGCCAAATCACGCTTCTGGTCGGGCTGGAAACGGAGTACATCACGGATGACGACTTGGATAAGCTCGAAGCGCTGTTAGCGCGGTATGGCGAGCGCGTGGAATACCTCGTTGGATCGGTGCACCACGTCAACGGCCTGCCGATCGACTTCGACGTAGCCACGTATCGCTCTGCCGTCGCCTCGGACCACGGCCGCTTCCTATCCCGCTATTTTGACGCGCAGTACGAGCTCTTGCGCCGGTTCAAGCCGGAGGTCGTCGGGCACTTGGATCTGTGCAGGCTCTACACGCCGGATTTGCGGCTCGCGGATTTCCCGGACGCCCTGGGAGGTGCCCGACGCAACATCCTGTTCGCGATCGAATATGGCGCGATCTTCGAGATCAACGCTGCTGCTCTGCGGAAAGACTGGACAACGCCTTATCCAGGGCCGGATTTACTCCAGGTGTGTTGTCGCGCCAGTCTGTGGGCTTATCTCAAGCGGCGTCAGATCATTCTCGAGAACGGGGGACGCTTGGGACTGTCTGACGACAGTCACGGGCCGCATGCAGTGGGGCTAAACTATGGCAAGTTGCCTGCATATCTCCGAAAGGCGGGCGTCACCGAACTTTGGTATCTCGAACGAGCTAGCACGCCGAATTCCGCTGGGCGTTTCATTCGTGGCAACAAAATGGAAGAGGACTGGGAAACACATTCTTTTTGGAAACAGTTATGAGGATGGCCCAGTTTAGTTGATGTTGCTGTTTCGTCTCGGATATATGCTACAATCGATTGAAAGACATTGCTCTTGCACTGTACAGTGTACTTGTCCGTGTTTCTCAGAGATATTTGTCAAGGCCCGAAAACTCATATGTGTATTTAAGAAGATGATTTCACGACCTGTTGTCTGAAGCTGCTGCATAACTCCAATTGCGGATCACCATTTCAAACAAAAACACACTGGGGGCGGCCGCTGCCAAGTCACATGAGCGCGTCCTGGCATGTGTAACTAGATCACGTAAGGTTGACCATACAGGACATGGACTGTTATGGTAAATGCGATCATGATTCGGCGTTGGGGTCTTGAGTAGAGATCGCGTCACATCGTGACACGCCCACCCGTTGTCATCCTGTACACGATCTCCTCTCGCTTGTTTTCTCGCTTATACCTCGCCGTCACATGCACCTCGACGCGTCGACGCGTCCGACCGCAGGACGTACCGAGATCTACAGAGTTCATAATCGATAATGCATATTGGCCTTTCAGACTTCGTGGTGAGAGGATTGAGGAATGAGTCGGACAAGCTGGTTGACGAGCGCGGTGAGTGGACGACAATCAATGATTATGTGGGCAAGGACATGGTCTAGCAGATATTTGACTCGATCGCCGTCTCTTTTCGCCTTACGCCATGCCCGCCTGTGATGAATGCGGCTCCGTTTTTGCTGGTCTTCTTGCTGGCCGGCCATGCAACAAATGTGCTAAGCTGAGCCTCACACAGTCAGATATCGAGCGGGCAGCAATCAAGGTGCGTTTCTCGCACATTTTCTCGAGCTGGGACCGATACTGATAGGAGACACCTTTTGAAGGCAAAGCCACAGTGCCGGAACTGCTCCATTGTCTACGGCAACCTTCTTCAGGTCTTGTGCGGGAGCTGTCTCGAGCTGGCACCAGGTAAGAAAGGCTGGCGCCGTAGCTCAATTGTGGCACTGAAATCGCAATAGATCCTCAAAACATTCCTCCTGCAATCGCAGCGATACCAGGAGCGGTCAGCGCCATCGTGAAACACCATTCGGCGACTGGTATGCGCGCAAATAAGCAGGCGCTATCATATCGCCGGACCGCTGACTTCCAGACAGATTTGGGCCCACCGCGAGCGGTCAATCCAAACCTTGCAAGGGCGCAGCAGGCCAGGCTGACTGGGGGCAGTTCAGGCATCGGAGTTGGAGCGACGACTCGTGGGATGCAGATTGTGCAGCAGATGCAACATGCGCGTCAGAAGGCGCACCGCGTCAACTTCGTGGTCACGTTCTCCACTTCGCAACCCAAGAGGGGTGGGGGCAGCACTTTCACACCGGTGCGTCTGGACTATTGAATCGACTGTTTTCATGGCCTGATCCAGATGTAGGTCCCAGAAGTCACTTTCAATCACGGTTGTGATGAGAACGACCTCATCGAAGACGTTGTCGAGGCCATGATACTCAAGACGCAGCAGTATCACCAAGAGTCGTTCAAAGACACTGGCGCTTCCAAGATCACGAAGCCCGACATCACTATCTATTCCGTTCCTACCGCAAACTCAGCAAAGCCCTTGCGTATCTCGAAGGACCTCCTCCGGGGGAAGACGGCGAAAGACGTTCTCGCGGAGTTCTATACTCAAGATTATGTCAACGAGACACAGATGAAGACCAATACAATCAATCTGCGCTTCATCGTTCCAAAAGACCAGATCGTGCGTTAAGTAGTATGCTATGTACTCGAGTCTTTGGTCTGACGTTTGTTCTTAGTGGGTCCTCGATGAGGATCAAGCTGGTGTCAGCGCCCGTGTTTCGACCATGCGTTCCAGCAAACGAGTGTCCCGAGCCGGCGGGTTGACTGACGACACCCCGCGTCGAAGTGGTGCTCTTGTCCGGAAAAGCGCCTATATGCCACCTCCGCCTCCGAAACCCCGGCTCATGCGTGCTAAAGCGAAAACAGCCCAGTATTGGTTTCGACGCTTTTCAATGGCCGGTTCAGGGCGTCAGCTGGAGTTCAGACTGGATGCTGATGCCAATATTGAGATGATGGATGTCGCAGACGACTGGCAGGATGGGATGAAGCTCTCCAAGTCCGGAGCACGTTTGACCATACTGGTTACATTGGGAGCGGTCTCACGAAAGTCGTAGTATATGTGAGTGTTCCCTGCATATGCGCTTGTGATGAAGACTCACGTTTGTACAGGGAAGGCTGTTTGTCGAAAATCGAGAGTATGCCATTGCTCAGGTCGCAGATCCGGACCAGACAGAGGACACCCATCTGGAGGTACTCCAAGAGGAGCTGCGGATCCTTTCCTTCGGAGATGAGCTTTGGTCAGAGTTCTTGTCATTTGCGCGAGAGGAAGCGCCGAAGAATGTGTCCGATCTGATCACAGGACTCTGTAAGTCCAGATCGCCTGAACAGAGTTGTGCTCATTCTCTGATAGCGGTCCGCTTCAACTTCAAGGACGCTTTCGTTGGCAAGTTCGTTCGTGGTTGCTCTGAAGAAGAATTCTTCGAGCAGCCACTTGTCCATGCTCACTTCCTTGCTACTCCGCTCTTGCCTTGTGGATCAATCGACAAGCCGCTACGCAAATTCACCGGAAATGAGAATTGTGGGGCAGCACCGCACCGTAATGATCTCTTGACCGCCTCACTTCATGCGTTCACTCATTGGATGGCACTGTACACAAACGAGGATGCCCTCATCTGCGACATTCAAGGTCGGTCATTTCATAACTGGGTTGAAGCATTGGTTCACTCTGCGGTAGGGATACAAGAGGAAAGTAGCAGTGTGGTCTTGATCGACCCGCAGATGCATACGTGAGTCTCGGTCTGTGCTTCAGTCTTAGACTTATCTCGGCTTGACAGGTCGCAGTCCAACTCACAGCTCCGGATGTACTGGGACAAAGGACCTCGTGGCATCGAAGCCTTCCTCGAACACCATCTGGACATGTGCGACGAGAATCCTATCTGCTATGGGCTGAACTTGAGGGAGCTTAAGTATCAGGTGGAGCGACCGAAGACTCCGGAACGTCAGACTAACCGGCGACCTCCTCCTGGGCCCACTTCTCCCCCAGATAACCGTAAGAGAGCAAATCGCGGGTCTGATATCTCTAGCATCATGAATTAGTAGGTAGTTGAATGTAGGCATATCTAGTTATGTCTATGTTCAGTATCCGGGCAATGGAATCGATCAACTATGTCTACAATACAGGACGCAGAAAGTTACGTTCGGGAAACACGTCAGGAAGCATGACCTGGAACAATGTCCACCCGGACTCCATGGACAAGGGTACTTCTCCGAGAGTGACAAAGACAGCCTGAGCCCGTTGCGAAAATTCCAACGTCGTGAACTCGAGAAGTGTGTCACCTCCGAGCAGGGCTTTCTGCTCCCTGATCAAGTTCATATCCACCACGAGCTTGCAGTCCACCCCTCCCCACTGTTCGTACAGCGTGTAAGCGATGTTGCGACTGAATCCCGAAGGCCCAGGCTTTGCCTTCTGCTTCCGCACCGCACTGTTGTTTCGAAACTCGACTGTCGCATCTAGCTCCTTCTGGAGGATCCAAGACCAGAGCCATAGACTAAGCTGGCTGCGGCTGGGTCAGAATTCGCAGAAAGAATATCCCAAATGGGACGTACACATGATCAGCATCATGAGGATTATAGATCCCTTGGATAGCACCCTCCTTGAACAGGTACACGGCGCGATCACCAAAGTCCAGACGCAGACGATACCAGCTACGTTCTACTGAAATGTTATGTACACTTCGAAGGTATATGTGGGCAGGAACTTCGGCCTCAGAAATGTCGGGGTGGAAGGTGTTCCTAGAGCACCGCTGAGAGAAGAAGCCAATAGAGAGACTCGAGAGCCAATGTACTCACCGCAGTTCCTTCTGCATATTCACCATCTTGAGAGTCTCCGTACCACAGTCCGTTGTTGTGGTCAGAGGAATACCTGGGGGGGTGGTCAGTGGGAGCACGGCAAGCGCTGGAAGGGAGACTTAGAACTGAGAACGTACCACTGTACTTCTCCACACAGCAGAGATAGACATACAAGATGATATCTTGCTGACGATTGCTGGGCAGAACCCAAGCGCCCAGTGTTTTCCCAGTAGCATCATCCACAATTGCATAGATGGGATATCCGATCGAGTACAATTTATCATGACCTAGATTTGTTGTGACTCATTAGGTCAGATCAAACTGGTGTCGGAGATAGCACGTACCGTCGCTTGACCACTTGTGATTGATACCTATCGGGTACTTGGGAGAGCGATAGATGCGCTTAGCTGTAGGGTTGCGTCCGGAAAAGCCATCTGGGTCATGGAGATGCATCATCCAGGACACAAATGATCTGGTAGATGTTATTAGCTTCGCAAAATTATCTATAGCCACACACCTGGATAGGATAACATCTGAGGTTTGCCTTATCTTGTCCCGAATGGACTTGACACCAAGGTGCTTCACTACATCCTTGTCAAGTTCGTCGAGAACCAGTTGCACCACATCAGCATGTTCGATCCATTCCATGGTTCCCTTGGCCGCAAAGAGTCCTAGCTTCGAAAGCCGCCGCTGGACCTGTTTGGGACTGCCGGAGATCAGTAGCAGGAATCAAGCTTCGGATGGAAACGCGCACCCCAAGGTTACTTCCAGATCCTTGAACAGTAGTTGAGATATTATTGCGTAGTTTGTAACCCCGTCCTGGTGGTACCCCTGGTGTCATAACTCGACTCTTTTTCATCTTATCCTCGACGATCTTATCTTATCTCGACACGGATTATCTTATCGCGGATCACGGCATCTGACGGTCCGGGCTAGGGGTTCCAGGGGATTATCCTTATCGATTCAAGGCTGCGCGACATATGCTCCGGAAGGTTCTACTACAACCCATGACCAGTGCTCCATGCGGTACATAGCCCTATGACTCATTAGTTGTAGATATGACTCAGACTGGATTTGGGTATAAATACTGTAGCTACTTGGTTGTATTCTCCAGTCTTCGAATTCACTTCTCTTTTCGACTTTATTTTTGGGTTGATTGTCACATAATTTGAAGACTCCCCTCATACCCTCGTACCTCTTACCTCTTACCCTGCTCCGTGCACCGCTACGCCCGCTATATCCTCTTCACCCTTATCACCCCACTCACCCTTTTACGGAATCATCTAGTCGCTCGCTGCGATCGCAGTGAAAGGTTCATATCGAGCAAACAGCACCAGGCCACGGGTAACGTTGAGCCCGACCCAAGCCTTACGGTAGCTACAAGGAGTGCTGCGGAGACCTTCGAGAAAACGCACCTCGGGATCATCGGGCACGTGAAGAGCTAGGCCCGGGATCCTTTTGCTAGCAAAAGAACCTTTCCTCGAGTGCTTGTACAGCACACGAATCCACCATTTCGTACCGATTCCCATCGTCATCTGGGAGCCCATCCCCTCCCCCCATCATACCATTGTCGCCCGATCTGGCGCATCAAAACGAACCCGGACCCTCCAACCCCTATCTCGCCCTCCCGCCGCCTGAAGACGAGATCCCCGACCTTGGCGAGTTACCCTCCGATGATGTGCACGGGCGACGTCTCAGCGAGGACCCAAGAACGGGAGAACGAGGACAGGATGTCGAATGGGCGGGCCCTGCTCCGAGTGCGCCGTGTAATGATGTATGATGCGAGGTGTCCAAACCAAGGTTCAGGTGAGGCTGGGAACGTGGAGAAATGAGTGAATGAACTCCTGCGGCGTCCGACTGGGCCGCGGACTACTGGCTCGACGATGTAGACAATGTGAGGCCGGAGTCAGGGACTCCTCGAAATGAGCTACTAAGGGGTGAAATATTCTGTCTTTCGTATCTACAATCTCGTGCTTATATACTACCGTGAACGATGGCTCTGGAATATTCTGTAAGTAATGTGAAATGGCGGAGAAATCGCCAGAAAACCGCGGCCGATGAGCTTAATCCTGATGTCGGTGGATGCGCCGCGGCCGCTGATGATGGGTGGCAGTGTTCGTGTACAGCCGCTGATCATGCTCAACATCTCCTCCCTACTGAAATCATGACCGTCCTCGGTCATCCGCTCGATCGCGCCTTATGGTCTGCCGAGATGGACTTGGATAGGGTTTTTGGTGCGTCCTCCCTACTGAAATCGGGATCGTGGGCCGCTAACCATCTTTTTCATCATCCTGGTCTGGTAACTCTTCGTCTCCCGTTTCGTCGTCCTCTGGGTCTTCGAGCAGCGACTCTTCTAGCTCACGCAAGCGCTTGGTCGAAATATCGAGGAGGTCTTCGATGGGTGGGAGGTTGATGGCCTTTCGCGCAAAGTACGGAACCACACGGAATGCGGCAATAGGGCGATGCAGGACTGAGCCGTCGAGCTCGCAGAGGATGTACGCACCGCCACGGTTTCGTGAGATGACGACGAGGGGACCCAGGTAGCGTTTTCGCATCTTCCTGTTCAGCGACTTCTCAATGGCCGTATTTCTCATCAGGACTAGATCTCCACGCTTGAAGTCGAAGTCGCGCATAGTGGATGCGTGCTCTTGCTCAAAACGGGCCGCTGCACGGAGCCTGGCTCCGTATACGTCGGAGTGGAGCTGGGATAGGTGGGATCGACGCTTCTGCAGGGCGATAGCACGGCGGGCAATGAGCTCCGTGGTGGAGAGGACGGATTCGGGTGGAGGGAGCAAGTACGTGGCCTCGGAGATGTCGAGCGGGACTAACGGATGCGTGCCAGTGACGGCGAAGTATGGTGAGCATCCCATTCGTCGTCGGACGGTGATACGGTCTGCCCAGAAGACAGAGTATGCGGCACTATGCCACTTCGATTGGTTTCCATCGGCGGCTTTGAAGAGCGCTTGTCGGACATCAAAATGCGGTCGCTCCGCAAGGTTGGCTTGGGAATTGTACCCGGATATACGGATGTGTCGGATCCCGTATTGTTTCTCGAGCTGCGTGAGGGCTTTTACGAACGGCGTACCATTATCTGACACAATTTCACAGAGCGTGCCCCATCGGCAGAGCAAGTCTTCGAAGATCCACAATGCCAGTGCCTTGGCATTTTCACGGCGGAGCATACGGAATTCGGGGTAGTGGGTGAGTGAACAACGGGCCTGCACAATGTATCGGAAACCTCCGCTCGTTGGGAGATGCATGGTGTCCATGTACACCTTAGCAAAGAGCGGCGCTGGGACTGCAACAGTCGGTGGTATGGTGACTTTCCGTATCTGTCTTTGCTGACATAGATCGCAGGTTCGAACGTACCAAGCGATGTCATGGGCCATATGTGGCCACCAGAACCGCTCGGCAATGAGGGCGCGGGTCGCATAGAAGCCTTTATGACAGGCATCATCGTGTGCTGCTCGGAGGATGGGCAGGCGGCGTTCCGTGGAGACTACAAGTTTGTGCCGACCATCGGGGTGTTTTCGCCATAGCTTTTCTTCCTTCAGGTAGAACTCCATTGCGTATCGGACAAAGGACTGATACTCCACGTCCGATAGGTCACGGGGTCTTTCAAGCGTATTGAGCCAAAGGCGGACTCGGTCAACGCGGTAGTCGGCAAGCCGGTCGGACTCAGTGCGAGGTACGGCATCGTAGGAGATAGAAGGCGGGGGCTCAATATCTGCAGGTGCGCTGTCGGCTGTGAAAGTGGCAATGACTTGCTGAGGGCGACGAGCATAGGGTGCCCCATTGACCATGTGCATAAGGCCGTGCACTTGGTCAATCCAGTCATCAAAGTCATCTTCTGGTTCTGGTATGTCGTCTGGGTGCGGAGGTCGTCGGGAGAGACCGTCAGGGCGGTGTGAGATGCCGGGAACATGAACGAGCGTGAAATGAAAGGTGAGAATTGCCAGTATCCATCGGTTAATGGACGCTGATGGGGCTAAATCGGGGTTGGCAAGCATGCCTTTGATGTAACGGGCGTCTACCTCGACTACTAGGTTGCGGACGCCAATGATATGGAGTTTCCACGAACGGAGCGCGCGGTACAGGCCATAAAGCTCGAGCTTTGCCTGTGAGAAGCGGGCCTCGCGATCGTTCAAGGTGATGGAGCCAAACCGGGCGTAGAAGCGGCGGGACAGGAGTTCGGGATCGCACTGGGCCAGCAGAAAGCCGACTGCGATGTAGGATGTGTCGACAGAGAGAATGACGGGGGCATGGGAATGATAGTCAATGGGTCGGAGGGCTGGTGAACGAAGGAGTGCGTGTTTTAGATCAGCTTGAGCTGCGATCTGTTCTGGACCAAAAACGAAGGGGGCATCTTTCCGGGTGAGTTGTACGAGCGGATAGGCGCGTTTTGCGAAATTTCTGATGAACATTCGTGCCACTCCAACCGTGCCGAGGAACGCCCGAATGTCCGACAAGCTATTACATGGTCCCCAATTAGCAATCTTCGCCACACGGCTTGGGTCGGGGATGCGTCCGGCTGGGGTACAGACGTGTCCCAGGACAGTGATCTGTTCTGCACACAAGATGGCTTTGGGACCAGAAAAGGTGCCACCGCAATATTTCATTCTCTGAACGATCCGATTCAGATTCTGAAAATGTTCCCAGATGAAACGGCGTATGCCGGCGTTCTCTTGGATGGTTTCATAGGAGCCATTAGCGAGGCGATAGCACGACTCGGGGCCTCGAGCGGGGACATCGTCAATATACGGGATTGTGAACTCTGGGATCTCTGGCTGGAGGATGAATGTGACGTCATCATGGAAGATGGGGACCGAATTTGACCACCCCATAGGCAAGGTCGTAAGCCGCTGTGCTCCAAAGGGGGTCTGGAACGTGGTGAGATCTCGTGAGGACTCCGCGAGTACTCGCTCATCATAGCCGACATAGAGATCCAGGATACCGCCGCAGGCGCGGCCTGCGAACTGCTCGGCCAGCTGATCTGTCAACGGGGGCACGCCGGAGTGCTGAATGGTAACAGCGTTGAGCGGCTCGAGGCTGTGGACAAGACGCAAGCTAGCGCCATCTTTCTTGACGACGCAGAACCAACGGGAGCGGTACGAAGAATTCGACGGCTCGTACACTCCCGCGGCTATCTTCTTGCGAATCAGCTCGCAGACTTGGTCGTAGATACCGGGCGGAATTGGTATGTTGCGTTGAACCCATGGGACGTGCGGAATGACGGGAATGTCGACAGGTTTGAAGAAGTCCGATCGAAATTTTCCTCGTTCCAGGTCGGTCCAGGCGAAGCCATCCTGATGGATCGACATGAAATGGTGCATCAAGCGACGCTCCTCTGGCCATAGAAATCCCTCGGGATGAAGGGAGTCAATGATGTTGCGTCGTTCAGTGGTGTAACGACCAATGGGAAGGAACGGGGGAGGAATCGGGGCGAGAGTTGGAAGGGTGTCAAGTGGGTCGCCGTGAATCTCCCTGACAATTCGAAACTGCTCAGGGAGACTCCCTAGGACCGGTCGGATCTTGCGCGCTACTGGTTTGTAATTTTTCTTGAAGACGTCGACTCGCCACGTGGAATACGGGTTAGAAAGTGATGTAGATTGTTTGTAGATTGGAATAGAGGCTGCGGGTTTGATAGGGGGGATCGAGGAAGGGCAACAGCGAGTTGAATCGCTGATGCTCATTTCGCGAGACGCCGGTTGAACGTCGGAATGCGAGTGGAAGTAGGTACTGTACGGGGCTGGGAGGCTTGTACATGCCGATAGGTAGATAGTCTGCAAAGTATCAGTAGTATATGGTAAATGAGTGGGAAATGTAGCATAGGACTGAATGGAATATGTGTCGGGGCTCGCATCGTCGGCCACGATGATCAGCGCGAACTGCTCCTGATCGGAGATCAGATCATCTAGCCGCGAAAACCCTGCTCAGGCTGGCAGCGAGGGCGTGTCTGCCCACGGGGAACGGTGGGAATGGTCGCAATTTTGCCGGTGTTGGGGTCTCGTATAGTTACGGTCTGATTCTCGTCTGCATAGTTTCGGATGACACTTTCTGTCAAAACGTCGAAGGGCCGGCCAAGAAGAATGTCGTAAGCAGGATTACGGACCACGTGCACCTCAGTTACCACCGCCATCACGCGGTTCTCCCCCCGCGGGGTACCTACTGGGTACCCTCAGACGTCTTGCTGAGGGTACCCAGTAGGTACCCCCTGGCGGGGGGTGGGGGGGCCATTTAGTCGATTTAGTAGCGGGGGCATATGCGGGGGTCAGGAGGAGGGGGGGTGTATGTAGCATGTGACTTGTCGATAAGAGCGGGTAGCTGGGCGGGAAAAAAAAATCCAATCACATGACGCGCTGCATGGGCGGGATGGCGGGATAAAAAAAGCACGTGACAGCTGAAGTGATAATTTTTAAAATGTTGGCGGGGGCTGGCAGGGTGCTGGCGGGGTCATTACCGACCCCCCCGCATGCCACGGCGGGCGGTAGGCGCACATTCACGTGACCTCCTCCCATCTTTTTTGCCGCCATTCGGTGCGATTTTCAGGGCTCTCCACGGTGCACAATGCGCGGGGGCGGCGGGCAGTTTGGTCACGTGACCGAGCGCAAAAAAAACAAAAATAGCTGCCGGACAAACCGGGATGCTATTCCAGTCTGTCCTGTGCCTCAAATATCGAAAAAGCGAAGCACTGAATGCAAAACCTGGACCGCTGCGCCCCCCGCGCTGCAGCAGTGATGGGCATGATCCCATCATCTGGCGGGGTCATCTGCGGGGTTGATCTGTTCCATATTTGTACGCTCACGCCGTAGTGCCGCTGGGTTCCCTGATATATTATTACTTTGTTTCCCATGACGATCTCCTTCTGCCTCTTCCTCCCAGGATGCCCCCCAAAAAGCCACCACCAAGAAAGCAGCCAGGAAAACCTTCAGGGCAAAGCATTCGACCCACCAGTCCAGTGAAGGGACGGCACAAGCTCCGAAACGTCTTGACAATACCCATGGGCCGCAACGCTCGCGCAAATCTTCTGGCTCAGAAGATGAATTCTTTGCTTGACCCAAAATCAGCAGATTTGAAAACCGAACCGTCTGGACAACGGATGGAGGAGCATATAATCCTTGAGGATCGAATGGAAGTGGATGAAACGAGCGCAATGAGCGAGGATCTATGGGAAGATATTGCACATGACGCGGGCCCTACCGCGGGGCCCGCCGCGGGGGGTGCCGTGGGGGGTGCTGCGGGGCCCGCCGCGGGGCCCGCCGCATGGCTGGGTGTTGGGGCTGGAATGCCGCCATTTATCCCTGAAATTCTTGCGCGACCACATGCTTTGCAGAGGAAGCCACGTGCTATGCAGGCCTCTTCTGTGTGGATCAATCTCATCCCTGATCTTGCCATCTCTCTGCTGGCATTTCGGAAATCATCCTTTGCATGTCCACCCGCATCACTCGCTGAAACCATTCATCAAAATTGTGAAAATCCTGCCTGTACCCCAACTAAAATTCGTGTCCTATGTCTCCACATCTCATGTGTGTTTCAATTTTGCCTGAACAGATTTGGCCTGACATTTGACCAGATTTTCAACATATCAATGTCCGAACATGTTCTTGTGTTCCCCCTGCAACTGTTCTACTGGAGCATGGTGCTCTGGCCACCTCACCTAGCAAGCCACAAATTGCTGTTACAGTCAATACATTGGAGATATACCAGGCATTGTTTCAACGCTCCTGCATCGCCATTCAAGCATTCACAAACGCTCTAACAACCCTCTATAATACCAGAGGATTTGAGCTGATGTCCAAAACCGTGAGTTGCTTCTTTCATTCCGCTTTTTTTGCACTTTATTTCTGATACATATTCCAGTTTGATGGTGAACATGCTGCTGATCCTCTTCGACAAGCCTTATCCCAGGCAGTGCATGTGTACAGCAGCATTCAACAGCATATCCGAAAAATGGTCAATGATGCCTTGGCCAAAGAGTATTGCCGTAGCAGCACCGGATCATCTCCAAGAGACTTCATAGCTTCCACCTGTGAAATTTCCCCTGCACATACTGAGCCACATCCATCAGTCTCAATCACAGGACCTTGCGAGGTGTCCATGCTCGGTGCACCCCCCGCCGCACCCCCCGCCGCACCCCCCGCCGCACCCCCCGTCGCACCCCCCGCTGGGTCCCCCCCTGCACCCCCCGCCGCGTCCCCCGCCGCACCCCCCGCGTCATTTACCCCTGCCAACCACACCGTCAAATCTGATGATCAACTCTTGCTGGTCCCTGGATCTGCAAATCGGGTTCTACAGAGCCGGTGTCCCTTGTGTTTTTCCCTGAAGGAATGGGGCCGTCCGCTTGCTATGTTCGATTTTCCTCTGACTCTGATCACCAGTGACTGACTTATATTCTCAGCGGTGGGGATGTCCAATTTGGTGCTGATGGTTGCTTCAACTATCGTCATCTCCGAGCTGCTGGCAACGGACCATCCTTGTTCAGTCAGGAGTACTTCCTGACACCTGAAGAGGTTCACAAGGTCAAAGAGACTGTGCTTTTGGCGAGGAAATCTCCGAAGCCTCTCAAAGAGTCTCTAATTTCAGCTGATATTGTGGATGCCTGTGGAGAGTCATGGACTGCCGCAAATGAGCACAAACAAAAGGGGGATCCAAAGCGCTATGACTCCACTGGCATCTTTGCACTGACATGTCGTCACTCACAAGTCCTGTTCATGTGTGATATAGACACTCCAGGAGAGCAGCAGCACTACATAATTGCGCTCTTGGAGAAGGTGGCCTCACTCCTGCCATCCAATGCAACCATTACGCAATGTTATGATATCGGTTGTGTTCTTGACCGGAGTAACAATTTGGTACGTGCATTCCCATTCACAGTCTGTCACTTCTATCCCCGCCGCACCCCCCGCCGCACCCCCCGCGACACCCCCCGCCGCACCCCCCGCGACACTCCCCGCCGCACCCCCCGCCGCACCCCCCGCCGCACCCCTTGATAGAGTCCATATCAATGCTGACTATACTCCGAAGTTCCCCATCCTTTCTGCCCATTTGCGATCTCGCGTATCATTCTCTCTGAATGCGATGCATGCATTTGGACATCAATGGGCCTGCCAATTGGTCTACAACCCACGCATGAAGTTGGGTATGGGTCTCACTGATTCAGAAGGTGTAGAAAGACTTTGGTCAAGGATAAGAAGATTGATTCCTCTGACTCGTAATCAATGGGTATCCCTCCATATTTCTGTTGCTGTTTATCATTCTGACACATCCACAGACCTCACGGCGCATAGCCACCCTGGATGAATTTGTTTCCTTTGTCAATCATGAAGGAATCATCAGTCTAGGTAGTTGGATTGAACGGCAATTCAATAAGAACATTCCCCAAAAGATCAATCAGTCCATGAGACGGATCAATGCTGCAGGCGTGGCCATTCATGACTTGCGATCACACTGGCAGGCTCAACTGAGTGCCCAGGTATCACTTCATTCAAGTATATCATCTTCCCTTGAGAAGGATCTTCACTCAAAACACTCTCCCAGGCCCCCCTGTTCGAGTCCAACGTGAGCTCGGCAAGATAGTCAGCCTTCAAAATCAAATTGAAGATATTGATGACACTCTGGAGCAACTCCAAAAGACTGTCGAAGATAGACAGAGCTCGGAGTCAGCACATATTGCGATCCAGGATCTGCAATCCACTCATGTCAAGCTCAGTCAACAAGCTGAGCATCTGTTCACTTCACTCAACCTGGAGACTCATTATCCAGAGCTGGCTGGACTTCCCTTTGAATTTGTGCAGATCCTGCTGCTGATGAGGGACCTCAAGATTCAGATTCGCAAACAAGCAATTGGGACATTTTTGGAATGGGAGAATTTAGACCGTGCTGTCCAAGGACGACGGGAGCCACTGGGTAAGTCCCTCCCCCATGCGCCCCCAAATTCACCCCCGCCCCGCACGCACACCCGCGCGCACCCTCGCGCGCACCCCCGCGCGCACCCCCGCGCGCACCCCCGCGTACACTACGCCACCGCACTGACATGTTTCCATCTGCAATCTAGGTACGAAGCTTCATCAAGCAGCGCGTAAAGCTCTTTCGAAACGTCAGCCAACGCTGCATCGTCTTATCGACAAATTCAATTCCTTTTGCTCTCGACTGGAAGAGATTCAGCCTCCACACTGCTCTGTTCCCATCCCTCTCCCACTTCCTACCAAGCTAAACGAGCTCAAGTCTCATTCCAACCTCTTCGAAGATGTATGGATCACTCCCTCGGAAGGGGATGTCCCATTGTGGCTCTGCGATGAAAATGTCCGTCAGGGAATTTCAAGTCTCCATGTACTGGACCGCTGTCATGAGGAAGGGCTTCGCCTGTCCCGAGAGAGCGAAAACATGCTGCGTTGGATTGATCAAGAGTCTTTGCTGCTTCTTTCAGCAAAGGATTGCATTTCAAGTGCGTTGTTCATTACTCTCTGTCAAGTGACTGGACACTTCTTATGCTAGATCACATTCTGCAACATGAGCTGGAGCAAGAAATCAACTTTCTTCGACGTGTTGCATCGAGATGGCGCCGTCAATTGCAAATTCCTCAACCTCGGCTGCTGGCTATGGACCCGACACTCTCTGTCAGCTCCCACAATTTCACCCCCACTGCGACCCCCGCCGCAGCCCCCGCCGCAGCCCCCGCCGCAGCCCCCGCCGCAGCCCCCGCCGCAGCCCCCGCCGCAGCCCCCGCCGCAGCCCCCGCCGCAGCCCCCGCCGCAGCCCCCGCCGCGACCCCCGCTGCGCCTCTGAACCCAGAACCCACGATTGAGGAACACACAAACCAGGTGGAAGCTGATCCTCTTGAAGATGACATGAATCAGTCTCTATGGGTTGATTCTGAGGACATTTCCGTCGATGAGGTTGCAGCCTGTCCCTCAGACTCAGAAGAGGCTCTTGCCGTATCAGATATGATGGAAACAGATGATGACGAAGACACAGCAACACTTGAACGTGACAATTGCCATGTCAGAATATCCTGGGCTTCATTCACAAAGGTATGTGTAACGCTTCCACGAAAGCAAATAATGCTGATCTAGAACAGTCTCGATCCACTTGTGACAACAATCTCCTGAGAGATCTCACAGCACATGTTGCCAAATTTTCCGTGATACGTGATCTCCAAACTCGTGTGGTTGTCCTCCCTGGAAACCTGCCCGCTGTTGCAGTCTATCAAAGTGATTTAGCACTACTCACAGGATCAACAGCCCGATTAAATGGACACATCCTCAACAGTGTGTCAGCAGCCATTCTCTCATGGTGCATGCAACCCTTCTCGCTGCATGCCCTGTCTGCACAGAGATGCGCCCTTCTTTCCACGTATGATCTACATCGAGTCCGTTTCAATGCTCCTGATAAGGTTATCTGGAAAAATCTGGCCCCTACGGAGTATTGGAATAAGTCAATCTGGATTATTCCAGTCCACCGGCAAGCCCAGGAACACTGGGCTCTTGTCATTGTCCTGGTACATGAGCAAAAGCTCCTCCTCTTCGACAGCTTGGCTCAGAAGCGTCCGTGGTATACTGATACAAAGGTGTGTTTCATTTTTTTTCTCAACATAGGAGCTGAAAAAGACCAGAATGTCATGTTACTGGTGACCCGCATGACACTCCTGGCACATCGAAACGGATATGCGCTCCCTTTGAGTTTGGATGGGGAGGCCTGGACTGCAGAGCCCATGATTTCCACTGCAGTTCAGTGCAACAGTTACGATTGCGGTGTTTGGGTCCTTGTCATTATTGCAGCTGTTCTGCGCGGAATGCTGGGATCCAACATCGCTGAACCACAAATTCCGTTTCTACGGCACACTCTCACCAACTTCATGCTCACGCTTCCATGCGTGCCGGCCTGACTCTCTGCACGCAAGAGCCAGGGTGCTGCGGGGGGTGCCGCGGGGGGTGCCGCGAGGGGGGTGCCGCGAGGGGGGTGCCGCGGGGGGTGCCGCGGGGGGTGCCGCGGGGGGTGCCGCGGGGGCACAGTCTCAGTGGCTACATGCAGTCCAAGATTCATTTGCCCAGGAAGGCCAGATTGTACAGTTTCATGTAGCGCTTTGCTTCCCACTGTAAAAATATCTCCAGCATCTCGCTCTCACGTGAGAACTCATCCTCCTGGTAACGTCCCTGCTCTCTCAGCTTGAAGGCCCTCTCCCAGCGTGCAAGAGTAGCACTCGCATCCTCTGCTAAATGAGCTAGCTCCCCGCTCTCAAACACTTTCCTGTTCTCTGCATCAACGGACTGCTGGATGCCAGCATGAATTCCATGCATGACATTCTTGAGATTTGAAGTATAGGCCTGATAGCCTGGGGAGTTGACGGGAGTTGGGTCCTCCATAGAAACGAAAGGAGGTTCACAAAGCCATCGACCACAATCCGACAAATCCAGCGCTTCAGGATTGGATAGTGCACGTCTGAAGAAATCGTTTTCGGTTGGCACTGCCAGTGTCCCGTAGTTGATCAACTGTTCAGGGGGTATAGCAGCGTCAGGTAGGGTCTTTATCGCCCCGCTTTTCTGACTCTTCTTGGCCACTCTTGTGGATCTACGTTGGGTTTGGCCGCTGTGGATATAATGTATCAGGGAAAGATCGACTTCACCGATAAGGCCTTACCGCATGCTGGAGACATATTTGACGTCTCTGGCAGCCTTTGCAACTTTCCGATTGGCAACCGTAAGGGAAATTGCACGGCGACCCATTTTCGAGATGACGGTGAGTGATAAGTTCCTGTGAGACTTGAGTGCCCTTGACTCACTTTCGAGAATCAACTTTTTTCTTACAAAACTACATGAAACTTCTATTGGGAACAAAAGGAGTGATTCATTCGAGACCATTCCGTACATTTCCGAGGTCCAAGCACCCTCTACTGAGCTGGAATTCATTTGTAGATATGTGTACGACGTTTATTCTCAGTCCGATTGGCTGCCTGGTGACATGTTCCGGGACGTCGAGTGTGTGAAAATTACGTGTAAGACTCGGAAGGAACCGCCATCAAGTGCGCGGGGGGTGAAGCTGAGGTGCGGCCGGGGTCGCCAACAGGGCAGCAATATAGCGGGCTCATGGCGGCGGCCGCGGCGGGGGGTCTGCCTATGACTTCACCGTGACACATCGTGATTGATGTGACATGCATCGCAATTGAACGCGCTCTCTTCCTGTCCTCCCACTGCAGCAGTACCCTTCCTGTAGGTCCCCATCTGAATCCCAATTCGCGTCTGCTGACCATGTCTGATCTGCTTAGCGCGCGTTTCCAAAAAAACCGAATCTTTTCTTGCTTGCATTCTGGGCCAAACGGGCCCTCACATCTGAACCACACGATTCACATCCGACAACCTCTCCTCTCGCCCTCAACTTAGTGACGCGTGAAAAGACTCTAGAAATGAAGACCGGTGGTCGCGACGGAGCTGGTGACGCGTTGAAGGCCGGTGCCTCTGGTGAGCACAATACCGGCTCCGACATGTCGACCAACACGGTCGACCCCTTCCTGAACAACTTCTCCTTCCCGTTGCCGCCTCCTGTAAACGACTCTGCCGATGCTTCGGGTGGCCGACCCGCCGCGATGGGGCCATCGCAGCCTTCTCTCCCCTCATCCAGTCCTGTTTCATCCATGGACGCGCGGTCTCCGCAGGCCATCCCCTTTTCCATCCCCGCTTCGGCTCTGCAGCAGGTCTCGATCTCTCGTGGACTTCGCGTCGGGACGAGAACTCCGCGTGGGCAGCCCAAGACGCCTCCTCTTTCCGTTCCACCCATTGCCACTCTTTCCGTTCCGCCCATCGCCACTCTTTCTCCTGAGGCCCCCCCCTTGGAAGCTCTCCGCGGGCTCTTTGGACTTCCGGGCAACGACAACGACAGCGAGGAGGTCCCAACGCAGGAGGGGGGCGGGTACGAGCTCCGGCAGAAGATTACCGCGTCGCGCAGAGGCCACAGTCTGGCTCAATCAGCCAACGCGGCACGACAGGCTCGGGTCCTCGCAAGTGCCGGAGCTGAGGAAACCCCCAACAGCTCCATGCCATCCCCTCAGGATGAGCTCACGGCCCAAACTGCTGGCGAGCATGGAGCCGCCTCCGGGGACCTGGCGCGTCCGAACGAATGGAGCATCTCTGAAATCGACGCGGAGGGAGAGGAAGACATTTCGGCCGGCCCCTCACTTTCCTCACAGGTAGCACAACCCTCTTTCATTGTGCGGCCGGTGGTGGGCATCGACACAGAGCAGAGGATGGCCCAACATTCGGACGCTCACAGGTAAGTCTTCAAGCTTCTTGATCCTCCCTTACATGTTTCCTTACAATGCAATTGCAGCGAAAACGTGCTCCGTATGCCGAGCCCACACGTCCCTTCTCTTGAGGTAGGCCCGTCCGCTGGCGCCGCTCCCAACCCTGCTCCCGCCGTGGCACCCCCTGCCACAACCCCCGCCGCGTCCCCCGCCGCGTCCCCCGCCGCGTCCCCCGCCGCGTCCCCCGCCGCGTCCCCTGCCGTATCCCATGCCGCACTCCCTGCCTCTATCGCTACCCCCGAAAACGCCGCTGCGGAATACGAGGAAGACGTGGAATTTGGGCGGGTCCTGAAGGAGCGGTCGCAAGAACAACGCAATCTCTTACTGGCAACTGCCGAAGAGATTGGGATGCTCATCACGAAGACGGCGAAGCTGACCGGCTGGAACGAGAATAAGGTTGAGGCCAAGCTTCACGAGCAGTACCCGCGGCTTTTCCCTGCACGAAACTACTACTGGAACGTCTACCAGCGGTACGCAAATCATCCCCGCTTCCGTGGCCGCGAGTGGCAACGACGCACTGGCGGGGATCTCAGCCAGTTCCCTGATCAGCTCCCCCCGGCCCAACGATCGAGCGAGCTCTCAAACTCGTGGTCGGAATTTGTCAAAGCGCACACTCCTGCTGCGCTGGTGGAAGTACTGGACACATTCGTTGAGTGGGAGCAGGTGACGGAGCTGCGTACCTTGGGAAATCGGCAGAAGCTGTTCGATGGATGGCTTGGTAAAATGAAGGCCTTGGTGAGTGCACAATCATCTTGTGATCTTCTCTAACTGGATTCAGATCAAGCGCGGAGAGGCCGGGGGCAACTTCAAGGTTCTGATGATTGCATTGGGAGGTTTCTCTTCGCACGAAGCCCGGCTTGCATCCATCGTCGCAAGCGGAGGACTGGACGATGTGAGCAAGCTATCTTTCTATTGGAACGATCTCACCAAAATTCCAGTTTCTGTCCACTCTGTATCACGGCGAGCTGAGTGACGAGGAGGTAATCAGCCGTGCTCAGCATCACGTTGCGTAAGTCCTTGTGGTTCTCATGTGGATGAAAGAGTCTGATCTGTTTCGATTACAGCAGCTGGATGATTCAGGACGCGGATGAGGCACGCGATGCGTTGCTTGCAGTCGACGACCATGCGACTGGCACGGGTGACCTCACCACACCAGCAATCACCCCCGTCCGCGCCCCCGCCGTCACCCCCGCCCGCGCCCCCGCCATCGCACCGACGCGTTCTTCCACTCGGGCCGCTGCTCCCAGCTCATCTGCCAACCCCCTGGCTCAGCTGCGAGCACGGGTTCCCCCACGTTACAAACTCCAACCGCTGTACGAGGCTCCGCTGACGCAACGGGAGGTTGAGGAGAACATCCAGAACATCTGCGATGCGATGGAGGGGGACTCCAACCAGCGCTCCAAAAGGTCCATGAAGGTGAACCGTCTCTGGGACAATCTCCTCGACGACTTGAGTGCTCTGTCGATGGCCCAGATTGGCAGTGAACCCGTTGGGTCCATGACCAATATGAGCCAACGGACTTTCCAGTGGAAGAGCGCCGGTCCAGCCCTTTTCAAGGGGGGATACATGTTACTCGGATGGCCTCATCTGCTTCCCCTGCCGACCAAGCTTGGACAAACTGACAAGGGTATACGCTCGCTGGCGGCATCGCAGCAGAGCATACTTGCGACCGCCATCAAGTACTCGCTGAATGAGGTGTTCGAGGGGCGTGAGCCAGCGGGAATATCCTTCTTTGACAATGACTGCCGGGATCCCCGTGAGTGTATCTCATTCATGTGCCTTTTGCAAAATCTGACTTCTTTTCCAGGCATGCCCGTGCTTGCCGCGTTCCCCCAAGGCGTTGGATCTAACATCGCGTTCAGTGGCTCTGAATTCGTACTTGGGGTGACTGGCCAGGGAGACCCGTGCTACTTCAGGCTCAACCTCCTGGATCCAGACCCAACACGACGATATCTGGACTTTAGCATTGTGGTGAAGAACGAGTCCGGCGACTATGCTCTCCCTGCACCTCCCGCTGCCTCCCCCTCCGATCCTGCACCTGCTGCTCGTGTGTTGAGCACACCAACCCGAAAGCGCCGCCGTGGACACGCCGCCGCACCCCCCGCCGCACCCCCCGCGGCGGCCCCCGCGGCGGCCCCCGCCGCACCCCCCGCCGCATCCCCCGCGCCCAGCTCCCCAAGTCAGTTGGGGCTGTCTCCCACGCCAAAGCCTGCTTCACCGCCGCCTGCGACGAAGAAGGTCAGTGGCAAGAAGCGAAAGGCTGATACGGCAGTGGAGGCTCCTGCTCTCCGTCGCAATCCGAAGCGCACCAAGGCGAACACTGGCGCTCCATCCAAACCATCTCAACAAGTCGGTGGAGGCAAACAGCGTCAAGTTTCGACTCCTGGTTCGGAGTACGTGCCAACCCCGGCTGCTCCTTCGGACGCATCGGATGTTCAAAAGGACGCTGGTCAGTACCTTGCCACCCTTTATGGACATGATAATCGTCCTATGGGCTTTGTCCTCCCCCAGAAAAAGCGCCGATCTAAATTATTCCCAGTGGTTTTGACGCGCAAGGTGCCGCGACCGAACAAGCGCCGCTTGCAAGAGATGAACGCGCCTTCCCCTGAGCTCTCTTCCCCTGAGAGTGAAGAGGAAGTGGTGCAGGCGCCTCCCCCAAAACGCCCCCGCCCGCGCCCCCGCCAAGCCAATGCGGTCGCCAGCAGTTCGCGGCACACGCTTGATGGTCCCCCGGCGGTGCAGGTGCCCAGCGCTGCGATCGAACAGCAAGAGGTCTTCGGCTCGGGCCAGGCACCCAAGTTGGTGTCACAGTCGACAATCGCTCATCTCGAAACTGCGGCACCCCCCGCCTCTTCACCCACCGATGCCCCCGCGGCCAACCTTGCTGCATCCACAGCGACGAGTTCCACGGCAACTCCTGCTGTTGACCCCGCCGCCGCGATGCTAAGCATATTCAGTGCTCCCTCCTTCCAAGCAATGATGGCAGGGGTTATCCGCAGTGCGGTCCAGGAGGAGCTGGCCAAAAAATGAGTTTGAACATTGTATCCTGCAACAGTGTATTCTGCATCTTGTGTTTGGATGGTGGACAGTTTTCTTGCACATCTTCTTTGTAGATTACTTTTGGGATTGTTTTTTTTACAATATCTTGTTCTGTATCTTTCATACACGAAATCGATCTGCCCTCCCCCCCCTTCCGGCTGTGGTATATTTTGTGAAGAATGTGAGAAAATTTCCTCAACCATGGTAAGTTTCGGTAATGCTTGAACAATAATCATATCCACACAAAATATTATCGATGCAGCAACATGTTGCTTGGGCCATGCATCGTCTTTGGGTAGAAATTTTCTCTTCAACAGGCATCGAGGAGTGCACAGGGCATCCATTTCAAGCTTTTACTGACGCGTGCCAATTTGCAAACAAAGTGTACTGTTGTATTGAAATGTGGCATTCGCCCTGAGGCGATAGAGGGCTCCACTTAGAAACCAAAGATTTCATTAGCTGATCCGGCATGTTCCAGCAGCAAGCCAGCCCAGCAGAAACCCAACAGGAAACCCGCGATCAGCTCCCACGTGCACCGGGCGGTGACCCCCGCGGCGACCCCCGCGGCGACCCCGGCAGCAACCCTCGCGGCGACCCCCGCGGCGACCCCCGCGGCCACCACCACAGACGCCAATGGATCACGCACCTCACCAATCCAATGATCAAGAGTGAGCTCAAATTCTTGACTTCATGGCTTTTGAACTCTGCTACTCACGTTGGATTATCACTAGGATCATGTTTAGTTTGGCCATTTGCCTCTGTGTAAACATGAAAAACTTCCTCCATGAGGCAGATGGCTACAGGGAAGAGCGGCGCATGAAACAAAGCAGCCAATTCTGCAAGGGATATCCTCAATCACAAATATGAACCACAGCGTGAGCGTACAAATATGGAACAGATCAACCCCGCAGATGACCCCGCCAGATGATGGGATCATGCCCATCACTGCTGCAGCGCGGGGGGCGCAGCGGTCCAGGTTTTGCATTCAGTGCTTCGCTTTTTCGATATTTGAGGCACAGGACAGACTGGAATAGCATCCCGGTTTGTCCGGCAGCTATTTTTGTTTTTTTTGCGCTCGGTCACGTGACCAAACTGCCCGCCGCCCCCGCGCATTGTGCACCGTGGAGAGCCCTGAAAATCGCACCGAATGGCGGCAAAAAAGATGGGAGGAGGTCACGTGAATGTGCGCCTACCGCCCGCCGTGGCATGCGGGGGGGTCGGTAATGACCCCGCCAGCACCCTGCCAGCCCCCGCCAACATTTTAAAAATTATCACTTCAGCTGTCACGTGCTTTTTTTATCCCGCCATCCCGCCCATGCAGCGCGTCATGTGATTGGATTTTTTTTTCCCGCCCAGCTACCCGCTCTTATCGACAAGTCACATGCTACATACACCCCCCCTCCTCCTGACCCCCGCATATGCCCCCGCTACTAAATCGACTAAATGGCCCCCCCACCCCCCGCCAGGGGGTACCTACTGGGTACCCTCAGCAAGACGTCTGAGGGTACCCAGTAGGTACCCCGCGGGGGGAGAACCGCGTGATGGCGGTGGTAACTGAGGTGACCACGTGCACCTGGAGGTACACCGTGATGTCGCCAAATGTGAATGGTACGTTTCTGGCCAGACCGAGCGACGGCGATACTGATCCATTGGCCGACTGCATCTGCAGCACGATACGTGGGTCGTAGGCAAGGGCTAGCTTGTTCGACACCGCTTCTGACATGGCGATGATACCCGAGCCACCATCGACAATACTTTCGACGCGTTGGCGGTTGTCAACGACTGGAAGGACCGACCGGATTGCAGAGGACTCGAGCGACACGACCAGGCCTTCAGGAACGGGCTCTCCGTTGGCGTAGTACGCTTCATAGGGATCCGGGATGACGAAGGCATCGGGTGGGAGCTGGGTGGCAGAATTGGCAAAGGTCGCTGGCATCGAGTCGAGGAACCTGGCGCTGCGTGCGTCGCGCTCTTTCTGCTCTTCGAGAGACTCGAGTGCTTCTGCATCTACCGGGATCGCCGCGCTCACCATTAGCTGGGGTGCCGTTGTTGGTGCCTTGCCTTGCGCGACTACTGGGGCTGTGCGTCGACTCGTCGTTGCGTCTCGGACCTGGGCCCGTACTTCTGGCGACAGGGAGAGGAGCTCTCGGTGGGTCAGGGTGATAGGCGCGTCCATGGACCGGTCGAAAACCTTGGAGGCGATCTTTTCATCGAAAATGGGCGCAGTTGTCCGGTAAGCTGGGTCGTTCTTCTTTGCCGCGTGGACTGGAGGCTTGGCCCCAACGTTTCGGTCGCGTGGCGGGGCATAGGCAGCGTCGCGAATATGGGCGTAGGGGTGTTCAGGTGAGTTCTCTTTTGTGGGCCGTGTCATGATACTGGGCGGAACGGCAGGGGCAATGGGAGGCGCTGGAGGCGTTGGAGGCGGTACCGACGCGCGTACCGGTTGTTCTGGTTCCTCGACCGATTCTCCGGATGCGCCGGCGGCAAGAGCACGTCGTGCCTGGGCGCGCGTGCGGATCGCAAAAATCTCCTTCTCCAGACTCGCAAGGCGCTCTTCTTCGGACAGGACGAATGTGGCAGCGGGATTGGACTGGGAAGACGCAGGATACGACGACGACAGGTGCGTGGGCACTTCGAGCATCATCTGACCGGCGGCTAGCTGACCAGGGTTTTGTTTGTGCCATTCCTCGATACGGGCTCTGAGATTGACGCCGGGGATTCTGCGGGGAACGAACGCCCCGGTAGGGAGCACCACACGTCCATCGATATCACGCTTACATTTTCCAGCTTTCGTATCTTCTTCGACAAGTGGGCAGCGACTGATGTAATGGTCGCCTCCACAGTACACGCACTGGTCGCCTTCTCGTCGGGGTGCCGATGGGCTGGCTGGCAACGGGCTCGCATATGGGCGACTGGGCTGCTGCTGCTGCGCTAGCAAGACCTTCATTAGACCGTTCATGGTCTCGAGCAGCGCGCCAAAGTCGGGCTCGGATTTGACGGCGGTAGAACTGGCCGATTGGGAGGGCGGTACTGACGATAGGGGCGGCGCGTTGAGCGTGACAGGACCGGCCAGGACGAATTCGACTGCTTCGGTGAGATCCGCAAGGTTGTATGGGTCGTCGGGGTGATTGTCTGGGCGTTTGATCTGCAATCGCTGTGATACACGAGTCCAGAGGGTGGGCGGGGAGATGGCACGGCAGAATGAACGACTTTGTTCAGCAGTCGAGAGACGCCCTTTTGAGATCAGGTACGTCGTGATCGTGATGAAGCGCCTATAGAACTCGCTGTAGTCTGACAGCGACAGGATGCCAGATGTTGCGTATTCGCCGATCAGCGAATGGAGATCCGACATCGTATACTTTCGATCAGAGTCTGTGCCGGGATAGAGCTTCAAGACGGCCTTTTTGAAGTCGGCGTAGGTGGTCGTGACGGACGTGAACTCGGTGAGTGATTCCCAGGTGTCCTGGTCGTCGACGCTGACATATCTCGTCGCATGCCTCTTCTTTTCCGTCTCATCAGTGACCCCGACTCGAGCAAATTCCAGCTCGAGATCACTGAAGTATCGAGGTAGCTGGCGCGGTTTCGACGAATCAAACTCCGGGGCTCCACGAGCACCTCGGGCGGGCATCTGGGAGGTCGCCATAATGGTTGGGGATGGGGTAGGGGATTGAAAGAGAAGATCGAGTCGAGGGGAACCGGGCGAACGAGGGGATAGGTTGTTGTGACGCGCAAGGTGGTCTGGGACGCGAACGAAGAGCTCGTCAGATGTGTCGGAGTCGGGATGGGTGGATGTGTCGAGTAGATCGCGTGGGTTTTGCTGGATAGCACGGAATTCTGCACGTAGATCTTGTAACGAAGTACGGCGAGGACGAAGGCTACGGCCTGAATCAATGGTGATTTAGACCCCTCGCGGTGGGCTCCAAAATATGATGTGCACGGGCGACGTCTAAGCGAGGACCCAAGAACGGGAGAACGAGGACAGGATGTCGAATGGGCGGGCCCTGCTCCGAGTGCGCCGTGTAATGATGTATGATGCGAGGTGTCCAAACCAAGGTTCAGGTGAGGCTGGGAACGTGGAGAAATGAGTGAATGAACTCCTGCGGCGTCCGACTGGGCCGCGGACTACTGGCTCGACGATGTAGACAATGTGAGGCCGGAGTCAGGGACTCCTCGAAATGAGCTACTAAGGGGTGATATATTCTGTCTTTCGTATCTACAATCTCGTGCTTATATACTACCGTGAACGATGGCTCTGGAATATTCTGTAAGTAATGTGAAATGGCGGAGAAATCGCCAGAAAACCGCGGCCGATGAGCTTAATCCTGATGTCGGTGGATGCGCCGCGGCCGCTGATGATGGGTGGCAGTGTTCGTGTACAGCCGCTGATCATGCTCAACACCGAACAACCACCCTCACCCCCACCTACCGCACCTGCTCCTACCATGTCAGGACATCACCGCATCACCCTCGCCGCCAACCCCCCCTACTTCGATGGCGACAAGTCCAAATACCTGGGCTTTGTAGACGCGTGCACCACTTACATCGGTGCCTATCGATCGGAGTTCTCGCTGGATGAGACAAAAATCCTCTTTGTTCTGTCCTACCTCCGTAATGAGACCGGCACAAGCTGCGCCGCCTCGAGATGGGCGATGAACTGGAAGCAGCACAATTTCGAGGGTTTCCAAGGAATGAAGGCGGGAGTCACCGCGACAACCTTCTTGGAGGAGTTCCAAAAAGCCTTTGGGGATTCTAACGCAGAACAAGTCGCCGCTGCCCGACTCATGGCCCTTCGCCAAGGGAGACGGTCCTTCGCGGACTACATCTCTGACTTCGAAATGCTGGCTGCGGACGCGGGGTACAACGTGGTCGCCTCAACCGATGACAAGGGCGAGTACAAGAAGGGGGATCAGGACAACATCCTCATCGAGTTCCTCGAGCGCGGACTCAGCAGTGAAATTGCAAGCCGCCTCTACAACACCGGCGTCCCCCTGCCCAAGGCATACGGTGCCTTCAAGAACTGGTGCGTCAACATTGAGGCCAATGCCTTGCGCGATCAGCTGCGTAAGGCATCCTATGCGCACTCAACTCCGCGGCCCCCACCCCAATTCCGTCCTCAGGCCGCACCATCAGCACCTGCACCCGCTCCGGCCCGACCAGCGGCCAATGAACCGGTTCCGATGGAGATCGATCGCACCCACGCCCGTGGCCGCAATATCATCTGCTACAACTGTCAGCAGCCTGGGCACATTGCGCGGAACTGCCCTGAGCCCAAGAAGAAGCGCACGTTCTTCAATCGGGCCACAATGCTAGAAGAAATCGAGAACGGGGACAAGGACAACGAGTTCCTCAAGGAGATTGCCGAGAAGCTGCGCGAGAAGGGTTTTTGAAGCGCTCCACTCCTCTAGCCAAGGAGGTGGAGCGTCCAGACTATGGACGTTTTTCTGTACTTGTTTCGATTAAAGACATGAACGATTCTGCACATACATATACAATCTCGGACTCATTACGTACCAATATTCATGATTTTCTCATTGCTGATATGGAAAAGGAACGACAAAGAAAAATAGTTTTAAATAGAGAGTATTTACAAAGTAAAAAGGATCAGAAAGCTGCGGATAAATTAATTTTGGACTCCTACGTATTTATGGCTCGTGGAGAAGGAACCACGTCAACAAAGACCGAAAAGGGGAGCATCGCTCCGGAGGCTCAATCCTTGAAAAAGGAGGAAGCGCCCAAGGAATCTGCCGAAATCAAGGTTCCAGAAGTACCCAAACGCACAAGGGTGCCAGATGCTGTTCAAAGGAAATTGGCGGCCGAGAAACAGAAGGGCCCCCAGCCCAGCAGACTGGCGCAGGAAATGCGCAACTACCAGGCCGAAAGGAAGAGACATTCGATGGACGTGTACGTCCAGATCACAGGCCTGGACTCAGGAAAGACGCGCGGAGTTAAGGCGCTACTCGACAGTGGCTGTAGCATCTGCTGCATCGATACCGACTACGCGCAGGCAGAGAAGCTGGATATCCAAGAACTTCCCCAACCCATTGTGGCTCGTAACGCCGACAACACCGAAAACATCAGCGGCCGGATCACGCATTACGTTGACCTAAGGATGAGAATCGGTCCTCACGTGGAGACACGCACGTTCCTTCTGACGTGCTTAGGGAAGGCCCGGATCTTCATTGGTCTTGACTGGCTGACGGAACACAACCCGGAGGTGGATTGGCAGGAGCAAACGATGAGATTCAGCCGATGCCCGGAACGGTGTCACATGAGGGGTCACGAGGAACACCAAGCGATGATTGACATGGATGCAATCGACCTGGACACGAGCGCACCGGATCTGGAAGAGGGAGAATCGATCCTGCTGATCGACTTTGGGAAGGAGGTAGATCTACGGCTGAAGGAAACACCGGCGCAGAAATTTGCAGAAGAAGCGGAAAAAGAGAAGGAGAGGATGACCGAAGGGAAAATTCCGGATCAATACCGGGAATTTGTCAAAGTATTTGCCAAGGAATCATTCGACTCACTACCGGACCGACGAACCTGGGATCATGCAATTGAGCTCAAACCTGGTTCCAAAGCAGTGGACTGCAAGGTGTACCCGCTATCACGAAACGAGCAGGTCAAACTCGACGAGTTCTTACAGGAGAACCTGGCCAGCGGACGAATCAGGCCATCAAAATCACCCATGGCCTCAGCATTCTTCTTTGTCAAAAAGAAAGATGGTTCGCTACGTCCCGTCCAGGATTATCGGAAGCTGAACGAGATGACAATCCGAAATCGATACCCGCTGCCACTGATCTCCGAGCTGGTCCATAATCTATGCGGCGCCAAGTTCTTCACCAAGCTCGACATCCGATGGGGATACAATAACGTACGAATCAAAGAGGGCGACGAGTGGAAGGCTGCGTTCCGCACGAACCGTGGACTGTACGAGCCCTTGGTCATGTTCTTTGGTCTCACGAACTCCCCGGCTACCTTCCAAAACATGATGAACGACATACTCCGAGAACTGATCAACGAGGGTCACATGGTAGTCTACCTGGACGATATACTGATCTTTACAGAGAACTTGGACGAACATCGGCGGATCACGAAACGAGTACTCGAATTGCTCCAGAAACACAAGCTATACCTAAAGCCCGAAAAGTGCGAGTTCGAACGCACGGAAATCGAATATTTGGGTGTAATTATTGGACATAATTCGATGCGGATGGACCCAGTCAAGATCAAGGGCGTGATGGAATGGCCGGAACCAAAGAGCGTCAAACAAGTCCAAGCGTTTCTAGGGTTCACAAACTTCTACCGGCGCTTTGTCCGGGGATACGCGGAGGTTGCCAAGCCATTGACACGGCTGACAGGGAAGGCAGGATGGTCATGGGGTGCAGATGAGCATGCGGCATTTGATGGATTGAAGAAAAGAATCGCGGAGGATGCGGTCCTAGCACTGCCAAATGACACTGGCCAATATCGTCTGGAAGCCGATGCTTCGGAAGGGGCAACAGGATCAGTTTTGAGCCAAAACCAAGACGGCATTTGGCGCCCAATCGCATTTATTTCGCACGCATTGACCGAAACCGAGCAAAATTACGAGATCTACGACAAGGAAATGCTCGCAATCATGTTATCACTTGACGAATGGAGGCAGTTACTCCTGGGAGCCACGGAAACGTTCGAGATCTTCACCGATCATCAGAATCTCGAGTACTTTCGGAAGCCGCAGAAGCTCAATCGACGGCAAGCACGATGGATCACGGAGTTGGCGGAGTTCGATTTCACCTTACGACACCGACCCGGCGCACTCAACCGCAAGGCGGACCTCCTGTCCCGACGAGCAGATCACGATCAGGGCAAGAACGACAACAAGGACGTCATGCTACTGAAGCCCGAGTTCTTCCGATCACAAGAAGTCACATTCGAGGGACAGGATCAGCAGCTAATCGATGAAATCAAGGCCATTCGATCAATTGATGGAAGCGTCAAGGCGGCCTTGGAGAAGTCACTCGTCGGATGGAAGAAGGAAGAGGGGCTTATCACGTACCATGGGAAGCTCTACGTACCAAGGGACGAGGAGTTGCGGGACAAAATCATCGGACTACACCACGACACCCCTTTGGTCGGACACGCCGGGATCAACCGAACGCAGGAGATGGTGGAAAGGAATTACTGGTGGCCAAGGATGGGAAACCAAATCCGGAAATACATCCAGACGTGTGAGGCGTGCCAGCGGACCAAGACCAGGAGAGCAAGGACAGGGAGTCTACACCCGCATGCAGTCCCAAACGCGCCGTGGGAAATCATCTCCATGGATCAGATCGGACCCTTGCCGGTCAGTAACGGGTATGACGCAATTCATGTGTGGTGTGACACCTTCACCAAAATGATCCATGTCGAACCAATTAGTACTGACATCAGCAGCGAAGGAGTGGCACGACTAACCAGGGACCGAGTCTTCCGCTACCACGGGATCCCTCGCAAGATCATCACCGACAGGGATTCGCGTTACATCAAGGGCTTCATGAGGGAGACGAATTGGATGTTGGGCGTGGAAATGAATCCGGGGACCGCATATCACCCGATCACAGATGGGCAGACAGAACGCATGAATCAGGAGATCGAGCATTATCTCCGCATCTACGTCAACTACCATCAGACGGACTGGTCGGAGTGGCTAGGGATGGCAGAATTCGCATATAACGATAAAATGAACACATCTACCAAAATATCGCCATTCTATGCGAATCACGGATATCACCCATGGAAGGGAGTGGAACAACGGATGGAGTCGAGAAACGAGTCGGCGGAGGAATTTGTAAAAAGAATGAAGGAAATACAAGACGAAGCAAAAACAGCACTAGAAAAAGCAAAAGAAAAAATGAAAAAATACTACGATAAACAAAGAAAAGAAGTTCCGGAGTTGAAGGTTGGGATGAAGGTGTACATAGAAGGGGAAAATATCGAGACGGATCGACCATCAAAAAAGATGAGCGACAAGAGACTAGGGCCATACGAGATACTGGAGAAGGTTGGAGCGGCCGCATGGAAGCTGGATTTGCCGGACACGGACCGAAGACACCCGGTGTTCAACGAGTCACTATTGACACCATATCACGAACCACCCCCCCATCGCCGAGAGAAGAGACCCGTAGCCAAGATGATCGGAGGAGCAGAGGAGTGGGAAGTCGAAGAGATTGTGAAAGAGCGAAACGTCGGCCGAGGAAAACAGTACTTGGTCAAATGGAAGGGATGGCCGCATAGCGAGAACACCTGGGAACCATCACGTCACCTTACCCACGCGAAGCAGGTCCTAAGAGATTGGCAGAGGAAACAATCAAATCCAGACACACGCATTCGCCTCCTGCCAACGCTCGAAGCGGGACACTGGGACTATCTCATTCATCGCTACAAACCCAGGGACGAGCGCCTTCCATATCCCCAACGACAACTCTTCGACCCTTACGAGAACGTCTTCACGCCCATTGGCCTAGTCGATGAGGACATCGACCCTAGAGAGGGGGTAATGTCATAACTCGACTCTTTTTCATCTTATCCTCGACGATCTTATCTTATCTCGACACGGATTATCTTATCGCGGATCACGGCATCTGACGGTCCGGGCTAGGGGTTCCAGGGGATTATCCTTATCGATTCAAGGCTGCGCGACATATGCTCCGGAAGGTTCTACTACAACCCATGACCAGTGCTCCATGCGGTACATAGCCCTATGACTCATTAGTTGTAGATATGACTCAGACTGGATTTGGGTATAAATACTGTAGCTACTTGGTTGTATTCTCCAGTCTTCGAATTCACTTCTCTTTTCGACTTTATTTTTGGGTTGATTGTCACACCTGGAGTGCAGTCTTGATCGACTCTTCCAGCGCTTCGCCTGCTGAATATTAAATGATCAATCGAGCAGGTCTTGATGCACAAACTTTTGGCATATTGGTTCTTTCCGGTAGGATTTCGGTTGAAGTTCGCAGACATCCGAATAGAAGAGCGACCAAGAAATCAAGCGCGATCACAAGGAAGTGACTTTCTGATCACGTTATTCAACTGTCTAGTTGATACACTGTTGATGACCAAAGTATATATACGTAGACTCAAGAAAAGAAAGACAGCTAGGTAGAAGAAGAGCAATAAAAAAGTGAAGGCATAGTCAAGTTTCATAATGAAGTGCTTGGCCGTGTCCGTGTAAATCAACGACGCGGTTCGACAACTTCTTGATGAACGCGCTGCCCATCAACGATGAGCACGCTTATGAGGTGGACAGTGGTCATCCAAACCCGTGGCAGTAAGCATGTATGAGTCCCGAAGTCACGGAGTGCCAGGACCCCGAGCACAAGGACGATCGCCCATCATGATATAGACCATGTCCTGTATGGTCAACCTTAGTAAATCACGTCATTCTCATCTTAGATGAGCACCCACGCTTACGCTCAGGGACGCAGCGGCGATGGCGGCCAGGCCAAGTTCCCGTCTGCCCTCTCCCTCCTCACCGCGCGATAACGACCATGAGCGGCGAAGAGGAGCGCCTGCTCGCCACCAAGACGCAATACGGGGCCCTCTCATCGGATGCCTCTCCCCACGGTGCTGCAGTCGACAGAAGCGAGGGAAACACATCGGGTGCGTGGCCCGCGCGCGACGCACACGGAACGCATGGCTGAGATAACGCGCGCCCAGGTGAATCGTTCGATGCTGTGCCGCAGGAGCGGCGACAGCTAGGTCCGTGCCATCCCTTCTTGTCCGGGTGTCGCTCAGGCTCATCCGGGCGCAGGACTGACGACCGCGACATTTCTCGTCTTCAATCGCGTCATTGGGACAGGGTGTGTGCTTGTTCCGTGCCGAATCTTGCGCTGAAACTCACGGCGGTGCAGAATCTTCGCGACGCCCAGCGTTATCTTGCTGTCCGCGGGAAGCGTCGGCGTCGCGATGCTGATGTGGGTGCTCGGGGCGCTCATCGCGGCGGCGGGGACCACGGTCTATGTAGAACTGGGCACGGTACGCTGATCTGCGCTCCTGGCTCCGGTCCTTCTCTCATGAAATCCGGGCAGGGTCTACCGAGGAGCGGCGGCGAGAAAAACTACTTGGAGTACATCTATCGCCGACCGCAGTTCATGGTTAGCTGCACTTACGGCGTCTACACGCTTATTACTGTCCGTGGTCCCTGCTTCCCCTATGTTCCCTACCAGAGCTTACTGACTGCACAGGGATCCAGTGCGACGAACGGGATCGTCTTCGGCGAATGTGCGTCTGAATATAGGTAGCTTGGGGACGCTACTAATGATTTCCAGACTTCATCCACTCCCTCGGGCTCGAAGCGACACCGTTTAGGACTCGTCTGACGGCGATCGTCTGTCTTACATTCAGTTTATCGATGATCGGCGTGTTCCACAAGACTGGCGTGCGACTGCTCAACATCCTCGGGCTTTTCAAGTTCGGTATCCTCGCGGGCATCGCTGCCTTGGGAATGCTCTCCCTCGTTGGCGTCCCTGGCTTCGCAGTGCGTAACGGTTATGAGAAACCAGACAACTTCGCAAGCTGGGAGCGCGTGTGGTCGGGCAGCCGAGCGGATGCCAATGCTCTCGTTACGGGATTGTATAACGTGATCTGGTGGGTGCTATGACCTGGTCTAATGTCGCTTTGTCGTCTCACTATAGCTGCGCAGGTCTTTCATAGGGTACTCGAATGCCAACTACGCTCTCTCTGAGATCAAGGATCCGGTCAAGACGATTAAGCGGGCAGCCCCACTGGCGATCATCTCTGTCACGATTGTCTACATGCTGGTCAATATCGCGTACTTTGGAGTCGTCTCGAAGAACGACATCCTCAGTAGTCGGCAGATTGTTGCGTGAGTGTGTCGACTCTGATTCGGCGATAGTTTCTTACGCTTACCAGGGCACTTTTCTTCCGCAATCTATTCGGCCCCGCTACAGAACAGGCGCTGAGCTTCTGCATCGCGCTTTCATCGCTGGGCAACATCCTGTCGGTTTCATTCACCCAGGGCAGAGGTTCGTGGTCACCGTCTGCTGACAGTAGCGGACCTATAATGTGCGCACAGTGATCCAAGAGCTCGGACGCGAGGGCGTGTTTCCTTTCGCCACATTCTTCTCGAGCAACAAACCCTTCGGGGCGCCGTTGGCCGGGTTGAGCTTGCTGTACTTGCTTTCAGTTGCCCTGGTGATCGCGCCACCGCCCGGGGACGCATATCTATTCCTGCTGAGCAGTACGTCCATATACTGTCTCGATGTGGTGCTTAGGCTGACTGCTGCTGCCCAGTGTCCTCCTACTCGCTCACCATCATCAACACCCTGGTCTCGTTTGGTCTGCTGCTGCTGCACACCAAAGGCTATGCCAGCTTGAGCTGGAACCCCCCGTTCCAGGCCCCACGCTGGGTCGTCGTCGCGTTCTTCCTCTCGAACGTGTTCCTAGCCGTCACGCCGCTGATTCCGCCGACCAAGGGCGGCCGCACGTTTGAGCGGGTACCGTACTACGTCCGTCATGCTCCCTGCAATCAGAAACGATCCGCCTACTGACGCTCCCGCAGATGTACGTCCTAGTCACCATCGGTGTGTCCCAGCTCGGTGTGCTGTATTGGGCGTTCTGGGCCAAATGGCTGCCCCAGAGAGGTGGCTACGAGCTCAAGCGGGAGTGGCAGGTGCAGGACGATGGGGTGTCGCGATTCGTGTTTGTCAAAGTGCCTAAGAACTGAAAGCACCTGATGTAAATTAGAGACACGGATTGGCCGCTAATAAACAGGCCGACCCTTGTGATATATACAGTTCAATGTCCAAGTCTCTACTATGATCTGCGGACTACAAGCGTTCCTCAGTTTCTTCACATTCGCGATGAATCACCTCAGAGTCGCCTGGCGGTACAGCTCAATCATTCATGCTCTTCTCCGACGACCATGATGCGATCCAAGCAGAGTCGCAAGTGCTGCTTCATTCTATACGGTGGGCAGCCCACAGTGAAAGCATTCGCACAGCGGCTCGATCATGTGTGCTGTCTGCTACTGGCATGTGTTGGGAGGGAGGTCTACATGCACAAAACGTGCGTACTACACACAAAAAGGCCCCAAGATACCTGTGCGCGTCCAGGCAGCACACCGACCGAAACCCCGTATACAGTACATTACATGAATAGATCGAGCAAGCGCTCCAAATAAAGGGGGTATCAATCTAGGCTCAACACTGGCTAGTTAGGTTGTTCTTGGGGACAGGCTGCTTGTAATCGTCCGTCCACGTGGTCAGATTCGGGTTAGTATACGCCTCGATGTACCTGGAACCGAATGAGCTGCACTGAAGCAGAAAGGGAGGGAGAAGGAATGGGTGACGTACGTGTTGATGTAGTCCTGCGTCGGGCGGTCTGGTGGGTCGCAACCGATGTTGATTTTATCCGGGTGTTGATACACGCGGACCCAGTCGACGCGCATGATCCCGGGGAAAGAGAGCCGCTCGTCGAGCCAGGCGAAGTTGCGGGAGAAGCCCAGGTTGATCAGGATGTACTGTGCAATGGTGAGTGCGACGCAACCAGCGCAAGGCCCTGTGAGCTTACCATCGGCTCGGTGGGAATGGGCCGCGCAGAGATTTGGGTCTGCGGATTCGCTCCGACACCGGCGGCATTCAGGGTCCAGGTCACTTTGTTGTCGGTGATCCAGGTGATGTACTACAGCGCTGTTGAGATCGGACCAACAAGTGAGGAGACATAGAGCACATACTGCGTTGTCGAAACCGGGCACATACTCGAAGCCGTGCACGGCGAAACAGTCCTGGACGAGCTGGTAGCAGAGCTGGTTGGTGTCTGACACGACAGACGCGGCTTCCTGGTATATCCCGCCGGAGTACGTATTCTGCGACGAGTGTGCCGGGTCGCGGATGATCATGTTGTCCGTCGAGTTGTTCCAGATGTACGAGGCATCGAACGGCTGTGATGGATTCAACACGAGAAGAGCCGTGCGGATAAACGGCCTACCGCCCACTGCGACGACTGGGACACTTGCCCTCGGCTCGTCGGATCGCCAGAGTTGCCCCCGATCTGCGCCTCGATGACATCGATCTCGGGTGCCGACCGGCCGACGTAGGAGCCGTCCTTGTGCAGCGGCCCCGGGTGCGACTCGCCCTTGCACGTGCAGCGAGAGAGTCGCTGGCCGCCCAGATAGGACAGTGTCCCGTTGTAGTCCTTGGAACCCGTGTCGAGGGCTGCTTGGGGCGCGTTGTTGAGGGTCTGATTGGGCAGGGTCCCGACGTCACACGAGTCGTAACCTTGGAATCTGATGTCAGCTGGTGCACGTCCGATTGTGGGAAAAGGGACGAACTGTAGGGCCACTGGGGGATGTCAGCCGATCATTCGAAGAACAATGGGTGCTGGACTCACCATCCCATCCAGGGTCGCACCGTAGCCAGCACGGCCCAGATTACCCATCGTCCACACCGCCGGCCAGAACCCTGAAAGCGTGTGCTCGCCTGGGAGCTGAACGCTCGCCAGGATCAGTCCCTCGGTGAAGCAGAACTATGGAAGTATCAGCACCGCGGGCTGGGACAGTGCGAAGCAGCGCGTACCTTGTTCCACGTGGACATCATGCCGCTCGAATAATTCATGTTATGGTTCAGTGTCGGATCCGTTACTTGCTCTAGCGTGATCTCGAGCGCGCCGGCTCGGGTGGTGATTTGCTTGGGGTCGTACCACTCCTTGTCGCCGGTTGACCAGTAGTCAAAGTCCACGGCCTCCCTGCATCCCACAGTCAGGCGCGGTTCTGGATGAGCAGCGGGAGGGAATCCACGCACCAATATGGATCATCACCAGGGTAGAAACTGCGTCCGTCCACCTCAAATTCGTCGCTGAAGACGAGCTGCAACGCCTGGGAGCTGTCATGGTAGCCATAGATCTGGTGCGCACTCTACACGGGTCATTCAGCGTCGCATCCAGGCGGCTTTTTGGGAACCGCTGGGACAGACCTGAGGCGTGTGCACGTCAATGAGCCCGCGGCTGCTGAAGTTCGCGATGGGCGTCATGGGCCCCGTCGCGACAGCCTCGCTCGGCTTCGCGCGGGTGAAGTGCGACGCGACGGGATAGCCCAGGCTGCGGAACGTCAGCGCGCCTGCCGGGGGGTCACAGCGAAAAACGGAGGGACGCACAAGAGACCGACGATCAGCAAGCAAAGGATGGCCAGACACCCGACGTTCATGAACCCGCGCCGCGTGAAAAGGCTGTCCGACGGCGACTTGTCGTTTATGGTGCCGCGGGGACCGGGGTTGTGGAGCACGTCGTCGGGTTCTGGTGCGTTGACGTCGAAGCCCCATGTCGTGGGATCCGGGGAGAGGTTGAACTAGGGCGTTGTCAGGAGGCAGCACACAGACAGAGTGGCTACGGCCTGCTGCAGACGCACCTTGTCGGTCGCGCTCCCGGCCTCGGACGCCGCATATCCGGGACGCCGCAGCGTCAGTCCGCTCGAGGACCGATCCACAGCTCCGAGCGGCACCAGCTCCTCCTTTGAGCGCGAGGTCGCGGAGAAGGGTGTGCGCGGACTGAGGCTATCCGACATCGTCTCCGCGCTCAGCAGACTCGTGTACGACGGGCTCCGCAATCCGCCTGGCCCCAGGTCCTCGCGGTCCGGTGTAATCTTCCCGGCCATGCGAAGAAATCGTGCGCGTTACAAAAAAGAATGTGGAGGCTCAATGATTGGGGAGAGTGTGTGTGTGCGTCGGTCGGGTAGTGGGTTGGTGGGGGAGCAGGGATGGAAGAGAATTATGAAACGGCGCCCAAAAGCGTGATGCATGATCGATTTGTCAAGGCGACGTTGGCGAAAGATTGCTTCCGGCCCACGGCGATTTCTCTCCGTTGATCAGTCCTTCATTGAAACCACTCTGTACGAGTACAGTAACTTCAGGTCTCTAAGGCTTCATACCACCACTCTCATTCTAGCCCAGTCGAGACCCATCCTGCGGCGTAGTTACCGCAAGGGTCCAGTAGCACACCAGTTGTGGAGGACGAGCAGGCAGAATGTACCGAGCAGGGGCGGCTTGGCGCTGACAACAGTCCTTTCACGTGATACTTTACAGCTTAAAATTTTGAGCAACGCCCAGGGAAGTGTGTCCAACAGACTCTAAAACGTTTGCCACACAATAAATCATACTTACTACGACAGCTACTCGGGTAGAGAGGTAGGTAGCTTGCAAGACACGTATGTATGTAGGTGGACTCCCGAAGAAATCGACAGAAACACATCCATCACGGCCATGGAGAGATCAATATCTGCGGGAAATAGTCAGCATGCGTGAATCAAATAAGACATGGATAGCCAAGATGGGTCTCATCATCGAAAAAAGTGTCGTCTAATCCACGGATGGATCCGACTCATTAAATCAGTTTATATTTTTCATTCTTCGACCCGACATGGAAGTAGGGGAAAGTGTTGGAAGAAACGAGAAACGAGAGCGGGAAACTCACCTAGAGAAGACCCTCCTCATCCACAATCCGTCGACATGAAAGGTATGTGAATATCCCAGCAGAATATGTCAGCATACAGCGGCGTGGCTCCAAACCGCCATATTTCCTAATACTGGTGTCGCTCGTGAAGAACAAGTGTCGCGTTTAACGCGTCAATTGGCACTGCGTCGGCGGTCGCAGTCTGCGTCGATCAGCGTGGCATTTCTTGAAGTCACACACAAGCTGATGGGCGAAATTTATACTCCGGCGGAGTGGCAAGCGGACTTTGAAACGTGCACGGACCACCACACGTGCGTCATCCGCGCACATGATTACTGTTGTCCGAACTTTTCTCTCGCTGCCGCTTTCTTCATTTACACAAGCTCCGGGAATCCTGCGACTGGTTAGATGTGCGTTGTTCTCAACCCGTGTCCGGCTCCTGTACTAGTTTTCGTACCTTCCAAGCCACATCGCCGACTGCGCGGTCTTATCTCTTGCCGTCTCAACTGCCAGATCTGCGGCGGATATCGGCAGTGTCGCAGACGCAAGATTTGCAAGCCCATGAGGTCAGATCCAAACATACCTTTCTCACTTCGCAGGTCTAAGGGACAAACACGCAGCACGAACCAGATTGTTGAATACAGATTGATACCATTTATGGGTGCAGCAACAACACTCGTCTGATCGCTTCCCGCCGCAGCTCAAGGAGGGCTGCCGAAGCAGCAGCTAGCGCGCGCAACGCGTCTGTGGTACGGCATCAGCACCGCGCATACTCAACTGGGAGGGGAAGCATCACAGACCCAGCAATGGCCTTGAAATCGACGACCTCGCGGCCCTCGACGATGCCGCTCCGGGGCGGGACGCACGGCGCGCAGCTGCAGCGGTCGAGTGGCGTCAGCCAACCGAGCTCAGGTGGGATCATAGACAGTTGAGGGCTACGCACAGTGCCGCGACATTGGAGGCGCCCATGAGCCCGACGAACGCGAGGGTCAGAACCGACTTGAGGTTGAACAGCATGCTCTTTACTTGGCTAGGTGGCAGAAACGGGGAGGTCGATTCTGGGCTGGCTGGGGGTCTGCTTGCCTCCCTTATATGCCCGCCGCTTATCTGCGGCCCCCCCCCCGGGCAGGGGAGGATAAGGGCTATGCCGTGCCCTGGAGTAGCTTGGGAGGAGCACGAGGGACGGGCGCGGATAGCAATCTCGCTGCGCATCACAGATTCTCTTCCGAGTGTATTGTAACAAGTATCGAGGCTTATGCAACTCAACAAGATGGGATGGCGATGCCCTGAGGAAGCCTTGGCACGATTGTATTTTCTCTCCATACCTACTCATCGACGTGGAGACATGGAATTGTATTCGTTGGCTTGACGCTAGTTCACACGCGCGAGCGGGTACAGTTTCTTTGCGCATTGTTCATCGTAACACTACCGTCTGCACTAAGTACTACAAATTTAAGCGACGGGAGTCGGCTCAGCGCGGGCGGAGAAGCAGCACGAGTCGATGGCGACACGGCTGGAGGACATGGAACAACAACATTAGCCTCGAACATACGATCGCAGACTAGGGCGGAAACTGACCCAGCAACGACGGCAGCGACCTCACGGCCCTCGACGGTGTCCTTGCGGAGGATGCACTGGCAGCTACAGAAGAACAAGTATCAGACAGTGCTCGTCACCCTTGTCTACAGCCAACGCACTGAGCAGAGACGCTGGACGCGCCCATGAGCGCAACAACAGCGACGGTGACGAGGGATTTGAGGTTGAACAGCATCGTAGGTAAGTTGGCGAGTGACTGAAACTGGGGCTCCTTCACACAGATCGGCTGGGCTTTTATATACATTCAGCGGGTGCTTATCATCGGCTCGCGCGGAGCCTGTGCGAGCCTCGAGGAGGGGTTGGGGGAGTAAACCAACTCATCATTGATCCCTGGTGTACCTCAGTTGAATCACGACTCGATGCATTCAATGCTTATCAGACTGGGGTGCCTGGTCGGGAATCCATCATGCACCTTCAACACTCTCGTCGCATCCGCCAAATAAGCGTCCCTCGAGCTTGGGGGTGAACTGCTATCCAAACACCCAACGACTGAATCTGGCGCCGGCGCCCACTCTCGCGTCGAGCCTGATACCTCGTACGTAAGTGCCAGGACTGGACGATTCGAGCTACGATCGCCCGCCGCTCCACGAGCAGCATGCGGCCTCCCGAACAAGCCATCTATCGGGCGCTCGCTCACCACTAGTCCATCAGATGCGGATCCATACCACGGCTGAACGCCCATCGCCAATCCGCCAGTCCAACAATCGAACTTTGCGTGCATTCCGCGTTGTGTGTGTGATACAGCACTAAGGTACGCCTCACTCGACGTACTTGCCGTGCTTCTGGTGCCAGCTCGTGAGCGACTCCGGGCCGTAGTCCTCGTACGTCTCCTTCGGCGCGTCCGGCAGGTACACGTACGCCGGCTTGCTGTTCATCTTGACCATGACCTGCCGCACGCGTGTCTCAGACTCGGATCCAAGTCGCGGAGGAAGAGGAGAGGAGAAAAGACGGACAGCGACGCACCAGTTTGTCGGGCGTCTCGAGCGGCGAGTCGATCGCTGATGCGAAGGGGTGGATGAGTTCAGGCCTGATGGGGGACACGGTAATCTGAGATGCAGGCGCGCCTGATTTGACCAACGCAGCAGCACGCACCAGGTTTCGTCGTACAGCCAGAGCATAGTCGAGCACTTGGAGCAGAAGTTGCGCTCAGACGACGCGGTGCGTTCTTGCGGCGTGTCGCGGTCCAGCACAGCCTTGTACACACTGCAGCAGCCCCCAAGAGTCAACCATCGCGTCCCGTCTCGCACCACGCCGGATCGGATCGATGCGGCGCAACGCAACGCAACGCAACGACGAACCTGATGAACTCCTTCCCGCGCTCGATCTCAAGCGACTTAGAGTGGCCGCCGAGGTTGATCGACCCGCCGACGCCGCCAGCTTTGCGGCAGATCGAGCAGACGCAGAGCTACAGGCACGCGATGCATCGATGAATCTTGGCGATTGTTTGATCTGATGGAGCTGACCTGATATGGCACGGCGGTGCTCGATAGGACGCTGAAGCGCACCGCGCCACAGTGGCAGCTTCCTTGTAGTTTCGTCGGCATTGAGTTTGCGAGGGTGTGCAGATGAGAGCAGCGAGACGGGTCGGGACGAGATGACGTCAAGTTTTGAGCGTAATACAAAAGGCACGAGACCTGAGGCGTGACCGAAGGGCTGCGGTTCGAATGTTTAAGATCACGTATGAAATATTATAATGAGATACATGGCAATATAAACAAGGTACTTACGGTTAACTAGTTCTAGGGTGTCCATCGGTAATGCAGATTAGTGCAAGCTCTAGGCCTAACAACGGGATAATAACGGAATCAAAGCGAAGAGGTAACAATACAACGAAAAAGAAAAGGAGAAGAAAATCACTTGAGCTGCCTCAACCCCTTCATGAGCGACTGCTCGTCGACGTTCCATTCACCTGTCCACCCGGGGCCCCCGCGCTGAATGGACCGCTTGCGCAGGTTCTTGGCGGCCTTGTCAGCCGAGATTGAGAAAACGGCGGCAGAAGACAATGACGGGCGGGTAGAGGTCGGCTCGGGACTGCGAACACCACGATCTCTTGACAAAGCCTTGAGATCTGCTACCCACAGCTCCTCGTCCCCATCACTGAACGCCTCGGAAAACATCGATGCCGAGGAAGACGACGACGACGACGACGAAGACGACTTCCCCGCGCCCGCGCCGAGCTCGCCCTCGCACAGCGTGTCCGACCCCGCATCAGACACCGATGTGACAGGCGACGCCGGAAACACCAGATCCACGGGGACGCGCTCGCCCAGCGTGCGCATCACGCGCGCCATCTTGCGCCGCCGGTGCTCCGCCTCGTTCTCCGGCGCCGTCGGCGAGACAGGTGACGGCAGCGTGCCGGGCAGCGTCGCCGGGCGGCCCCACCCATGCGAGTCCACCCGCACGCGCGGGCCCGTGACGGAGTTGGTGTGCCGCAGGAACAGGGTCGGCCGCACGGGACGCGTGTCGCCGGAGGACGTTGACGGCCGGCTGCCGTGGCTGCCGCTGCTGCTGCTCCCGCTCTGGGGCGAACGCGGGTGCACGAGCGACGGCGATTCCGTGCGTGGGGGGAAGGTGTGCGTGAGCGAGGACGCGGCGCCGGGGTCGGAGTCGTATGCATCCGCAGCGGACAGCGGGTGTTCAGCGCTGATGGGGGAGGATGGGAGGGACGGCGGCGCGGACTCGAGGAGGACGGGGGTCGTGCCGAGGAGCGCTGCGAGTTTTCGGGTTGAGCGCATCAGCCGGAGCCGATGGGGCTTTGCGACCCCGTGGGTTGTGGGTGGCACGGGAGCGGCGATCATGCTGGCTGTAGAAGAAGAGATCGGAGGAGGAAGCGCAGGTTGAGGAGGGGGCGGAGTCGCTATCAAAGTAGGCACCAGTCCTTAAAAGAGAAGGACGCGTGTCGGCGGATTTCGACGCAAGGCCAGTGGAGTGTGAAGAAGAGAAGGAGGGACAAGAAACGTGCACTCGACCCGAGCCTTGCTTGCTATGATCCGCGTTATATATCGTGACGACATCTTCGTTTCAAATAAGCGTGAGTACACTAGTCCGAAACCCGAGGACAAGTCTGTCAGGTGTCACTAGGAAACAGCAAGGCTGTCGAAACAGCGAAGTTTTTTTTGGTGAAATCCTAGCGACAGTTGGTCGGAACTTGCAAATTCGTTTGCTTTTCTGTCTTTGACTTCCCTTCTGCGATCGAGTTGGCGATGAGGGACCCGCTCGGTCCGATTCGGTCGTGCAGACAACTGTGATCGGCTTTTGACGATGAAAGTGATCGGTGAGATAATGAAACAGCAGGATATCCCCCTTGGGCAAGGCCATCGAGTGCACAAGAAATAATGGTGGAACGATTCGAGCAGCTTGATCCAGTCCAGATTTCTTTGAAGGGGCAGTGCAGAGATCAAGTCCCAGAAGTCAAGCCATGGGGGAGAACAGCCAGTCTGAAACAATATGCCACAGCGATGTTCGGAGAAACTGTGATATTTATTTGATGGGGACCGGAAGTGGCCGTGTCCCGCATGCAGTTTGCTGTCCCAGCCGACGCCTGTATCTCGAACCACTAGGCTTCCCTTACCTAACCCGACCTCTGCCACCAAACATCGATGGCGTCGACAGATCTTTGTGTGTCTAGCCGTGCCAAGATTGCATCCGAGCCTGAGACCAGGCATTATCTCGCCCAAGAACTGGGGCGTATGTATCTGAGAGAGAGGTAGAGAGAGTGTGTGAGAGGGATTCTCCAGTTCTCCGATCTCCGTGGCCGAGGATTCCGTGTGTGTGTGTCCGGCTGCAGTCGCCTAATATAATGCGAGTGATTGCAGTCGCGTTGCGCTGCATATGCATGTCACCAGACCGCGAAGGAGAGCGCAGTAAGAATGCTGCCCAAATGGGGACACACACAACCGCCTAGCCCCCACCAGTTCTTACTTGCGTAAGGACATGTGTGCACGACTTCCTTATGTGGAAGCGGTTCCGACAAGGATCGTGCGAGAGCATGGGATGACGTGCTTGCCGCGAGCTGCGCAATACGTATATATATATATCTTCTTAAAATGGCGAGCACCCGAAAGCTCGTTGATAAATCAGAGAAATCATGACGCACATATTTCGATGGTCAAAATACCATTGGCCCGAGTCGGCTGCGTCGAAAAGAAATTATAGGCTGCGTTGGGCTCTGACGAGTTCGCAGAACTTGGAGGAAGATTATTACCATAGCTAATCACAGACGATGCTACCCACTAGATGTGTGCCAGCGGAGGATCAACCCCGCCGGAGAAGTTGCCCCAGGCTCATTGCTGGCAGGCTTCTGGCCCTGGCGAGAGACGCTGAGATGTGATGCTCTCTGCTTGCCGCATAGCTCCAAGAAGTGGTCGTGGTCAAGACACAACAGCACTGGCATTAATGAGAAGTGTATACATCGTCTTTCGATTTCGCCCAGGCTCATTAAAACAGCCGCACATGACCCTTTCGCTCAGAGACCACCCCTACGATCTTGCTCTCGAGATCCATCAGCCCGCCAGCTTGCAGAACAACCAGGTCCGCGCCATGCGAGTCGGAGATTCCGAGCGCGCGCTCAAGGTTCGTGGAAAACAGGGCATGCGCAGCGGCATAGCCGATGGTGCCGTTCGAGTCGAGCGCGGCCTGAGAACGTGAGCAGGGGCGGCGAAAACACAGCGAGGAAGGAAAACCCACCCAGGCCATCTCGAAGCGAGAGTTCTTCGCGTCGTAATCTGTCGGCACGCCCAGCCCAACGTTCACACCGTGTCTCAACAACTTCACGACTGCCGTCTCGGCCGACAGGGGTGGCCCGGGGAGTCTGTCGGTTGATCAGCATCGCGATCGACATGCACACACACAGCGCTACCCACATTCTCCGCGCGTTCCATGACTCAGGGTACGGCCTCGCCGGGGACAGGATCACGCTGACGTTTGCCTTCCCTATCTCCTCGGCAAGCAGATGGGCCTCGGCAGCGTCGACGAACGTCAGCTGGAGAGTGTTCCCCGTCTTCGCATCATGCTTGGCCTTCAGCGCAAGGACAGTGGCCATGATATCCGCGCTGTCCACTTTGATCACCAGTGGAATCTCGCCCTAACAAGTCCTTAGCATCGACCACGGCAGTGACCGAAGGCACCACTACGCACCTCGCGCACACGGATCCACGGCCCCTCCCCGGCGGACAGCATACGGCGCAGCGTGGCGACCTGTGTGCTCACAGACGCACCCATCCCCGAGCGCATCGAGATGTGCAACGCAGTCTCGCTCTGGACGATAGCTCCCGGCGCCAGAGCATGCGGCGAGCCCGTATCGAATGCGACCCCCAGCCCCTGCAAGAAGCCGTAGCCCTGCGGAGCCACCACAGCGGTCGTCACACCGTATCGGAACGCGTATCTGGGCAGAACGTAAGCGCACACGGGCCAATCACATCAACCACCACCACGACGCACAATGTGTTGCGACCGGCGAACTGCAGCCCATCCACCGCACGGATGACCGTGTGTCCCAGGATGCTCGGCACAGAACCCGTCAGCGGGTCAAAGACGTTTCCATCATTCGTCGACGGCTCTTGCAGAATCTCGCTCAGCCCCAGTCGCGACCCGAACGTCGTGAGACCTGGAGCGAGCGACCCGCCCTGCAAGTCGACGGTCTCGATGGGACCTGACATGAACGAGGCGCAGCCGCCATCCGCAGTCGACCCAGCACAAGCAATCCGGCCACCGTGGACGACCACAGTCAGGTTCCCCTCGCTCGAGTCGTCGACCAATGACCGCAGACCCATCGCGCCGTTCCGCATCCACACGTTCCGTACATGCACGAACGCGACCGTGCCAGTGAATCCTCTGCCCTCCAGCGGAGGCAGGCCCTCGTACTCGATGGTCTCCGCAATCTCCTTCTCCCAGGAAGGTGTCTCCGGCACGTGCTGGAATGCATCCGGTTTCGGGACCGGTGCCGGCAGTTCGGGCAGCTGTGCGATTCCGTCGATGTAAACTTGCATCGGCGTCGCACCGAGAGCCAGGGGGTGAGAGTCCCAAATGACCAGGTCGGCATCGTACCCTGCCCTTCTTCAGAACGACCGGCGTTGATGAAGGTAAGGCGGCCCACCTTCGATGATAGACCCCACCCGCCAGTCCACGCCCAAAACTCTCGCCGGCTCGGCTGTCACAGACGCGAGCGCCAGTCCCGGGTTCAGGCTGTGATAGTGCGCCTGCTGAGCCTCGTACATCAGGTATCGTGAGTTCAGCACCGGATGGTCCGACTGGTTTAGGTCACTGGATTGAGAACCTCGTCGAAAGCTACAGACCGGAATCACACACTTTCAAGATCACACGCAGCCCATTATCGGCCAGAATCCTCGTCGCAAACTCGGACCCACGGTACGCTTCGCGCTTTTTCCGGAAGTTAGACGCGAAGAGGGCGATGGAAGGAATGTTGCCCTGGGGGGAAATTCAGCAGCAGGTAATTGCGATAGAAACAAGATTCCACACCCAAGCCCGCTTGATCAGGTCCGGGACGAGGTACGTCTCACCGGCATGGTGGATAGACGAAACCGGGAACTTGAATTCATTCGTGAGCTGTAAAAATTAGTTTATGCTGGGAATGGAAGACGAGAAGCGCGCACCCTAACAAGGGCGTCCAAGTCCACAGCCTACCGGGGAATCAGCGGAGGAGACGGCTACTCCAGAAGCAAGAGCACCTCGTAGCAATGGACCGATAGCTTGACTTTGCCCCTCAGCACATCCACCAGCGCCTCCCACTTCAAACTCTGGGGGAACTGCGCACGCCCGTCCCACTCGCCGCGCTCCGCTTTGGCGCAGAACGCGTCCTGCGCGTCGCGGACTTTGCGCGCCTCCTCGTAAGCGTGACGGAACTCCCACGCCGAGTCCATCCGGGTCTGCGAATGCACCCGAGACGGGTTCTCACCGCACGCATGTCTGAGTAGGAAGAGAGTGAGAAAGGCTCGAGAGGATAGAACGAGCAAAGAACGCACTTCATGTGACGCCACGTCTCACGCGGCTCTTCTGTCCCATTGAGGAACAGCGATGGCGGAGGCTCGAGAAGCATGCTCGAAGTCGAGCGTTCCTTCGTGGGACGAAGCTTGATCAGGAACGCCTGTCCGCCGATATTGTTCGCGCTGCCCGGAAGAATCTGCACGGTCGTCACACCGCCTGCGACAGCGAGTTTGTACGCGTCGTCGTGCGTGTTGAGCCCGTCAACGCTGCGGAGCCACGGCAGCACAGGTGCGGCAACAGAATTGGTATCAGACGCGCCTGCAGTCCCCAGTGAGTCGCTGTAAACGCACAGCCAATGAAGTACCCACCGGACAGTTCGGGTGCCGAGCCTACACCCAAGTGCGAATGCGCGTCGACCAACCCCGGGGTGATCCATTTCCCCTCCGCATCGACGACGACCACGTCCGGCGGCAGCACAAAGTGGTCTGGGATGTACCCGACCGCCACTACCAGACCCTTGTCAAGTAAAACGTCGCCGTATACCACCTCCGTGCCATTTCGCGCGCCTGTGATGATCTTCGCGTTCTTGATGAGGGTCGGTGGTGTGCCCGGGACAAAGCGGTCGCTGCCCGTCGCGACACGCTTCTCGAGGTATTCAGACGACGGTTTGAGTGGGATCGGCTCGTGGAGGCGGACGCATTCGGACGGGATCGCGTGCGTTTTCGACGTTTGTGAGACGGAAGCGAATGGCGCGAAGGCAAGGTGTGTGCTTAGTAGGGCGAGGGAGACGAGAGCGACGAGCCCGCGACGGCCTAGTTGGAAAGGACGCGGGCCACGCAGAGACCCCTCGAGCTTCATGTGTGGTGTCGACGTGGGCAGAGACGAGCTCTGGCTTCACTGCGAGTTGCCATATGGCGTATTGATGCGCTTATTAGATAAGCGGCCATGGGTTCGCCGCGGGGAAGAAGGCTCTGTGCCTTGTAGGTTTTTCGGCTGGCTCACGCTCAAGATTCGGTCGAGAGCAAAGTGGGAGTATGTGAAAAGCAGCAGCGCTGAAAGCCATCTTGGGATGCTCGAACCAAGACTGTTCACCGGCAACTAGCGGAGAAAGCCGACATGAGGGTTTATCACTAAGCTTAGCGAATCGCCTACTAGAGCACAAGATTTTGCTCCGGTGCAACTTAGTTTAGCGTGGAATGGTCACTATGAGACCAAGTGAGACGCAGCTGAACAGCCAGAAAGCCAGGAAGTAGGAGTTTCCGTGGTGTTCAGAGAGACTGACAGATGAATGATGGAGTGCAGTGGCTTGTCGAAAGGTCTTCATGCAAACAGTATTCCTGTGTTTACATGTTTATTAGCCAAGCTGGAAGATAGCCTCTATTGCAATGTCTGCCTCGGAGTTTCAGGTCTTCACAGGAAGGAAAGGAGCATACTGTAATGTTCCAAGTCTTGAGAGGGTCATCAGCCACGATCAGCCCTGTCAGTCATCCATCAACAATCACGAGTCAAATCAGCTCTGGCCTTGCGCGGTCACTCCACACAACGGACGAATTGATACCGCAAGAACCCATCAAGATGACCATGTTCTTCTGCGCACCTTCCTCGTACGCGAACGCAACATCAACATGAGAATCATCTTTGCAGACTCAGCTGACCTACGGGCCGCACGCCGTGTCCCGACCCATGACTAGAGCTGGCAGTTGATATAAGAGGAGGGCGGAAAACCGCCAGCTGGGCATCATGCAGCTCGTACGCGCCCTTGCGGCGCTGTCAGTGGCCGCACTAAGCGCCGCCCAATCGTTCAACAACAACAGCGCGCAGTATGTTCAACCGATCGGATCGCGTGCGTGCTGCTCTCAATTGCCACGAGGCCTTACTGTCGCTCATCCATTGTGCAGCTGGATTCTATCACGGTCTATCCAACTCTTCGGTGACCTTTGATCAGCACTCCATCCTCCTTGATGGCAAGGTGCGCTTTCAAGTTTCATTCCCTCGCGCACTCCCAACGCGCATTCCCTTCCACAGCGCCTCGTCGTCTTTTCCGGCGAGTTTCATCCATTCCGGCTACCCGCTCCCGAGTTGTGGTATGACATTCTCGAAAAGTGAGGCTCCCTTTCCTCCCTTCCCCCGCATGGAATAGTCACCGACTGTGTGTGAAGATTCAAGGCGTCTGGTTTCAACGCCGTTTCCGTGTATTGTGCGCTCCCCGCCATCAATCTCCCACTTGTGCCTGACATCTACGCGCAGGGCACTGGGGGCTTTCCGCTCCGAACGCGGCCGAAGTTCGGTTCACACAGCACAACGACCTCGCCGCGTTCTTCACCGCAGCGCAGGAGGTTGGGCTTCTGGTCGTCGTCCGTCCCGGGTGCGTCCCACAAAGTGGCATTGATTCCAACACATATCCATTCTCCACTGCCGCAGACCCTACGTCAATGCCGAGACCGCGGCAGGAGGCATCCCCGGCTGGACGACCAACATCCCCGCGCTCGCTCGCACGAACGCGACGGGCTACCGCACCGCCTGGCTCCCGTACATCTCCGCGTTCGCGCAAGCGACCGCGCCGTTCCAGTACCCGCACGGGCCCGTCATCGCCATCCAGAGCGAGAACGAATTCGAGACGAGCGCGACCGCGCACATCACCGGACTAAGCGAGCACATGCAGGACATCGAGAACGTGTTGAGGGCGAATGGCATGAATAAGGTTCCCATTATACACAACGATCGGGGCCCCAATGGTCAGTATGCGAAAGCAGGACTGGGGAAGGTCGATTTGTGAGTTTGTTGCTGATACTAACTTGCTGGTGTCTGATGTCCCCCGCTCAGATACGGCTGGGACGGGTATCCTCTGGGCTTTGACTGCAACAGCCCCAGTGTCTGGACGGAGCTTTCTACTCGTGAGCATCGTTTCACTTAATCAGAGGGAGCATCCTCATGCGAGTCCTTCCAGAAAGCGACAACTCCCACCAATCGCTCAACCCCGCGGAGCCGCTCGCTCTGTTCGAGTGGCAAGGCGGTGCGTTCGACTATTGGTCCGGGCCCGGCTACGAAATGTTCGCTTCTCGTCAATGAGCAATTCGCCAATGTGTACTACAAGAACAACTATGCGGCCGGCGCTGCACTGCAAAATCTCTATATGACCTACGGAGGAACCAATTGGGGAAACATGGTAATTGTACCTACTCCCTTTTGTATCTACCTCAGCTGAGTATTTCCCTCGCAGCATTGCACCAGTGAGTAACCACTCAGCTCTTTTTTTCTGCGCTGACAACTAATGGAAACTTCAAGCAATCTACTCCAGCTACGAGTCAGTCTTTCTTACTTTTTTTCTCGAGTGATCTAATGCCGAGGCTATCAAGTTACGGTGGCGCAATCGCAGAAGATCGGACCTCTCGTCCAAAGCTGGCCGAACTCAAGCTGCAGTCGTATTTCCTCCACGCATCGCCCGACTATCTGCTCGTCGGCCGCGTCGGCGCTGGCACGACCTTCTCGACCTCGCCCGATATCTACACAACCAATCTGCGCTCGCCGTCCTCGAACGCGAATTTCTACGTCGTGCGCCAGCTGACGAACACGAAGGTTACCGACACGGATTTCACGCTAAGCGTCAACACGACTGCGCTGGGGCTCATCACGATTCCCACGGCGGGGAATCTGACGCTGGCGGGTCGCGAGACGAAGATCGTGGTCACGAATTATCCGTTTGGCCAAGGAATGCTGGTGTTTTCCACTGCTGAAGTATGTCATGCGGCTCCCGATAGACGACGTTGAGTGACCTTCGAGAAGGTCATGACTTGGGCGACCTTTGATGGAGTGGACACGATCGTGCTCTACGCTTTGGCCGGCCAATACGTTGAAATCTCAGTTCTGAACCCCAAGCATCAGACCATCAGGACTTCGGGATCCAACACCATCTCCGCCAAGGGGGGCAAAGGGGTACGCACATCAGAACTTCTTTCGAACAGGAGGGTGAATGTTGATTATGTCCGTCGTAGCTCGTGACGATCTCTGGAACCCCGTCGGGTCTCACGTTCATCACCTTCGGCACGAACAAGCTCATCGTGGGAGACAAGCAAACAGTCTCCGCGTTCTGGGCCCCGCGTCTCTCCACGGGCTCTGCACAGTACGATCTGACACCGGAAACGCCGTCCGTCCTCGTCTCCGGGCCGTACCTCGTCCGCTCAGCCACGGCCGCCGGCTCTGTTCTCGCGCTGACGGGCGATCTCAACGCCACGACACAGCTGAACGTATGGGGCCCGCAAAAGTTCACGTCGATCACCTGGAACGGGACTCCCGTCCCCACGACATCGGGGATCGGGAGCAGTCTGCAGGCGACGCTCGGCTTCCCGCAATCGCTCCCGTCCGCACAGATCCCCGTGCTGCAAGATCTCGCGTGGAGCTGCGCGGATTCGTTGCCTGAATTGCAGCCGGGGTTCGATGACAGCCAGTGGGTCGTTGCAAACAAGACGAGCACGCAGCGGCCGCTCAAGCCTACTGCAGGCAAGGTGAGTCGCCCATTTCATTCTGAAATCTGGCTTCCTGGAAGTTTATCGATATCAGTATGTGTTGTATGCTGGGGAGTGCGTTCACGGTCCAACTGATAGATCACGTGCGTAATCTGATCTTATCGCCCAGGTACGGCTTCCATGCCGGCCAGTGGGTATGGCGCGGACACTTTAATGGTAATGCGACCGGTGTGCAACTTTCGATCCAAGGGTTTGTCCGTGAAGTCTAGTTACTTCCATCGATCTCACCACTGGGGTTCCTAGCGGATTCTCGTTCGGCTACTCGGTCTTCCTCAACTCGCATTTCCTCGGATCCGGCCAGGGAAGCTCGATCGACCAGCGCGGCGTCGATTTGCTGTCTCCGACGTTCAATTTCACGGCAGGGATGCTGATACCAGCAGGAAATGGTGGGCAATCTGATCTGTTCAGATGATGACTAACATCGATTGCGTCAGTTTTAACGGTGATACATGACTCGACTGGTTTGAATGAAGATTGTACGTTCGTTCGAGTCGTTCCAGGACGTGAATTTGACGCTCTCTAGACAACGTCAATGATGAACACAAAACTCCACGTGGAATCCGGGGCTACACGTTGCTCTCCACGACCGGAAACGACTTCACGCAGTGGAAAGTGGCTGGAAGTAAGTCCAGTGGCGTTCATCTCACTCGCACAGGCTTCTCAAAGCACTAGATATCGGCGGCGAAAACGCGTCTGACTACGTTCGCGGGCCGTACAACGAGGGCGGGTGGTGGTTTGAGCGCGTCGGTAAGCCTCACGTGCTCTTCTGTCACCGGCTAAAGACAATGATCCCCCGCGCCTAGGCGCGCACCTGCCCGGATACAACGCCTCCTCGTGGCAGTCCTGCACGCCGTACCAAGGCCGCTCGACGGCAGGCGTCACGGCGTATCGCACAACGTTCACGCTGGATCTGCCCGCGGGCTCGGACATACCGCTGGCGTTCGATCTCGCTCTCGATTCGGCCGCTCCGTATCGGAGCATGATCTATGTGAACGGGTGGCAATTTGGACGGTGCGCTCGATCTGTCTCTCTGTTACGCTCGATTACTGAGAATGACGTGCTTAGCTTCGCGTCGTCGCTGGGCCCGCAAGTAAGTTATCCCGTGCCCGAGGGCATCCTGAACCACCACGGCCCGAACGAGATTTTGATAACCCTCTGGGCTCTCAGTGCGTTCTTCTCGATTGTCCGTGGCCGGGGGCATCACTGATGACGCGTCTCCGTGCAGATGCTTCCGGCGCAAAAATGTCTACCTTGTCGCTGAATAAGCGCGCGAGCATCGCCTCAAGCAAGAGGGCTTCGGTCACTGTCGTCCCTGCCCCGGGCTGGGCAGAGTTGAGGGGCTGAATGATCTCGAACGCCGAGACTGCGGCGCGGGCACGGACAGGATCTGCCGCGGCGGGTGCATGGCCGCCACCTGTTTGTCGAGGTCGTTAGTTTAAGCGCTGATTCGAACAATCTACCGAGGGAATGAAAGCAAGGCTAATCGTGACACCTGCCAACGTTGACCGGAGATGATCGAAAACGAAGAGAACCACTTTTAGCGCCTGCTCGGGAACTGCAGTCTCGAGCATGGGCGGCAGGAACGATACCGACCGCATCGGACGAGATGCTCAATTCTGCTGACAGTGAGACGGCCAGGGTCACGATATGTCACAGGTAACCCACCATTGGTGCATATAGATAGACTGAGCCGGCTGTTCGCGAGTCGTCTCCCACACAGTTCTCATACTTCTTTCCATGGCTCTGTCATCGTAGCCCCAGTCTTGTCGTCCATTCTGTCGAAGGGCAAGATAAGCAGCACAGATATCGGGCTCCTGTGTCACACTAGGTCATTCTATTGATCACATCGACCGGCTTACCCACGATGTTCAAAGGCTAATTCCGCGGGACGCTTGGACCGACCGGCCTTGAAACGGACAGGCAAGGCCGTTTTGGATTTGGTGAGCGGGCTCGAGCGGTGGCTCCCGGCCAGGCCCATATATGACTCATACCTATCCGGGTGGCGCCGGGCCGTCTCGGATGCTGAACTGCTCCGGAGCGACGATCCTCTCGCTACTTCTGCGTTACCATGCGCTGGTGCGATACTTCCATAACGTGCTTTCCGCCCCATAAGATCCGGTGCATGCGCGCAATATCTCGCTCGAAATCGTCCCGAGAACTCCGCGGGCCGGCGTCGGAGGGGGGAGGATCACAATCAGACCCTCCACGTTGGAAGCGTGGCGGACTCGATCACCACCCTCCGATCAAGGAAGAATATCCACGGATCGTCGGCACTTTTGCGGTCTGACGTGAGTACACAAGGGCACACGCGGCTGCAATTAGTCTGTCCTATTCTGTCCTATTGTTGTAAAGTCCTAGTGTACGTATAATAAGTAGGTCGCTTGACAGCGTGATACTACAAGATCCTAGTACTACAATGACCGCATCGGAAAAAGACGTCCCCATCCAATCAGCAATGTAGATAGTTTGCGACGACACCATATACCAGACGAAAGAGGGTTCCGTCGTCCGTGAACAGTTCCACCAGCCGAACTTGGTCGTAAATGACCCCGTTCGTGCTGAGCGTGAGGTGAAGTTGCTGGGAGCTGGGTGTCTCGTGGCGCTGTAATCGAGGTGCAATGAGCGGGCGAAGCAAGGACGAAGCGGGTAGACAACAGACGTTGCGGTTCGCGAAGTCCTTCCACAAACGGGTGATCTGTTCACCAAGTTGGCGGCGAGTCATATAGCGACCAGTCGATGCGTCTGCCATATCGAGGGGATAGAGTCGTGCGCGATATCCGGGCCACTGCGGTATATTTAGCATGATATTGAGCAATGACTGTTTCGAGCGGTGTGTGGCGTACCTCGATCATCAGCTTCACTGTTCTTTCGGCGACGAGCCCGCCGGGCAAACACTCCGCAGCGCATTGCTCGCCATGCGCCGTTCCCAGCCCGCTCTCCAAATTAAGCAATGCGACACCAAGAGAACACGAGCCGCCGCCGCTGGAACGGAAGGGGATAGAGGAGTAGCCCCTCGTTTTCCAGTCCGCAGGCCGGTTGATTATCACCGCGTCCTGGTCGGAGTGCCAGTAGTCTGGCAGCCGGCCGTCGATTTGGGTCGCAGCCTGGCACGGCGTGTTCCACTGCAGTTGAATCAGAGCCGTGCGAAAGGATTCAAACGGAATCACCCACTCGTGCGTGGGATCCGTAATGCGCTTGCGTCATCGGTTGGAATTTCTGCAGGAAGTGGTGGCGGTTGGGTCGTTGCTCCTCCTCAACGCCTCATCGTAGGCTTATATCGAGGAGAAACGACAAAGCCGCCTCTGCCCTCGACTCGACACGCAACCAGCTCGCAGAAAGGCCCCATCGTCGACCAAGTCGCATCACAATCCCATTGTCCACCCGCCTTTGTCGTCTTTCAGCCGATGTTTGGCGTGTAAACAACGTGCTCCCTTTGGGACTTTCAGAGCAGGTGCCAGCAAAGGGGCCATGGTATGCGGCGTGGTGAGCCCGTAAAAAGCGCCTATCATATGTCCGCGATCGGGACGTCCCGCTCACACCTGAAAATCAGAACCTCACCTAAATGGATCCCTGGACGGGAACTGACGTTGCCTGGACTTGAGCGGCACGTAGGGTTGAGCTCGTCGGGCTGTATGCAGGGAGAATGAGTCGCTTACAGGGTCGTTGTCATCAAGACTGAGCGGACAGGGACGGAATCGTCAACTATTTTTTCAGCCGTTGCACGTGCAGATCAGACCGGGCCGGGACTTTACCGGTGGGATACGTCAGATCATGATTCTTGATCTCTCTGCTCTAGTAGATACTCTGACTGAAATTGAAGTATGGAATGTTGGACAGCCGGTCACCAGCAGGATCAGCGCCAGCCACGAGGAGCACAAGCGCGCATGCTAGCAAATCACTGATTTTCGCGAGTTCGTTGAAGTGGTGAACGCAGATCACATCCTCGGCACTGCCAGTCTCATGGAGCTCGTACTGTAACTCCGCACGGACCGCGACTCTCAACCTGGAATCTGCAATATTTTTAACCAGCACGGCCCGGAAGACGTAAAGACAGCTAAGCGGGTCGACTTTGATCCAATCGATAGCAATTCGAAGCGGCGGCCGAGATTGTTCAATGACATAGCATGCGATCTGTCTGTTTTCTGGGTGCCGTTAGAACTGCTCGTAAGTACGAAATCTTCGCTGCGCTGCTATCATTTCGCTGATCACCCTCTCGAAGAAAGCACCGCGTGGTCCACTCATTTTTGTCGCTAGCATCTGTCTCGGGCCTTGTTTTTCCAATCACCGCCAAGCCGACGGCGACAGATCGGAGCTTTTCATTGCAATGCGGATTCCGTGCCCGGGGCAGGTGATAATTAAAAGCCGCCTCCGTCTCTGGCCCACGCTTAGCTTATCGCTTTTTCAGTCCAGGTCGGTGACAAGGGCAGCTATGAACACACGTGAGACGCCTGTCATCGGTCCACGGATATCAAGCATGTCGAATCCGGATCGTATCGGTTTGATCCACATCCAAGTTCTTTCCTTCGCCCTCTTGATCCCCGCCCCCTCTTCTGCGCAAACTATTTCCGTCTCGGGGGCGACGCCATAGCCGTGGGGACCCCTGCCCTGGATGCAGTTCGATGAATGACTAGGGATGACTGGGTCCCACACGTTTCCGCTCCCACCCGTGCATCTTCCCCGCCTCATGCGAATCTCGTTTGTCTTTAGGCGGCTTTGCGCCACCAACAACTGTATCCAACGGAGCTAGACTGCCCGATCCGGTGAGTTGGCGTTGGCCGTCCCTTGTCTAAAGAGCTCCAGGCTTTTTTTTTGACGTTTGCAGGATCTGATAGATGGAGTGATAACCTTCAAGCGAAAATCGAGCCTGTCGGTCTGGTGCATGTGTAATTTCTGCTCCCAGGTGGATTCATACTCAATGATGCCCGCTCGCTAGGACCTCGCCGCTTTCCGACCGTTATTCTCGACGATCTCGACAGGGGGAGCATTATGTAAACGGAACTGGGCGGTCCGGCAGTGGTGCACACATATAACATGCGCGGGAAAGACCAGCAGTGCGAACAGCTTCCTACTCATGGTGAGTCTTCCTGTCAGACAACGGTATCGAGAACAGCACGAGCTGCATCGCTCATCGATGCGGGAGCGAGCGTACATTTCCGCCGTCTCGCTGGTAGCCATTTTACGACAACGTTGATAGGAACGTTGACATTCAGTGGACCGCTGATCAGACATTACTCTCATTTCTCATGCCGTGAATGACTGTGGATTATAAAGCCCGGGGTCAAGCACAGCGCGCTTGCACATCTCCCCTCATCTTCTATCGTCCCCGTCTTATCCACCCAGCTTACCCAACGGCTCCAGGAAAATGTCTCAACGAAATCAAACTCGCCATAGCACACGAGGAGGATCGCGAACCAACTCCAGTCCCGAGCAATTGCTTCAGGACCTCACACATCCCGCGCTTCGTGAGTCGGCAACTACAGCGTTCTGCGTGTTGCGTGAATACCTACCCTCCAGATATCCGTAATGTTTCCGACGCGCTGGTTGTAGTCGAAGCCGTCCGTCGAGGGATGCTTCCACTGATCACCCACCGCCTCTCGATCGAAGACCGGGAGCAGGTGGGCGCTGGGAGAGTGTATGTTTGGGAGGAATCCGCACAAGAGGGCGGTCTGGTGCGCTGGACGGACGGTCGCAAATGGTGCGTCTCTTGCCGACCCATGATATCTCCGTTAACCCCGTTGCAGGTCCCAGAGTCGCGTGCTGGGTGAATGCCTGCTGTACGAGGAAAAGGTGGAGATCACGGAGGAGGAACGGGAAGCCAAAGCCCAACGACGGTGCGGACAACCTGAGCGCGGCCCGGACTCGTCCGTTGTTAATTTCTCTCATCAGTGTGCAGAGGATCGTCAACCCGGGGTTATCGGTCCCACCTCCGAGCCGAAACCAGCGACAGTCCAAGTCGGATGGGTTGACGAAGGAGAGTTACAGCTTTTTCGTCCAAGGGCCCGGCGATCTTTCTCGAAAATGGCATGTCGTGGCCTACAGCATCGTGCGTACAACTATTCCGGTGTCGAATTTGCCAAGCTGATCGAGTAAAGTGGTCCGAGCGTGCTATTCATCCAACGGTGGATCACTATCCGGATTTGCAGGCGATCCGGGTACCGCCGGGGGTGTTCTCGCTGGCAAGGAATCGTAGCGCCGAAGGCAGTCATGTTCTCAGCGCTTCTGAAGGAAATCTGCGATCCGTTGCGAGCACGTTCGCCGAATCCTCCAGGAGCCGGAGTATGGGTTCTCTTGCAGATGACGTTATGCGAGGATTACCTCCAGTCAGAGACTCCGCCGCGCAGAGAGTCGTTCTTCCGCCGATCTCCACCCTTCCATTCCACGACCCTGCTAGACCAATGTATACATATCCGCCTCCTGCCCGCGTATCGCCTGCACAGGGACCTAACAGCACAGTCTCAGACGTGGACAGGCGAATGCTAGATAGTTTCCCACTTCATCTCTAGGCACTTAGTGTACATAAGCCGTGTAAATAACGCATAAGGATCATTGTCCTGATTGCCCACGATCAGGCTATGTTATGACTCTACGGAGTATCGTCGGAAATCAGACGCAGTGCACCAAGCAAATGTTCAACATGACCGGCCAGCGCGGACCATGTATTTTTACGTTATCTCCAGCAGAGAAAGTGGCGAGTCTCACATGAGAGAGAGAAGCGTTGTGCGACACAAGCCTGTCAAGAACACAGCGTTTCCTCACGTTTTTTGCTTGAGATCACGATGCAGAAGATAGGCAAGCACTCCTGACAGAAGGATACTTGAAGTGAAGCGCGGAAATTGACACATATCGAAACACTTATCTATGAAATCTTCTCTGCTGTCAGCAGCGAGTTCGTCTCATCTACATTGAGGTTTGTCACTTGGAGATAACCGCAATGACTGACATGTCACGTGTAAAACACACCGGCCACAATTTTTGATTTACGAGAATTTGACGCAGGGAGCAAGGGCCGGCTCTCTGAGAGCACACGAATGCGACGATTATCTTGTCCCAAGGAAACGCCAGTAGGACTTCTGGCTACGTGCATAATGATCTACATATGGTCAGTCGCGGGTTGCAGAAAATGAATCCCGAGCGATCTGCGCAGCATGGCCGAACAAACCCAGCTTGTCACTGAAGCGCTGTAAGACGGCCATAAGCCAAATGAGATCGGGCAGCGTGCGCGAATTCTTCCCCCATTCAGAACAATCTCGTAAGTACTTTTATACAAAAAGAGTTTCTGATCCGAGCAGACCCAGCTTCACTCAGACTGACTGGTTTTGGGGAATCGCCAAGAAAAGGCGTCCATGAGACTTCCAGTCATCAAGTCCGGAATTTACCATGTCCCGGTAGATACACAAGTTGATGAGTCCACTCCTAGAAAGCGGAATTATTGCAAACCAAAACCAGAAAATTGTGACGTGCTGCGCAACGGGGATGGGAACGCCATAATCGCACCGAGACCTTTTGCGGTTAATCCATCCATCCATCCATCCCGCGCATCCCGTGACAATTTGTGACTCCCTCATACGTACTCTGCTTCCAAGTTCCCGTCCTCCTTGACCTGAGAAAGATCCATGGCAGCCATGCTGATATGCACCCTTTCCAGAACTCTGACCGCTATCCCACCCCACCGTCGCCTGGGCGCGGGGCTCTGCAGCTCATAACCACGCGCCGTCCTCACCGTTCCATCGCAACGATCATGCAGGGCATCCCGATTTTTCCGCACGCGCCTGGGCCATACTCTTGATAGGACGCACGCAGACTTTCTTTAAAACCACGCCGGCAGTGCGTACGGTCTTGTCTACGCGACGGGGGCCTTTATTTGACGTGCAGGGCGTGCATACCCCAGGTGGTGGCTTCTTCATTTCCATGCTCAGTACTCGCGACAAACGAAGGTCTCCTAACCACACATCCCACAACCATACATCCCCGCTCAACATCGTGGACTGCCTATCTCTCAAGGACCGCCATCAATAGGGACCTGCACCCCAGCTCTTCGCCGAGGGACAGGAGATGAGGAACGACTACCAGCGGATCGCGTCGCCGCCCGTGCGTCCGTTTCCCCCCTCGCCACTCAAAGCATCTCAAGTTTTCTGCAGACGAGGGGCAATCGCTCGGCTCTGCGAATTAACACTTCTGCAGCTCGTCTAGGTCACTTGCGTCGCTCTGCAGCTCCGCCGCTGCGACCTTGCCGAAAGGGCCGCGGATGCCAAAGCTGGGCTCGTTTACCGCGACCCTGCCGACCGACTGCGACACTGCACTGAAATAGCACACAGTCCTCACCCCACTTCGTTTGCATCACCGGCTGCCGAAGAAGGGCGAGATCTGAAGACATAGTTTTCCAAAGCCATCGCTTTGCACGCTTCTGTGCCGAAGAGACTCGATGCATCTCCTGGCAGGGGCCCAACATTGCGCAGACGATGGACTTTGGCGAGGAGCCCAGTTGCGCAAGATTTTGGCGCCTACCATCTTTCAGAAGGCGCCAGACGATGGTGCTAGGTTATCCTCCCTCTGGACGTACCGAAGCACTCCATTCATCTGCAGTCACTCCCCCGCTCGGTGTCAACGATTATCGTCTGCCTGCGCACAGCGGAGCACATCCCGACTTATCTGGCACCCGGTGGACGTCAACGCCTGTTCCGACCTGTGGCACAGGCGCGCATACAAGTGGGCTCCAGGGAGGCGAACACGGATCTCTTGACGAAGCCGAAGCACCTTGGAGTCGGGTTCGATAATACGACGCGCCCGAAGCCATCAGCCTGTCATTTCTGTCCCCAAGAAATCCCGGTGATCTGTGCCTATTCACTCCATGGCCTTGTGAAGGACGAAGAAGAGCAGGCCGCACTTTTCGACTTTTCGCACGATGGTTCGGACCAGGAGTCGGCGAAGCAGATGAATATACCTTGCATGTCAGTTGGCGAGTCGTCGGACGCCGCGAAGTACGAAGAACACGGGCTGGCAGCCAAGTCGGCTTTCGAGAAGACTAGGATGTCCCAAGTGTCCGCACTTGAATCTGACGTGATCATACGCCATGACTGCTGGAATGTGCACATGACTCGATGTCACCTCGACAGTTTCCGATCCGCCGTTGCCGATTGAGGAGATACCGCTCGAGTTCTTCGACCCTTCTCAATCAATCCTTTTCGTCGTCCGCTACCTGTGTGCGGTGTTTCTAATTTCCGATGCAACTGGTGAAATAGATATCGCGCCTGCTCACTTCAGATGATACATGCATGCATTGGAACAGTCAGTGAGTACAGTCTTATCTTAACAGACGTCAGTTCATGGACTAAACTCGAACATGAGTTGTTGTCCAACTGAGAAACCAGAGTTCACACCTCCTCGGCAACCCGATGCTCTTCTCCTCGTCCTCGTCTTCGTCTTCGTCCTCCGCGGGATCGTCGTCCGAACCTCGCGGCCACATTGACCACCCATCTCGCCCCAAAGCCATAGCAACAAGTTCCGCCCCGGCGAACACAACTCCCGTGCACAGCGAGGTGGCGATCAGCACCGATAGCGGCGAGGTATGCGCGAGGGCTGCGGCGAATCGGAGGGACGCCGTGGGAATGAGACTAGTGCAGTAGTAGCACTCGCTCGGGAGCTGGGCGCATTTGAATAGGAGCACGCCAAGCGCAAATCGGACGAGTGCGAGGATCCCGAGCAGGGTCGAGAACGCGAGAACGCTCGTGAGGGCCAGTTCGTACAGGACGGCATACACCAGCGAGAAGCGTCGGGTGGGTGCCGTGGTGTCCGCCGCGGGCGAGGTGAACGTCGGGAAGTGGGCGACGCTCATGAGGTATGGGAGCCGGGGAAGGTCGGCTTCGAACGCGGATCTCCCATCCTCTAATAGCGTGCGGTGAAACGTAGGCTTTACTTGGGTTCCTCGGCGAACGACTGACGGTCCATGAGACCGGCCTCGTAACGCTGCCAAGGGACTCGGATGCGCACATGATTCCGAAAGACGATTCTCGCACGGGATACCGGTCAAAGCTCGGGACGGGTTACCGTCCTAAGATGACATGGTCACCGACGGCGGAGTAGACATGCGTATTGATCCGATCATGAACGATGCATTTATAGCAGCTTCAGGTTGGGCAGCCTCAAGTGGCAACTTCGCAAGGCTATAGACCTGCCTACGGCCGTTGAACATGTCAAACGTGACGGGGGGTGGCAGCTGTTGAATACGCTGACTCGATATGATTGTGGCGGAACTAAGGGCGTAATTGTATCCCCGGGAAGCACACCCGGAGTCTGTAGCAGGCGGGTGCCAATGTGATTTTGCTGAAGAGAAATCGGGACTCTGATGGGAAATCCTAGTCTGGCCTTGGTAGATGGGGAAGACTGAACTGATAAATGTAGTAGCTGCTATATACTACGCAAAAACAAGGAACAAATGTACGGACAGCTTGGCAACAGTTGACATGAATCAATTATATTCAACAGAGCATCAAATGTTACACTGAGAGCAATATTGGGAGGGCAGATCTTAACAAGCACTTGGAATGTCATATTTGTTGAGCACTGGGGAGAGCGTCTAGCAGCTCACCTGTGTGAGTGAGAGCTTAGTGTGGGCACTATGCGGGAGTAGTCAAGAGACTTATATTAAAGGGTAATAGAGCCCTCCTTATATATGATACAGGGGGCCGTTTGTGTCTATTTGGGACGAGTCGATATGACTCTAGATGACATGTGATGGAGTCATAGATGTGTATCACGACATCCATCTTGACAGATGATATTTGATCAACACTCCCCCACGCTGAAAACCACGGAATAGTGTTTGAAAGCGAAATCTTCATTGGCCATTCCTTCAGGACGAGTTGAACTCAAGTCCTAGTTGAGATCTGAACTTCTCGAACTTGACGCGTCCTAGGTTCTTGGTGAACATATCTGCAGGATTCTCACTGCCCGGAATAAAGAACAGTTCAACCTCTTCTTCCTCGACTCGCTCACGAATGTAGTGATAGCGGATGTCTATGTGTTTCATCCTGCGGTCTCGGTAGGCATTGCTGCCACTGAAGAGTGCACCCTGATTGTCACCGCAAATGGGTACTGGGATGGTGAGCTTGAACTGGAGTTCCGAAAGGACGCTCTTCAGCCACATCACCTGGCGACTACAATCTGAAATCGCCATGTACTCTGCTTCGGTCGAAGACTGCGCAACAGTGTGCTGAAGTCTAGACTGCCAGCAAATAATCCTGTCTGCCAATTTTGTGAAGAAACCAGTGGTAGACCTCCTCTTGATCGGATCAGCAGCCCAGTCTGAATTGCTAAATGCAATTAGCCCTCTATCCGTTGCACCATTGAAAATGAGCAAATAATTCCTAGTACCAGCCAAATAGCGGCAGATATACAGTGCTTTATGAAGATGGTCTTGGGACGGATTGGCGGCAAATTGTGACAATTTGTTCACAGCAAATGCAATGTCAGGACGTGTGCCTAGCATGATGAAGAGAAGAGATCCAATTACTGATTGGAATTTC